GCTAGGCTATTAAGCGTAAACACTATAGATATAGAGACGCCTTAATACTATTATATATAAAAGGCTCTTATAGGCTTGTTCTATAGCTTAAGATAATACTTAAGTACTCTTTATATCTATATATAAAATACGTAGTATATAAATAGTAAAGTATAAGAAGAGGAATACTATATAAGATCTGTTAATCTACGATCTACTAAAAGACCTTAAGGATAAGGACATTCTTAAGCTAGTAGTTAATAAAGATCGTAATAGCGTAAAGTTAGTTTTACTAACTCTACCTCTAGGATCTAAGCTAGAAACTCTTAAGGGTATTAATATACTAAGGAAACAAGTATAGGAATTATAAGATAAAAGATCTATTTTAGATCGTGTAATAAAGTAAGTAAGGACTTAAGGATAGTAAAGCCTAAGTACTAAAATAAATATATATAAAACTATTTTAATTTATTTATTTTATAATCGTTTAAACTTAGGATAACTATACTAATCTTTATACTAATCTTTATACTAATCTTTATACTAATCTTTATACTAATCTTTATACTAATCTTTATACTAATCTTTATACTAATCTAAGTAATCTTTATACTAATCTTTATACTAATCTTTATACTAATCTTTATACTAATCCTTATACTAATTAATAATTATAACCTTAGGTATCGCGTAAGTATAAAGGTACCTTAGTACCTTAGGATATACTATACTTATAGGTTAGGTCTACCCTATAGGTTAGGTCGTAGATTTATTTAGGGACCTATAGGTTAGGTCTTATTTACTATAACCTACCCTATAGGGTAGGTACCTAACCTATTTAGTAGGGACCCATAGGTTTCTGCGCAGCCTATATATAACCCGACGTTTCTTCACGAGTAACCTGTACTAGCACAGGTATCTTTCGTATATCTATGACTGACGATCTGCCCTGCTTGCTAGCTTGCTAGCCTTTCTTCTTTATCAAGTTGGGAATCAGTTGCAAAACACAATCTAAAATTAGACTTGTCAATTTTGCCCGAGATATTAGAATCAAGGGCCAAGAAAGGGAGGTTTTTATAGCTTGAGGTCGGCGGAGAATTGTCTTCCAACCACGAGGAAGCATACATAGGTAGGTAATATCCTGGTGAAAGCCATAGTTTGCCGTACCTGGCTGCTCTAATCTTTATATCGAGTTACCTATGCAGCGCTGTTCTCGTGATCCAAGATATGCCGCAGGGTATGGATTATGGATGTTCGATCCAGATCCAGGTGGAATGATGGCCCAGTAATCTTACGATTATCACTTCATTTTCAAACAGGGGCCTCCGTGGGTGCAGAGTAAAATACATTTCTATTTTATACCTACTTTCTACAAATCCAGCAGCCCGTTGCCGCGCTCGACCTCTGTACAAAGGAAATGTTTCGTCTGGTTTATTCGACTCTCAAGCTCTGCAGTCTTGCCTCCGTAGCAATTACCTGTCATAGATTAGTCATGATTCCACTGTCTTCACAAAATGAATTGGGGAGGGGGCTTACATCCAGCGCCTGCTGCACCTCAAGTACCTTCCTCACCTCTCCAAGCCAGTCTCGACTCAAAGTCTTTGCCCAACCACTCAAGCCATTCATTTCCCGGGCCGCACCGTCCAGATCGCCCTCTTCGAGGAGAACCTCTGTGCGTGTCAAGATACTCTCTACATCGTCACCCAAGGCAAGGCCCTTCTTCTTAAACAGGAGCTTGCTCAGTACCAAACTTGAAGCATGGGATGCAACACCAGCGTCTTCGGGGAGGAGAGAAGCTTTGCGGACTTCCGACGCAACCCGACGGAATCGGTCGATGAGCTGTGCGGGGGATGGAATTCCACGTTGATAAGCGACTGGGTTGATAGATGCAATTGCTGCGTTGACAACGGGGTCGTCGGAGGCAATTTCTTTCAGAGCTGCGAGCTCCTTGGTGAATGGTCGAGGAACTTGAGATTTCTCCAGATTGGCGCGTACAGCTTCGACTGCAACGTGGAGGTGTTGGGTCTTCAAGTTGGCATCAACGACGGAGTTCCAGTCCGTGGTGAGCTTCTCAAGCTCGTTGACAGTGTTGGAAAGATCACTGAGCTTGCCCAGACGGCTGTTGCGCTCTTCTTCCACGCGGTCCTTAACCTCGGCGGTGAATTTGCGCCTCATTTCCACAGCTTGCTCAAGCAGCTCGTTGCGGAGACGTTGTTCATTGACCTCGTTCGCTCGATCAATCTCGGCCTTGAGCTTTTGCTCGTAGGTTTGTTGGAGCTTTTGGCGTTCAGTCTCGTATTCCTCTTTCCATCGAGCCTCCTGACTCGCCATCTCGCTCTCGATGCGTTTGACGAGCTCTTGAGCGGCTTTGTCAAATTCTGCGTGTGAAGCTTGAACCTTGGCATTGGCTTCTTCTTCAATGGCGGCTTTCAGAGACTTGACTTTGCTTCCGACCTTGGAAATTTCGTCCTTTGCTTTGCCAATGGTGGTAGAGAATTTGGAATTCTCATTGTCGGCATTGACAACTGCGATAATATCATTGATAATCTTGACCAAATCCTGAACCAGAGGCTCCTTAGCATCTTCGATATTGATGGGGTCAATGCGCGTGACCTCGGGAGGGAACCTGGAGGGCTGGTCCACCTCAGGTGCTACAAAAGCGACTGCCTCGGGCGACTTCTGAGCTGGTGCTGCCTCCTTTGCGACCGGGTGGTTAGGCTTTGCTGGAGCCTCTGTTGGTGCTTTGCTGTGATCTGATTCGGCTTTAGCTACCGCCTCTGCAGGCTTCTGCCCTGGCTTTGTGGCGTTTGCATGTCTAGAAGAAGAAGTGTCCTCAGATACCCTCCATGACACACCGCTCTGACTCGGTATCCTGACTTGTTCACCAGTGTCTCTAGGGCGGATTCGGTTCCCAATGGTTGGGAATCTTTTCCGGAACTCCTTCTCCTCAAAGTAAAGCACGGCCTCCTCGCCGAATGGAACATATTCCGTAAAGAAATCGTGGAAGTTATCGTTGACCCTAGAATAGTAAACGCCTCCACCAAACCCGAGTGTGGAAAGGAGAAGCAGTGTGGTGAAGAACTTGCGGAGTCTTCTCTTCGGTTTGGGTGGAGGAGGAGATGGAGGCGGCGGCGAGCCTGAAGTTGTTTTTCCCGGCGGAGGAGGCGTGAGAGGAACGTTTTGCGGTGGGATTGTAGAAGCAGAAGGAGTGGATGGCGTAGGAGATGCTGCTTTCGAGTTCAACGAGGTTGCTACAGGCCCTGGAGGCGGCGGTTCATTTGTGCTGGCACTGGCAGAGCCTGGAAGGACAACGGGGGTCGAGTCTGCGATGCTTGGTTTATCGGCGTAACTTCTCTGGAATCGCAAACAATAGTTAGCATCCAGTCTATCGTTCCTTTGACCACCTGAGATGGGAGAATTCTTCCAGGGCTCGTACCGTTTGACCCGAAATCGCCCGGCCAGCTTGTAACGCGTGCCATTGCCGCGCAGCACTGGTTACATTGGGCTTGTAACCAATGGCCCTCGACGACCGAATCGAAGCTCGCAGCATGACGGGCTGCGTTGAGCGACAAAGAGTGGTTGGGTTTGTGATGTTGTAAGGCGCGTCGTCGGAAAATGCTGGAACGTTTTTGGACCGAGCTCGCAAAGCTCCTCGCCAAGGTTTAGGAGCGATGATGCAGTAGTCTCCAGCCTCAACTCAGTCTCACTCAGCAAGTCGGCAACTCCTCTCGAGCCTATACACCACAATACTCTCTCCACCAGCGTCTGGATAATTAATCATGGATTGAATTATCGCGTTCAGGTCATTTCACTTTATTTACCCTTCTCAATAAGAAGCCAATGCAATTCTGTAAACTGTTCTATAGCATATCTTACATCGCAAATGCCGCAGAACGATTCAATTAAAGACCCTCACACGCCTGGCAGGAAACCCCTGCCCCAACCAACCCTGGCTACGAGAACTAACAGACATGAAGGTATTAAAAGACTGCTTTCGTGAAGGTCGAATGACCGCAGGTATGATGCAGCGGTCTTTCAGCCCAGCAACTTCATACGAAAACGACGGTGTCTCATAGGAAAGGTCGTTATAACAGCTCGACCATGATAGGAGTCTACCACGGCCAAAAATACCCGCTACTCCAGAAATCCGACAACTTCCCTTAACATGCACATGCGGGACCGCCTCCTTGTGTTCCAGCCGACTCGGCTCGCAACTCCACGCCTGCTCGTCCACCCGCTCTTGGATTCCTCGGGCCAGCCTGGTCCAATGGCAGCTTCTTCGCAATCGCGGTAAACAATTCTCGGACGTTCTCTGAGGTCTTTGCTGAAGTCTCGAAGAAAAGGAGTCCGGCTTCCTTTGCATATGCCTCGGCGTCTGCGGTGGAGATCGCGCGCTTGTCCGGCTGGTCAGTGACCAAATCGAGCTTGTTGCCCGCAAGAGCGATAATGATGTTCTCGTTAGCCTGTCTTTGGAGCTCCTTCACCCACTGCTTCGCCTTATCCAGCGACGACTACCCAAGAGACGTCAGTTATGATTTCAAGCGCCTGATAACGAGCCGCTTACAGCTTGTGTAATATCATAGACCACCACAGCACAATTAGCATTTCGGTAGTACATCGGTGCCAGTGACTTGTATCTCTCCTGGCCTGCTGTGTCCCATATCTCGAACTTCACAGTGGTAGTGTCATCGAGCGAAATTGTTTGTGTTAAGAAAGCGGCTCCGATGGTGCTTTCACGGTCTGTTGATAGAGTCAGCGCCAGTATTTCCCATCTGGGATTGTATATATATGTAGAATCGTCATAGCGCTCGTGGTTCGAGAAACATCTTTCGGGTCAAAGACAAAGGGGATGAGTTGCGCCGGGAATACCCACAATCATCAAATTGATCCTATATTATAGATTAGCTATAGGAATCAGACAATAGATGGCCATCGGTACTGACCTTGACAAATCGCAGAACGAGAGAGCTCTGATGTTTATGTTAGTCCCTGTATGCCAATTTGAACGATAAAGGCGTACCTTTCCCACGGCGGATTCCCCTGGACAGCTATCAGCCTTCTATTTCTACCAAATCGTAATCCATTGTATAGAAGACGGAGAGAATAACGTACCTAGCAATACCAGCTTGAACTGGGCAAAGCGGGTATTTCCTCCGCGGACTGGTGCTGGAGCTCTGGCAGCCATGTCGGAACGAACCTAGGGGTATTCAAATTGAGGGGCCTATTTTATGTAAGGTCTGGCTTCGAGGCTTGCGTTCGAGGGGAGGAGTGGTAGCGATCGGATGGGGAGGTGGTGCTGTTTAGGTAGACCTCACGATGGAGAGGTGACACTGTCGGGGAAAGAGGCGAGAGCTAAGGCTGAGCACGTGATGTAATTCAAGCCACACAACCCAATCAATAAACCTGCACTGGGGGCGGATATAGATGCAGTGCCTATATTTAGGTTGAATACCAGGTATCGCAGCTCTCTTTCCTCCCTATTAGTACTCACCGTTCCCTCCCTCTTCATTTACCCTGGTCAAAAACCTCCAATAGGAGTTGATATTAACCACCTGTTTAACTTCAAGCACCAATCAATCCGAACATAAGAATTGACAGTATAGGTCTAAGACATTCTCGAAAGTCGACTGTTTGCTCAGTGAAAGCCCGTCTCAAGCATTACACACGACGAAATATTATAGCCAAGTACATTTCACCACTTCTCTTGGAAATAGTTGACCATACAGTTGTGACGTTTGCCAAAGTCTTGTCACGTCTTCGTATTGGAAGGAAGACACATCCTTATCTCTGCCCATATCCGCTTCAGAACATACCTACCTAGGTACGGGGTAACGGGGGAGGCCGAAACAGGGCTAGCGCTATCGTGCGCGTATCGATGCAGGTGCGTTCCTAGCCCCGTCTCGCCACGGTTTATTTTACTTGGAGCGCGAGGCTTAGAGTTACCAACAGGATCAAGACAACAAGACAACATAACAACAGCCCCCAACTACAGCCCCTCGTTTCAATGAACTCGTGAATACCAGAGCAGACACAACTCCTAGAAGCTGCAGTTTATCTGCCACCGGCTTCCCGAATCATGACCTCCCTACCGTTCCGAGACATCAACGTCCACGCATCAGCGTCGCACTATGCCTTCACTTCGCCCTCGACACCATCAGCGCCGACGTTGGTTGTCGACCGTCCCACCGGTGATTTGCGATTGAACGATGGGGCATTATTGGGAGGGAAGCGCGTGTCCAGTATCGCGGGCATTCTAGGCATGATCAGGTTGCGACTGGGTAAGTATCGTTGCGATTCCAGCCTTATTGGACAGATCTGAATGAATGCTCTTAGACAAGTACATCATTGTGATTACAAAGGCACAGCCCATGGGACGGTTGAAGGGGCACATGATCTACAAAGTCATTGCGACAGAATTCCTGCCACTGCGCGAGCAGCCCCTCCATGACCCAGACGAAGACACCTACCTAGCCTTGCTTAAGACTTTCATTAAATCGGGACCAATGTACTTCTCATACTCGTTCGACATTACAAACACCTTCCAGAGACAGTCACAATTGGATCAATCTCAGCCGCTATGGAAGAGGGCCGATGACAGGTTCTTCTGGAATAGGTTCATCCAGTCCGATCTGATTGATTTCCGAAGTTCTGGAACCAGACAGCATCATGGCCACCAACCCGATGTGGATCCTTACATCTTGCCGGTAATGTTTGGGATGCTTGAAATTCAGACAACCCGGATAAATTCCACTCCTCTGACTCTCGTTCTCATTACCCGGCGATCGCGACATCGAGCTGGTACGAGGTATTTCTCGAGAGGCATTGATGAGCAAGGACACGTTTCCAACTTCAATGAGACAGAACAGATTGTTATATTGAATGATACCACAAGTGGCTTGGGCGGATTTGCTGGCGGGGGTGGGATGCAGAATGGCAAGGTCGGTGGCTCGGGGGGTAAAGAAGTCCAGATCATGTCATACGTCCAGACCAGGGGGAGTGTTCCTGTATACTGGGCTGAGATCAATAACTTGAAGTACACACCGAAGCTCCAGATTCGAGGAGTTGAGACTGCTGTTTCAGCAGCTAAGGCTCATTTTGATGAACAGATTCGCCTCTATGGGGACAACTACTTGGTCAATCTGGTAAACCAGAAAGGCCGGGAGAAGCGGGTGAAGGATGCCTACGAACAGATGGTGAAACTTCTTGTCTCATCACCCTCGGAGCGAACCCAGCAAGATCAGTTGTCAGATGAGAAATTCCACGTGGTGGAGCCCAGCGGCCGACACCAGACAATGGACAGACTCCATTACGTGTATTTTGACTTCCACAATGAGACCAAAGGTCTTAAGTGGCATCGGGCACAACTTTTGCTAGACCAGCTCAATGATGCTCTCGAGAAGCAACAATACTTCCGTGGTGTCGACATGCCAGCTGATCTTGAAGGCCGTCTCGAGGTCCGCAATCACCAAACTAGTGTCGTACGCACAAACTGTATGGATTGTCTTGACCGGACCAACGTCGTTCAAAGTATGCTCGCGCGCTTCGCACTCAATCGACAACTAGTCGACCTAGGTGTACTCCCCCGTGGCCAGACGTTTACTTCCGACGAAGACTTTGAGATCCTCTTCCGCAAATTATGGGCCGACAACGCAGACGTGGTCTCAAGATCCTACTCGGGCACTGGGGCACTCAAGACAGATTTCACACGTACGGGCAAACGTACTAAGGCTGGTGCGCTCCAAGATCTTCAGAACTCGATCACAAGATATGCAAAGAATAATTTCATGGATGGACCGAAACAGGATGCATTCGATCTCTTCCTTGGGGCGTATCTGCCACGCGCAAATCAAGTTTTCGTGGATTCGAGGCCCCTGCTGGTTCAGAGCATTCCTTATATCCTGGCATTCAGCATCTTCTTTGTCTTGGTAGGAACATTCACAAGACAATTGCCGGATGCGGCAATCCTACCTGTGAGGATATTTATCCTGTTCTGGTTGGTGGTTGGTGGCTGGTGTTTGAATTTCATTTATAGTAATGGGATGCTATACGTAAGTCTCGCTTTTCATTGGTAACAGGGGGAGAGCTAATAAAGAGTAACAGGTGAATTGGCCAAAACTCAATCCGAGACCATGGGCTACAGAGGGATATCAAGAGGCAATTAGCAATGTGAGGAAGGATAAAGTGATTGGAAACTTGGTGACTAGACACGATAGGACACTCAGCACGGCCAGATATACAAATGCGGAGGAGGGGAAGAAGAGGATCGAGTAGGGTTGTCAAAGGGCCAGTTCTTGTTTGAGCCTCACCCAGTTCTGTATCTATCACTTTTCCAGCAACGACCCGTATCTGGAAGCTCGATTATTCATTTTACTCACCAGTACATCCGCGTCTGGCCTTTCGCGTGCTCCACCAAGTGAGAGTGTTAGTGTGTATTAAGTCACGAAGATCGAATCAAAATCTAACCGACCGCATCATTGTAACATGCTCAACTCCATTTGGGCACCACCAACAAGTCGGATCGGACCAAAACACGGGCAGCGACATTTGCTCTTGATGTTCCTGCCGATCTACGTCGGCTGGGGATGCGAGAATGGCGAACCATCTTCGTCCGTCATCACGCCATCCCTTATAAATCGAGGAACTGCCCCACCTCCCCGCACCAGAACATCAATTATCGTATACTTCATTGTTTGTTTGTATAAACATCTACCATTCTGCAAACTCAGATTGCTTGTTGAATATAAATTTAAGGTCATGATGAAGGGCGTCCTCGGCCTCTTGATGGCATTGGCTGTCTCGGTCAGATCATTGGAGCAAATACCGCTCAAACCAGATGCTAGACCAAACATCATCCTGGTCTTAACAGACGATCAGGATTTACACATGCAATCCGTGGATTATATGCCATTGCTTAAGAAGCATGTCATTGACCGCGGGACCTTTTACAAACGCCATTACTGTTCTACTGCAATTTGCTGTCCATCACGTGTTACGTTATGGACAGGAAGGAATGCACACAACACGAACGTTACAGATGTCTTTCCTCCATACGGTCAGTTCTCTGGTTTATTCCGTGTAATAATTGGGCTAATGAATGCCTGATAGGTGGCTACCCAAAGTTTGTGGCCCAGGGATTCAATGAAAAGTACCTCCCTGTATGGCTTCAGGAATCTGGTTACAGCACCTATTATACCGGGAAGCTTTTCAATGCTCATACGATCACGAACTGGAACTCACCACGCCCCGCTGGCTGGACATCCTCGGATTTCCTACTTGATCCTCATACCTATGATTATCTCAACGCAACGTTTCAAAGGAACCAGGAGCCCCCAGTCAGTTACGAAGGTCATTATTCAACAGATGTCCTAGCTGAAAAGGCCTACGGACTACTTGAAGAAGGAGTGCATTCAAAGAAGCCTTTTTTCTTGACAGTTGCCCCAGTGGCGCCTCATTCAAACGTGAATCCTAATACACTTGAGTATTCTGAGAGTGGTGGTGATCCGTTAGGGGATATACATATGACAGCACCAATTCCTGCCGAGAGACACAAACATCTATTTCCTGATGCGAAAGTTCCAAGAACAGCGAATTTCAATCCAGACAGTGTTCGTATCCTGATTCTCCCTTCTCGATATACCAAGCTCATTGACAAGTAGCCCGGAGGAGCTTCCTGGATCAAACATCTCACAAAGCTTACAGACGAAGTCATCACGTACAATGACGAATTCTACCGTGCTCGTCTCCAGGCCCTACAAGCAGTCGACGAATTAATCGAAGGTCTTGTAACTCGTCTTTCGGATTACGGAATTCTGGACAACACATATATCATCTACACCACTGACAATGGCTACCACATCTCTCAACATCGCCTAAACCCTGGAAAGGAATGTGGATTTGAAGAAGATATCAACGTTCCTCTGATAATCAAAGGGCCTGGCGTGCCTGTCGGGGAAGCGAGTATTGTGACCGCTCATACTGATCTAGCCCCTACCATTTTAAAGATTGCAGGTGGTGACTGGAAAAGGGATGATTTCGATGGGAGTCCGATCCCTCTAGATGAGAATCGCATTCTGGAGGAGGAGACAACACGGCAGGAACATGTAAATGTCGAGTTTTGGGGGAGAGGTATTCCCGAGGGGATTCACGGGTTTTCGTTGGACGATGGGAAAGTTGGTAAGGGATCCGATTCATCCCCTGCTTGATGAGTTGATGCTGACAATTCTTGGATGTAAAGTGGCATATGGCAGTAACAACACCTACAAAGCTCTCCGACTGATAGGAAAGAACTACAATATCTACTACTCAGTCTGGTGTACCAACGAACATGAACTTTACGATTTAACTGTACTGTCCACTTCTCTTGATCATCAAGGCCATTTGCTGACTGACGAATCCACAGACCGATCCTTACCAATTGCACAATATCCATCCATCCGCAGCGCCCTTTACCTCTCCTACGCACATGCATCTTATCCTTGGCCTCCCCCTCTCCAAGGTCCTCCCGCGCCTAGATGCTCTCCTCATGGTAACCAAATCCTGCAAAGGACGCACATGCACCGATCCCTGGTCCGTCATCCACCCCGCGGGCGATGTGAGGACATTAGCAGAAGCGTTAGATCAGAGGTTCGATGCGTTCTATTTGGGCTATGTGAGGGAGAGAGTGAGGTTTGAGAAGTGCGAACTGGGATATATCTTGGAGAGCGAGGGACCGCAGGAGGTTATTGCTTTTGAGGAGGGGAGGGAGTATGTTGGTCATACTACTGAGGGTCAAACTTGAGCTGCACTATACCATAGTAGAGAATTACTCATTATAGTGTACACTGCCGACTCCCCTATCTCGACATGGAAAAGAGCGCACAAGCGCTCCGGAAGATTTCTTGATAGGACCGTAGATAGGAGTAGTTATCGGCTCGCTTAAAAGAGGGGCGTCGAACCGCGAAGGCTACCTGGAACTTGTAAGCGAGCCGACGACTACGCTTCGGATTGCACTTCATGACCGACGATGTTCGATATGTACCTCCAGAGATGTTATCTTACCTTCCATGTTGTCATACCTAATAATTGACGGGCTCGAGCGATCCCGTGTCCGCTCCCAGCAAGTGCGGGGTAGCGGGCCAGCAAGCGACTCGGGATGAACCGGTGCTTGCTTTATTCGTGATATCGATCCGACTCTTCCATTAACCACATGGTGTCGATGCCTATAGTCGATACTGGGAAGTCCCACCCCACTGAGCACTTGAAAAGAAGAGCTTGGAATTCTAGTTCCAATTGCAGGCTTTGATTTATGGTGAAGCGTGTATATGTCTTGGTCTCTCTGATGCCTCGGCCCAGATTAGATTGTCTCTACGGGATATGACAGTATTCTGTAGGTACATTCTAAAAGTCCAGCGACCCGGAAGCCTCTCCAACAAGGATATCACGATTACGCGTCAACTTAGGTACCTTTGTCGGTTGTCTGCGTATTGGTTAAGTCCTGATGGCGAATACTATGGCGTGTTGTTGTGCGATGATCACATCACCGAAGAGGTCAGCCTTGTTGACCAGGGCCTTACGAACTTCCAATATGCGGGCAGGAAGTGACACCATTCAACCACATAAGCGTTGTTTCGGCCCTTTAATCAGGACCCTACTCATAGCTGCCAAGGATGGCATCGTCCTCCGCTTGCGGATGGTTCAAGGGGGGGAAACAACGTGCAGCCTCGTGGGGTGGGGTTGCCCTCATCCTAGTCCATTTCTTTTGGCAGTAAAGATATATAGATGTGCTTTACTCTATGTTTAATCTATCGAGACTTCATTTCTATGATATCGAGCTCCCTCTCTCTCCAGACCATAGCACAAATCATCCATCCTCGTCCCCCAAAACCACCCGTCCAGCAGCAAAGCCTACAATCATGGCCCCTTCAGCTACCGAAGCCCAACCCCAAACCGAAATCCCCATCCACCCAGGCAAGGCCTCCCTCGAGAAGCCATGGCTGAAGAGTTCTGGCATTCTCAATCAATTTGAACATATTGAGCTCACGCCTGTCATTGGCCGGGAATACCCCCACGCCAACCTTGTCTCCTGGCTTCAAGCACCAAACTCGGACGAGCTTCTCAAAGAGCTAGCCTTGACCAGTATATCTCCTTCCCCGGGTACTCCTCATCACATGAATGCAGTCTGACAAGAGCAGTCTCCCAGCGCGGGGTGGTCTTCTTTCGTGCCCAGAACAACCTGACCGCCGATCTCCAAAAGGAGCTAGTCAACAGACTCGGGCAGCTCTCCGGGAAGCCCTCTACCTCCGGTCTGCACATACACCCCATCCTGAACAGTGAGAGGGAGGGGTATCGCGTTACCGACCCAGAGATCTCGACCATTGATTCCGAGCTGAACAAGAGAATTTACAATAACTTTGCGCCGAAGAAGCAGCAGTCCGGGTCCTGGCACTCAGATATTGCGTTCGAGCCCGTCCCCGCGGATTACTCCTCTCTCCGATTGGAGAAGCTACCAAAGACTGGCGGCGACACGCTGTGGGCTAGCGGATATGAGATCTATGATCGGATCTCGGAACCCTATCAAAAGTTCCTAGAGACGCTGACTGCGACATTCGAGCAGCCAGGGTTCATCAACGCGGCAGCGAAAGGGGGCTTTAGCCTCTATGACAAAGAGAGGGGTAGTCCGGAGAATGTGGGGAAGGACCTCAAGGCGGTGCACCCGGTCGTGAGGACGAATCCGGTGACGGGTTGGAAGAGTATCTTCCCCGTCGGAGGCCATGTGGGGCACATCAACGGTCTGACGGAACTGGAGAGCAAGGCCCTCCTAGACTGGTTTCTGAGACTACTGGTGGATAACCATGACTTGCAGGTCCGGTTCAAGTGGAACAGCCCGAACGACATTGCGATCTGGGATAATCGTTCAGTGTTCCATACTGCCACGTATGATATTGAAGGCCAGGGCGAGAGATACGGGGTACGAGCTGTGAGCATCGGCGAGAAGCCGTATTTTGATCCCGAGAGCAAGAGCCGGACGGAAGCTTTACGGGAGCAGGCTGCCACTGCCGCCGCTTGATCAGAAGTTGAAATTTCGAGTTGATTTAGGATTCTCAGAATACTGGGCCTATTGTAGAGTTGGAATGTAGAGGCCTCTTTGGCTCCATCAAAGGGCCTTAAGCTGCCCGTCGTATGTCTATACATATGTTCATATCCGAAGACACTTTGTGTTCTGTGATACTTGTAACGGGCAAACCGTACGCCACATGACTCAATGGCTGACACTCGGGCGGGAAAACAAACTGCCGACTCAATTCTCCCGAAGTATATAAATCAAAACCTTGTACCCGGCAAAGAAAGACCGTGTCTCAATCTTGAACCTGCTTCCGGCGACAGGATGCCCTCCACCACAGGTTGCCCAACCTCAGGACTCAGGGGCTCAGGGGCTCAGGGGGAACACGTGATCCCGTCGCTTCCACATGCCGCTGTTATCGACACGCCTGTGAACATGTTCATGGCACAAGTTCCTTTCAGCAATGAAGGCATTCACGCAGCTTACCGCTCCACATGGTGAGGCTCTACAAGCACATATCAATAAGTCTCGAGAAAATGGCTTCGAGTTTCCCACTGCCCCTCCCTCCCACCACGACGATGTTTCTTGCGACGTCGTGTGTAAGCGAAGCACGCGTTTGCAGGGTGCGAATGGCAACATCGCGAGATCTCCGCCCTGTTGATGCGTGATGCAATTTAGGGCTTGTCTCGGACAATCTACACAGCGGAGGGATGGATTGTCATCTGGACTCTGTCTCTATGGATGATCAAGCTGCAGCAGAGTGATGGTGTCAATCGTTCCGCTTATGGCCTCATCCCTTTATCGCTCTATCGCTCTCGGAGAAGGCCCTGCTTTGGAAGCAAATCGTTCTTATCTCTGCATCTCTGCATCACTTCATCATCGGCAGCGATGGCGAATGTGGGGGGGCGGGCCGGATGCGTTCTTGGTTGCCGTTGACACCAACAGTCCAGTATACATGCGCGGCTGGGCCTGGCGCAGAGCTTATGCGAACGTCAGGTCCATTGTCCAATGATGGCCATGCTCTGCGGTGCTGGAGGGGTCCTCTACTGTACCTGTGTCACTGAAAGCTCAAGACCCGGAACTGCGCTGTTTTACACGATATCTTGGCCCTCCTCTGCCCCGCGCAGGTGGTGGGTATTGGGCGTTGGTGGTGATCTGGACTGGCTGGCCATCCCGAGTCGTCCACCGCGTCAATTCTCTCGAGAACTGCGCCAAAGTGTCAGCAGGGGAATGATGCCATTTATTCGGACGCCAATGCTGCAAAGCAAGGAGATAGGCTAGGGTCCTCATGCTTGTACTTGGGTCTCCTCCGTCGACCTTGACTCCCAGCTTGACCCCCATGTCGTGGGCCCATTAGTCGATGTCATTACGATTCTTGTTTCCCATTTTATATATATATTTGTACATGCCCTGTATGCAGTAAGAAGTCAATTGCAGCAGGGTCAAGATCTGGAAGCACACGCGCATTTCCCACCATGGCGAGCGATGACATTGCTAAGTCTGGCGGAAGTTCTGAGCACTCCGCGTCAAAGCCGGAAACCCTCCAGGCGGACGTCTACGCAGTCTCAGACTCCGATGAAGACGGCCAGGCCTTCGAGAAGAATCCGTTCTTGGACCCCGACGTTGCTTCTCACTGGGCGGCCGTCTACGAGAAGTCCAATTACGAGTGCCGACATGTCTTTGATCCGGCCGCGACCTGGACCGAGGAGGAGGAGAGGAAGCTCGTTCGGAAATTGGATTGGCGTGTCTGTCTATGGGCTGTCAGTTTCTCAGCTCCGTAGGGCGATCAGATTACTGACGTACTGCTAGTGTGTCATGTTCTTCGGTCTACAAGTTGATCGTGGCAACTTGGTCCAGGCCGTATCTGACAACTTCCTCAAGGACTTGCACCTGAATACCAACGGTAATGCTCCCCCCAGTTCTTATCGGAACAATCGTAAGCTAATATCTGACGAAAAGACTACAATTTCGGGAACACCATCTTCCTGCTGTCGTTCCTCCTCGCAGAGCTCCCCTCCCAGTTGGTTTCGAAGAAGCTTGGCCCCGACCGATGGATCCCCATGCAAATCACCATCTGGTCTGTAGTTGCCATGTCCCAATGTGCCATCAAGGGCAAATCGGGATTCTACGCTACGCGCAGCATTTTGGGTCTCCTAGAGGTTTGTACTATTGTCCAGGAAAATTGGGCTTGCGGGGCGCTGACAACCCGCAGGGTGGTTTCATACCTGACATTGTTCTTTGGCTCTCGTACTTTTACACGTCGAGAGAACTGCCGACTAGGTTGAGGTATGTGCCTAGCTTTCCCTCTACAAGTGTCTATTTTGGGTCTCTAATGCTGCCATGTATAGCTTTTTCTGGACGACGCTTTCCCTGACGACCATTCTTACTTCGCTTCTGGCGTTTGCGCTTCTTCATATGCGCGGTGTGGCTGGCTGGGCTGGATGGCGCTGGCTCTTTCTCATCGAGGGATTGATCACCTGCACCGTCGGTCTCGCATCGTTCTTCATGATGCCTGCGTCCGCAGTGCAAACCAAAACATGGTTTCGTCCCAATGGCTGGTTCAACGATCGCGAGCTCACGATCGTTGTCAATCGAGTGCTCCGTGACGATCCATCCAAGGGCGACATGCACAATCGCCAAGCCATCACCCCTCGTCGCCTGTGGAATGCAGCCAGAGATTATGATCTCTGGCCGCTGTATGCGATCGGACTCGTTGCGTATATTCCGCAGTCACCAGAGGGTACCTACATCAGCCTGACTCTCAAAGGTCTTGGGTTCAGCACGTTCAACACCAACCTCCTCACCATCCCCTATTCCGTCTTCCACATCATGACCCTCTTACTCCTCACCCAACTCTCCGAACGCACCAACGAACGAACCCTCGTCTCCATGATCCAACCCCTCTGGACCCTCCCCTGCGTCATCGCGCTCCGCTTCTGGCCCGGCGCTCTCAAAGACGCTTGGGGCACCTACGCCCTCACCACCGTGCTCCTCTCCTACCCTTACTGCCACGCCATCCTCGTAGGCTGGACCTCCAAAAACTCCAACAACGTCGGGACCCGCTCCGTCTCCGCCGCCCTCTACAACATGGCCGTGCAGCTCGGCAACATCTGCGCGAATTTCATCTACCGCACCGACGACGCGCCACTGTACCGCCGCGGCAACACCCAGCTCATCGCCATCAACATCCTGACCATCGTCCTCTTTCTCTTCACCAAGGTCTATTACATCACGAGGAATAAAATGAGAGACCGGAAGTGGAACGCCATGACGCCCGAGGAGCAGCGGGATTATAAGTTGAACACGAAGTTGACTGGCTCAAGGCGTTTGGATTTTAGGTTTGCGCATTAGGAGGGGGTTTGCGTGAGGAGATTGGAATTTGAATGTCCATATACCATGAAAGAAGAACAGATAAATAGATAAACATATATATCCAGATCTGCAAATCAGCCTATAGAATCCAATAAGACAGGTAAGGTAGGTATGGAGATACACTCTCTGCAACATCTACACATGATTATTTCTCGATCCTATCACCACTGGTAGCAGTATGTAAAATCGATAGGTAAGCACATGGACTCTATATTATAGGACGTCTAATAAACATACCTTACCTACCTTACCTACCTTACCTACCTTACCTACCTTGCACCTCAAAGAAACTCCAAAAGAAGCAGTCAACCAAGCAATACTTTTCTTCCCCTGAGTCCTTCCTCAATGTCTGACCTGTCCACTGAGACAGCACTTGTCTACCCCGCACAAGAATGCATGAGACGAATCCAGCAACGATCAAACAGGAGAGAAAGAAAAAAGGGGTTCTGAGACAATCACGTGATCCACCAGTCCCTGGTCTCGCGGCATGAAACGCCTGGCGAAGCGACGGCTTCATCGACGGTTCGAGGCCTTTTCCCCCACATCTTGCCTGAGGGTCGTATGGCTCTACGAATAATATTGAAGGCTTCGGTCTGCGTATACAGAAGCTGCGAATTATATAGTCGGCCGATCGAATCCATCGTTGCGGCTCGGGTCGTCGGCGGCAGCGAGTGAAATACGTTTAAACGTAATAATGGGTGCGACGCCTTCCTTCGTACTGCTCACTTCTCACTCTTTGTGCGTGTGGCGCAGTGTGGAGTGTGTGTGCAGTGTTGTTTATAGCTTTTTTCGAGTGCCGGCATGGGCTGGGAATGAATCCCGCTGGATGGCAAAGTAGTGAATGGATGGGGTGAGGATCCTGATCCTTAAGAGAGAGTCTTTGACCTCGTCCCTCTTGGCTCCTGCAATTATCCCAAGTCCATCATCAATCCGTACACGTTCTTCTCTGGAAGGTACCTCGAGGAGTCGAGGCTGATACTAACTAACAAACCTCCCTCTGGAGACCTCATCAATTAATTCTTATTCTTTTCTCACAGCCGCAGATCCAAAAATAAATACGCCACTCCCATATGTCTCGCCGCCAGAAAGCGCCGTCCTATCAAAAGCCGCGATCGGCAGCGTCTTGTCGCTCAGGGAACCCCTGATCTTCGCGACGGTTGGTGTCTGGGACAGGGTCGTGAGTCGAGACAGCAGAAACACTTTGCTTGGGAAAGCCGTCGCCTCCTTTCCTTGTCCTGCTCTGCCCTGCTCAGCTCTCTGCTCTGCCATCCAGAGAACCCAATCCAAACAATCACGATTCCCAATCTGCGACCCAAGGATAATTCGAATCAATACTCATATCGCATTCCAAGTCGCGTCGAGATACGAGTCCCCGTCGAGAACGTTGCATACGGCTGGGAAATTGAGAGGGGCTGTGCGATAAGATCCATCTCGACCAAAAAGCCAGACAGAGCCTGCCTTCACGGTCGGTCTCTTCAAGATGAGTGTATGTTGATCCTTTCACCAACTTCAATATTCCAACCTTGAAGCCCTTCCCTCTGCATTCTCCCATTCTCCCTTTGTTTATTTATCCCTCTTGCCTTTGGATCGGCAGTCCGGCTTGAGAAGAAAGTATACATAGAGCTCTACTAATAATGGCACAGTACGGGTTAGTTGTCCATCCCCATCCAGCCTCGAGTGCAATCTACGAGTCGCCAGATAAATCATATATACAACGATCCAAGAACTAGGAATGATGCTGATGACGTTGGATCAGATATGGCGGGCGTAACCCCTACGATCAGAGAGGCGGCGCTCCTGCGCCCCAGGGGGAAGCCTACGATCCTTACGGAGGTCCAGCGCCAGCATATGGCCGCCCATATGACAGCGCTCCCGCCATGGGACGAGATGATTTTGCTGGTACTTAACCATCTCTTGGCAGCTCTCACCACTGAATCAGAGAACTAACACCAGTACCGCAGGCCAAAACCTCGAAATGGAACCCTTAGCACCGAATGGACAGCAATTCGGCCACCAAAATGACCCCAATAAAATCCTCAACGAATGTCGTGAGATCGATAGAGGCATTGATGAGATCAAGGCCAGTCTCGCAACCCTGGCTACTCTGCAACAGCGCTCGCTCGACGACTCCGATTCCTCCGCCCAGAGCAACACCAACCGACAGCTCGATGCCATCTCCGCCGAAACCATGACCATGTACCGCAACTTCGCGGGCAGAATCAAGGCGATCAAGCAACAACCCGAATCCGGATCTCCCAAGAATGCCCCGCAAGTTGGAAAGATTGACCGGAAGCTCAAGGCCGCGATCCAAGAATACCAGAGCATGGATTCGGCATTCAGAAGGAAGCTGCAAGATCAGATGGCGCGCCAGTACCGGATAGTTCGCCCCGATGCCACGGAACAGGAGGTTCGTCAGGCGGTGGAGGATATTTCGAACCAGCAGCAGATGTTTTCTCAAGCGCTGCTACAGAGCGACCGAAGAGGCCAGAGTAGAGCTGCTTTGAGCGCTGTTGAGAACCGCCATCAAGCCATCCAGAAGATCGAGTCTCAGATGATCGAGCTCGCGGAGCTGTTCCAGGATATGGAAGCCTTGGTTGTACAGCAAGAGGCGGCAGTCGTGAACATCGAGATGAAGGGCGAGGAAGTCGTAGAGAATCTGGACAAGGGAAACCAAGAGATCGGCACAGCTATCGTGAGTGCGCGAAATGCGCGCAAGTGGAAGTGGTGGTGCTTGGGTATCTGTGGTATGTTTCTCCTATTTCCCACTCCCCGCTTAGCACCATAATGATACTTACTAACCACGCGGCGCAACAGTCCTCATCATCATCATTATCATCATCATAGTCCTCATCTACAAATTCGTCGTCCAACAACCCGCCCCCAAATCCTCCTCAAAACGCTGGGCGCTCCCCGAGCCCTTCTACATCCCACCATTCAGCCCCAACAACGCCCAAAACGAAGAACGATACGTCGTCCCCGGCCTCGCCTGGTCATCCGACAACTCCCTCACGCCCACGCCAGAAAAACGCTCTCTCCCATTCATCGCATGAGCATGAAGCCAAAAGCAGCGTCATCATCCTAAGATTGTCACTTTGCCGATTTATTCCGCAAAAGACAACAACTAAATTCCAAAAATGAAAAAGAAAGAAAAAACAAACAAACAAACAAACCTACATGCGCGCAATACATTGCGTAGTCTCCTCCTTCCTTCCTTCATCCAAGGAGTTCCAGGCGTTTCTTTTTCCCTCCTGGCCTCGTCCTCCTTGACTTTTTTCCTATGTAGCACAAGAATAAACCGAAAGGCTCCCTTAGGCGGAACCCCGATCCCCGCGAGCGAGCGAGCGAGCGAGCACGGGGTGTGGGGGAGGAGAGAGCACGATGCAAAATTTCCTTTTTGCTGTAGAAATATTTGGCTTGTTATTTGGGCTCTCTCTCTCGCGCGCGCGTGGGGGGGGGGGCCATTATTCGAGGGGTCTGGCATGAGGTATATTATCATACCATACCATACCATGCCGTGGGGGCCTCTCTTTCTTTTACTTACCTTACTTCACCGTACTTTTTCCTTGCGTGGCCAAGGGAAAAGAAAGATAGGATATCTATCAGGCGAGGAATACTTGGATGGTTGGATGATTGGTTGGTTGGTTGGTTGGTTGGAGTTTTTTGTTTTGTTTGTTTGTATGTACGTATGTATGTATGTGTATAGGTAGGGAAGGGGGAGGGAAGGGGCAGGAGAGGGGGAGGGGAGGGGAGGGGAGAAAGGGGAGGTTGAATTGAAAGAATACCTTGGGTACCTAGGTAGTTGGTAAGAGGTAAGTAAGAAAGAAAGAAAAATATTGCCTGAAATAACATAACACTCCTAAAATATGATAAACCCCTTTTTCAGGGTCCTGATATGTTTTTCTCATATAAAAGCAATGCCGGAAACACCATGCCTCCCTCGCCTGCCTTTGTCCCGATATATAGTAATAACATTAGAGAATTGAGATGTGCGCGTGTGTGTTCATTCTTCCTTCCCGGTTTCTTCTTCCTTCTCCCCTTTCTCTTTACCCCTCTCTTCTTTCTCCCCCGCTCTCGCCATGAACTGTTCACCCGCGCCCACAATCTTCCTTAACATACCCATCTTCCTATCAAATCCCTCTAGCAAGCTCTGCATCTCCTCGTCGCTCAACACCGCAGCACTCGCACTACCCCTCATCATTCCAATACCCAGCCCATCATCACCACTCTTGCCATCCATACCCACGCCCTCAATCCTCAACATCAATCCACCACCTCCTCCTCCTCCACCTTCCTTATCGCCTTCCCCTCCAACCGCATCTTCATCCCCGCCCGCCCACGTCGGCGCCTTCTCGAGACTCGCTGATAGAACTTGCCAGTTCGCGCTCAGACTGTGGATTTGCTGGATCGCGTCCCCGGTAGTGTTCATATCGACCAGGATCACCCTCTCTTCTCTTTGCTGCGAGGGAGCGGGAGCGGGAGCCGGAGCCGGAGCTTCGCGGCGCGTTGCAGCAGCGGCAATAGCGGCAGCGGTTGAGGAACTCGATGATGTGAAGGAGGAGGGCAGTTTCTGGGATGTGGATGGACTGCTAGTATTACTGTTGGTGTTGGTGTTGGTGGGATGTAAAGAGCGCAGACATGCAGAGGTCAAGATCTCGCTCTCGTCGTCGTCGCTGAATAGATAGTGTATCTGGCGAGGGTGATGCGTGGTTCCGGTCCCAGGATCGTTGATTAGTGTGAAGAAGGGGTGGAAGGTAGGAGGCCGCGAGGCAGTGGAGAGCGGGGCGGGTGTCACGGTTGAGGTCGAGGGGAGCGTGAGGCTGGGTGCGGCTTGTTGTTGTTGTTGCTGGGAATCGGCGGTGTTTTGGCGGAGGGGGGAGGGCCGCGGTGGAGGTTGCTGCTGGGTGGGAGTCTCCCCCGTGGAGAGGGAGTGTGAGGTTTGCGGGGTGTGGGAGGGAGGGATTTCGGAGCTGGTTCGTTGGGGAGGTTGAGGTTGGGGCGTGGGTGTTGGTGAAGAGGATGATGAGGTCTGGGAAGGCGGATCTTTGTCTGGTGGCGGGTGCGTTGGAATTGGAGGTGCGGTCGACATTTCTCTGTGTGCTTTGCGGACGGCGGATCGTGGTGTGCTGGATGAGAGTCGGAGGGAGTGATGACTGGAGGAGACGAGGCTGGCCAAGCTTTGGAGATGTCCTCGATAAGCACTCGGCACGGGGTCTTATCTGCACGTGATCAACGTACTCGAAATAGGTACCGAGGTACCTACGCTTCTTCAAATTCCTTCATCTCAATAGACCCAACTTGTATTCATTCTTAACCAGCTTGTAATGCAGTTTGTTTATAGAAACGCTCTGGTTATTATTCTTCAAGCAGCCTCGCACAAGTGATGTTAATGACGTTCTACCTGCTCGCTAGATTGTCTAGACTCTAGAAGCAACTGTGGCTGGCCTGGCATTACATCAAGTGGATGCAAACCTATTTCCGCAATCTTCCCTCCGAGTGAGAATTCATACCGCTTTTCTCTTCAAGCATCCAGAGGCCTGCTTAAGATAATCAGCCATATATCTAGTTTGTCCATCTCGAGTCTATCTCCTCAATATTTCTTGGAACAGAAATGGGGGCTCAGAATTACGGATTACGCTTGGCTTGCTTAATACATCCACATATTGCCTCCCTCTCAAGCCACAATCCAAGATGTGCAACAAACTTTACAGACCTGATCTAGTGAACTGGCGCTGCCCCACATTCCCCAAATCTCCCTCCCACAGCCACGTTTTTCTGATGTGCAACAAAATTAATTCCATCGCTGTCAAAGTATTAGGTCGTGGCATTGGTCGGGGGTGTTGATGATTTCACGTGATCTACAAAGCTACCTACCTACCTGTCAGCTTCTTCTGAGACACTTCCAGATGGCAATCCGTAGGGAACATGCTTTGCGAATTTTTAAAGACGGTGGGTCATCTTTAGAAAGTTTGAAACCCTGGGATTGTACTACTTGGAATCACGAAGTCTCTGTTAATGGCAGGTAAGCGCAGCGGGCAGAGGTTTGAGAATAGGGGTTGAATAGGGGTAGCGAAACTTCTCTTCGTTTTTATCACGCTCCTGACTTTCCAACTACGTATGCATGGCGGCGTGTCTGATGTTCTAAACTCAAGTGAGTATGTCAATATATCCCCCCGAGGACCGGAGTACGGTCATCGCACAATGGGATTTCTAGAGTTTTGGTCATGGCGCGATATAGACCTTAGCTTTGAGGATAGTCTTCTCAACCAGCATAAAGAGCGCTGGAGCTTTGAGTCTCCGCTGGACGTGTAAATTGATATGATACTTTGGAGTTCACTAATTAGATATGATATCAATCATTTTGACACTGATTCTTGGATCAGAAATTGTGATGCAATGCTTCAGGATTCCTGTCTTCTTGTTGCTGCTTCTTTATCTCCTTTTTTCGAGAGGTTCTATTCACATGTCCTTATCAGATTCTATGGGCGAATGTCTACTCTCTGAATCATAGGCAAGGAGTTTCAATCATCCAATGATTCAAAACGAAACACTATGAATGGTATACAATGTTTGCATAATTTCTGTATTTTGGCGTGATAAGAGTCACATTGCAAAGCGAATTTCTCATGTTATAATGATAAGATCAAGCTTCTTTGAAATATATTTCAAGACCTTTCATCATCATTCTCCAAGCTCAACATCACAACTTATCCTCCTCCATATCAACTTATCCCTACATAGCGACTCAATAACCGATCAAAAGCTCTTCACATCACATCACAAATAAACATGGATACTTCCAACGTCGAGCGACTTGTGGCGATGTTCTTTAATCTGTCAGAGGATGAAAAGGACAGATTTACCGAGATAATCTTCTCTGACCGCAATGACGATGCACAAAACGAGTACGACGCCTCTGAAATGGAGTTTGACAGTGGAGCAAGCAACAACAACCCAATCTCTGCAGCCCTTACCAAGCTGTTGAGGGATCTCATCGCCACCGATAATAGCACAACACCAGTGGCCAAACCAGTCACCGTTGCCCGTTATGCAACCTACGCTTTAGAAGAAGCATCGCGCCCCTTCCCGCCTTCAGTCCGCAACATCCTGCTCCGAGAATGGGCCATGGACCTCAAGCTCTGGCCCCAGAACAAATCCACGCTCCAAGAACAGGCGCTCGTATCGACCGGACTCCTCTACAACCACATCATCACCGTCTTAGACAACGAGCTGGAAAAACTCCAAACGAAGCTCATCAGCGAGCCAATCGCAAACAGCACAGATCTAAACGACAACAAATTCTCAACTCTTAAAGATATGAAAGACGCGCTCGTCGTAAACCTAACAGTCCTCTTCCAAGACGTCCGCAACGTGATCCTAGCCCAGCCCCCCGCATCCGGCAGTCTCCAAACCCTATCCCTGTGTCTCGAGCGCGACAAGAACCTCACCCTGGAACAGAGACGCGAAATCGACGCCATCGATACTTTTGAGGAGCGCCATGATGCTATCTGGGATGAGTGGAGAACGCATTGGTCGACGGAGAATGGGACGCAGCAGAATGCGGAGGCGGCCTGGGATGATTTGGAGAAGCGCTTGGAGGCGTTTGTGGATCGGGAAATGGCAGATGCAGTTCAGGCTGCGGCGCCTGTGGAGGATCTGATGTGATGTGATGTGATGTGAGGGATGGAGATAGTTGGTGGGTACAGAGAGATGAGAATTTGGCACTGGGCTAGAGCAATCTTGGTATTTAACGTTGATCTTGGAAAGATAATGAATGACACACATGATGAAACCTTAGAAAAAGTTTGCTTCGGGTTTTGAGTGACCCTGCTTGAAATATTTGAAATCTCTAGAAGCTCTCCTTTTACACTTGCTAAGGGAGTTCTAGGGGTTTTGATTCACAGTTAAGTATAATTGAAATTGTCTTAAAACACTTCAGGGACACGCTCTTACTGGGACACTTTCTATAGCCTTTCCCCGTTGATGCTAAGAACCATTACAGGAATTTTTGTGCTGTATTCCTACTGATAAGAATCAGTTGTTATGATGATGGAAAATGTCATTTTCAATTGACCATGTAAGTAGGAACTCTGGCCCCTCTGATGTTATAAAGCCACAGCTCGGATCAACCATTACGATCCTTCCCTCCAATCACGCTTCAGTTCCTCTCGCACTCCCATTATCCTTTATGAACCCATTTACCCTATTCCCTCACCCAACAATAATCGCATCCACGAACGGTTCCCCCTCCACCTGAAACATCGTAACCACATTTCCCCCCTCCAAGAACGGCACCTCCTCAAGCGTCACATTCCCAACCCTACCATTGAAACTAACCGTCCTATTACCCAGAAAATTCATCTGTACATTCAATTTCCCCGTCCCACCACCCACAACAGTTAGCTTCCCCATTCCCCCTTCCGCGCCCCGCATCTTGACATCTGCGATTTCCGCCCACCCCCCCTTCCCGAACCGCACGCCATTCTTCTCGATCGTGCAGTTCAGCCCTGTTTTCCGGCCCTCGAAGCTGCCGATGAACGTCCCTAGCAATGCATCCTCGGCTTCGTAGCGAGGGCCTGGGCTGGACGGGACCCAGATCTGGATCTCTGAGACGGCAACGGAGTAGTAGAGCGCGTTCAGGAGGGTTATGGATAGGTAGTCGGTTTCAATACTTAGATCTGAAGAGGCAGTTGTTGTATTGGTATTGTTGGTCGTATCACTGTTGAAGAGGATCGTGTTGAGCGCGTTAGGCGTACAGCTTGTCCAGGGGTTCCGGGAGGCGAGGACGCTGCCGTTACGATCATGGATTATGATACCGTGAGGACAGGCGATGACACCGCCGCGAGCAGTGTCATCGTAGATAGCTAGGGAGATGCTGTTCATTTGGCGGGGGCGGGGAAGTGTAACGGAAATCGTATTGAAGGGCGTCTCGGATTGATTGTTGGTCCATCGGTTGTCGGGAGTGGTGTCGTACCAGAGAAGGCCGTCGATCATCTTCCAGGCTTCGTATGGTGAGATGTCGCCGTTGCTGCTAAATGTGTAGTCAGAGCTGATGTTGGGGAGACCCCAGGGTGCATTGGGGTTGATGAGGATGTTTTGATAAGTTGGTTGGGCGGCGAGTCTTGCTGCTGTTTCGCTGCCATCGAAGAGGGTCACGTTGAGAGGGGAGAGAGTGGCCTGGTTGTGTAGGAGGCTACCGTTGGAATATATGGATAATCCTTTTTTGTGTTCGAAATTTGTATAATGGCCACCATTCTGATCCCACAAAATGGAGAAGAGTGAACCTAATCGTACTATTAATATGGCATTACTGTTTTCAGAAGAAAGGAACTTGCCATGATATGGAAGATTCTCAATTGCAAAATAAGTCCAGTTGTCGGGAACAAGTGGCCGGATTTCTAGTCTGTCCTCTAATGTGGGAATAATTCCAACCAGATTCGTAAAGAAATTGTCAATATAAGTCGAATGTAGGTAGTGTTCGCTATGATTTGTCGTATCACCCGACCACATGTCAATCGTTGGATAATGACACTCAGCAGTGTAAGGATTGCCGTCTTTGTAGTTCGTCCTTGTGTACGTATCGAATGCCTGTTGGAATAACCCTGGTGTGATAATTGTGCTACGGTTCTCCCTTGCTATTCGAGCGAGTGTTCCGAGATACATTGATGTGCTGAAGGGCCATGATTGGCCTTGCCAGAGCTGCAACTTATCAGCAATGCTTCTGAAAACTGTTTATAAAACTGGTTTGCTCGTGAGGGATTTGACAAATGAAGCAGAAAGCCCGTAAACCCTCAAGAGCTAATTACGAGACCTGATACTTACACAACAATAAGTGATGTTTTTGAGTGCCGTATAATACTTATTCGACTGCTCCAGAGTTGTCGGCCCATATTCAGTCAAGAAACTAGTATCGGTCAGACCAGCTTCCAACCCACGGATGAAAGCATCTTCTGTTCCAACATCCAGCCGATAAAGGAAATAACCTATCAGCTGTCGACCTATGGCTTGAAGATTCGTCCCCTCAACGACATCGATCCAGAACTGAAGCTCATCATTCCATAGCATACTTAGCATTTTAGAATAAAGGGTCGATGCTGTTTCATTCCATTCTCGCGCAAGAGAGGCGTCACCGGCTAGTTGAGCGATTTCTGATATTGCCCGCGCTCCAGCTACCATGTACGCATTGAAATTTGGCCTGTAAGTCTCGGGACCTAGCCAGATGGTGTTGAAGTCGTTCTCAAAGCTAAACCAATCTTCCACGGGTCCACCATTTGGCCCACCCGTGAGAAAACCAGGGAGTGAGTATTCCTGAGCATCCGAAAGTGGTGTGCGGTGATACAGCCCAGTGACGGAATCAACGGTAACATTCCATAAGTTAAAAGTCTTGATCATTCCCTGCAATTGTGCTTTCAGAAAGCTGACATCGCCTGTCGCCTGTGCGTGTTCCAAGATTGCTCGATGGATATAGTGGGTGTAGCTGATCCCGCTAATGGCTTCCACGCCTGCGCGCATATACAGAGAAATGACATCCTTTGTATACCTGGGATCTCTCAGCCACCTCCCCTCAACTATTTGGTGGGCAGCCGAATCAGGGATGGTCTGCAGTTTGCTGGCCCATGAGACCGGATGGATGAATTCGGTGAACAGCCAACCATGTCCTTCATGGGCAAATTTGAGATGCCTCTTGATCACGGAGGTCCGGTAGTAGTAGACATCCTGGATGGACTTATCGGGTAAGTCTATAAAGGGGATATTATCTAGATACCACTGGGGATCGTCAAATGTCTTTATGTAGCTTGAGTGATTGAGAATTGATGTTGTTGAGAGGTATGCATCAGGAAGAGGATACGGTCGTATTGGGTCCTGAGAGTTAACTCGGCTTGCTAACACTGTAAGCAGGAGTAGATTAAGCAATATTTCCCACATCTTGATCACAGCCACAGGCGTACCCAGAAAACTTCTAGAGGGCAGGAAGCTCGACTTTTCAACAATTACCAACTCCTCACTAACAAGGAAGATCAACCCATATCGAAGGCTGAAGGGGTAAATACCCCGCGGTCATGGGGGGTAATAAAACTTTCGAAAAAGAGCTCCAGACCCCGAACTTCAGCCAATCAGAACAAAAAAACTCCAACCTGGTTCTGACTACCTTGGTCATTCCATTGTACGCTCTATTATATGCTTCATCTGACTTGCGGGAAAATAAACAAGTAAATGCGGGGAGTAATGTATAAGGTCAAAAAATGGTCGAAATTTCCTCGTTGTACATCATGAAAATCCCCGCGTTGGTATGCGCACCAATCACAAATCGACGTTGGGTTTGATCTGCAAGAGAGGAGGCGGGGAAGCTGGAGTGATAAAAACGTGGGGGAACTCGTTGGCAAACCTATCTGACACTTGGTGAGATGCAAATAATGCAGTAGGCTTTCATCTCTGTAAGGGCTTTTGCGAAATTGAGATAGAACGGCTCCCTAACAGCGAGAACACTTCGGTTAGGACATGGAAAAAGGGCACTTCTTCCCACCAACCAGATTTTGGACAAGCTTTATTTTACTTCACTTGTTTTTGAGCTGGGGTCTAAATTTTGTCCCTAGAGAATGCTCACTCCGGTTCCTCCGATGAGAACTAGTCATGTTGCTGGGTAGCCAACAATATTACCGCTGCAGACTTCCACTCGGCAGTTCAAAAACCTGTGAATTGTTCTCCACCAAACACTCTACCAAAGTAACTACACCATCCTGCCCCTCTGTCAGACAATCACTTGAAGCCTGGTTCTGAACATTGCCAGTTATAGCATAATCCCACTTCTGAGACTTATGCCACCCTTGGCAAACTTCAAGAGCAACCGTACCGCTTTTCGCATCTCTCGAGAGGCACTTGGACAAATCCGAAAGGCTGCTGATACTACGACCACTTGTGATTTGCCAGATTTGTGTATCAGATCCAGTGCACTTCGTCCACCTTACTGAACTTCCATTGGCAGTGAGACAGTTAAGAGATGCAGTATTGAAAATCATGCCCGTAGGTATGGCGGCCAGGCGACTGGAGACTCTGAACACCGCAGTGCCATGTGAGGGAACGTTGGCAGTGATCTGATTGGAAACCTCGCTGGTTGCACCTGTCCAGAGATCCTTTACGACGAATATCCCAGAATATTGAGAAGGATAACCGAGTCGTTCAAATGGGACGCTGAGACTGCCCGCTTCGTCTCCACGATTCAGAATCGTCAACAACCGGTCCCCATTTGACAGACTTTTGGACAGTACGTCCCAGGTCCCATCCTGGCTGACCAGAGTGGCTTGCAGGCCAAGCGCATCTTGATCAATGGCAATCAAGTCTTCATTGGTGAGGTATGCAATCTCATCATCAGTCAGATCCGGGATATAAGCGCTAATAATCAAAGGTGCTGAAAAGGAGGCCCAAAGTGCAAAGTGGGACTTCTTTTCATCAAGGGTCAAGTTGGCATGGTCGACGATCAGAAAATCCGGATCATTGAAATATCCGGGGGACTGGTAGCGTGCCAGTAGTATCTCGAAGCCATAGTTAGTGAGGATGCTTTCCCATGGGTTTGGGGTGTCGAATGTTGCGATATCATTTGAATGGCAGGCAAGCTCTCCATAGCCTGGAACCCAGTCCATCACAAGATACCAATCTGTGAGATTGGCCTCCCCAGAAAAATAAGCTGGTGCGGACTCGCTGAAAATAAGTGGTCGGGACATGTTGAGGATAACTTGATGCCAGTGACCGTAAATATTCTTGTATGTCTGTTCGGAATCCAAAGAACCCTGGTTGTACACATTGCAACCATCTAACTTAAGGTAATCAATTCCCCAAGATGAAAAGGTTTCAGCGTCGATTTCCTCGTAGTTCAAAGAACCAGGGTATCCACCACAAGTCAGGTTGCCAGCATCCGAATAAATGCCAAACTTCAGGTTGCGGTTTTTGAGATACTGTCCTAACCATATAAGACCGTTTGGAAACTTCTCCGGGTCCCACTGGAGGGAGCCATTTGCAGCTCTTTCATGAAGAGGCCAGCAGTCGTCGATGTTGACTCGGTCATACCCAGCCTTCACAAGACCCTTGGAAACCATTGCATCTGCAGTTTCAGTAAAGATGGTCTGGTTAAGTGCACACTCGAAACGTGCCCAGTTATTGAAACCCATCGGTGGTGTTGGCATGAGAGCTTGAGAGGCGTCTACTGCCATTGAGGCCGCCAGGAGCATGAGAGTTTCTTGGAAGAGCATTCTGATTAGATAAAAAGGATTCTTCGAAAAGGATAATACACTCGATCTCTCTGTGCACCCTCACAAATCCTCATCCAAGATGAGATATATATCTGATTCCGTAATGAGGGACATGTCAAACCTGGAGAACTTCCAAGAGACCGCTATTAATCTAGGCTTGAAGATCTCTGCCTCGGTTATCGCATGTGCTGTAGGAAGATAGTAACGTTGCGAGTTCAGTAGTAAACGGGTCTGTTAAATCAATATAATCACGAATAGTTCTTGTTTTTACACCGTATAAACGCCAGGTTCTGCAGAGTCCAAAGCTGATTGGGAAGTCCTTTGCCCGCACGCTAGCGACAAGATACGGAGTATGTATGTGGAAGGTGGGGGAGCCATTAACATACGGCAGGCCCCGGTCTTCCTGTCAAAGAAAAGAAAGCGAAAGTGTAGATCATCGACTACGATGTGCTTTCAAGCACTTTTCGCTATCGCAAAACCAGCTCATATATATCCGGTTCATAATTCGGAAAGCCTTTCTGAACAACTTGATAAGAAACATGCTGAGGGATCTGACATAAAGAAAGGGTGTTGAAGAAAGAGATGTGTTCAGGCTCTCTATATACGTATGTTTTGCGATACGCTTCAATTATCAAGTGATATATGATAGGATATGGTTAGCAGAGCAGATGCGGATTATATGTAAACTCCATAATGATTATAGTGCACTTCCTGCATTCGAAGAGCAAGAGCAAGGCAATCATTTGATAACTACCCCGCTGTGCTGATAACGAGTTGTTGCGTGCTACATGGTACCCCGAACACCAAGCAGTGGCGACGAAACCTTACTCGTACACCTGGTAAAAATCCAGAGACGCACGAGGTTCCTGAATAGCGGTTCAAAAGCATGAAGACTACTGGAGTTCCGTGCATAGAGACATCAAAAATGCAGGTGCACACTAACTTATTCTCGGGAAATTTTTTCGGGTAGATTGGCGATCTGTGAATAAAATCGATCGGAGAATGCCAATAATCCCCAGCCTTAGGACCTAGCACATAATCGCCGAGAAGATGAAAGCATAGAGAAGGGGTAGTTCAGGCCTCGTACCATAAAAATCTTCCGCAGAGTCGAACAGCCCCTTGGATACACCGCGGCTCAAGTTAGACATTGACATGGCCAGCACCACTGCTATGGAGCATCTGGGTCGGGATTATTACCCCAGTTCCGAGTCTGAATTCCTCTAATGGCACCTTGATTGGCGTTTGGCTCCAGGGCCAGAACAGTGATATCGTTGTTCCGGTTCTTGAGGTAACAACCAGGAAGATAGAGTGTTTGCTGCGGACCAACTGTCCAGTAACGTCCAAGATTGATACCATTGACCCAAACCACTCCCTTTGTCCAGCCAGGAAGTTCTAGGAAGGTGTCGCCAAGAGTGTCGACATCAAATGAACCACTGTAGAAGACGGGTCCGGAGCTCACAGGATCCTTAACATCCAATCTTGCTTGGGGCGTGGGAGGTTCCTCCATGGATAGTGGGAACATCTCCCATTCCATGAGTGTACTACCGCCGACTGTGACATTCCCAACTATCCCTTTCCGCTGGTCGGGAATCCTTGGACCGTAGTTCACACGGCCCATGTTTTCGACCAGAATATCTAACACATCGTTTGGTTGTAAAGCCAAGGTCACAGTTTGAGGATACTGGTAGATGCTGTCGATAACTCCAGCACGCTTCCCGTTGAGGTAAATGAGGAGACGATCCCGAGGAGCATCTCCTGTCTCTAAGGTGCCGCTGATGGCAGATTGGACAGTGTGGCGGTATAGAATGAATCCATGCGATTGATTGAGCGCTTCCATGTTGGTTGGGGTTACGGCACTGATAGGCTGAGGAAGAAAATCGAATAGGGCCAAAGTAGGAGATACCTCGATCGAGTCAATTTGGATTGGTGGGATCTGCTTAGGGACGGGAGGTATGCTACCCGCAGCTACATACGAGCTGATGGTCTCTCGCAGTGCACTGTATACATCAGTTATTCGGCCGCTCTCGTCAAGAGGAGCACCGTAATCATAACTTGTTGTAACAGGAGTCAAGGAATCTGACCAATCGGCGCCGTTTTGAAAGCCCCAGTTCGTGCCACCGTGAAACATGTATATGTTGAAGGATGAATTGTTGGTCAAAATCCAACTCAAGTCCTCTTGAACCGCTTTGATAGAAGAGGCGGACCCAACATCGGTTTGGTAGCTGCTATTGCTGGCCCAGAGGTCAAGCCACGTGATATAATATTCGCCATCGAGTTGCGGCCCAAGACTGATCGGATCTGTGACATACTGGTCCCTCGCAGCAAAGCCAACTTGGGGACTGCCGTCTGTTTCAGCCAAAGCGCCATGGATTTGGCCGCCAATAAGATAAGATTCGCCCCCGCCATCATTGGTGTATAGGGGAAGGCCGAAAGCGTCATTGAACATATCTCGCAAGGCGGCCATGTAAGTATGGTCTGCTCCATATGAACCGTATTCATTTTCAATTTGAGCCATGAGGATGGGTCCTCCATGAGTTATCAACAGAGGCTGGAGCTCGGTGGCGAGGCGCTCAATGTATGCCTTTGAAGCATTCATAAATGGTGCATTATTGGAACGGACCACCATCCCAGGCACTTCACTAAGCCAAGCAGGAAACCCTCCCCATTCGTGTTCTCCACAGACAAATGGCCCTGCCCTCAGTACAACGTTCAAGCCCACTTCTTGAGCGAGACGAAAATACTCCGCAACATTGTTCCGGCCTGTCAGATCCCAGGTATCTGGGGTTGGCTGGATCTGGTCCCAGAACACGTATGAAAATATGGTGTTAAGACCCATTGCACGTGCTTTGTATAGACGATCAGGCCAGTATTGATAAGGAATTCGCTGAGGGTCCATTTGCCCGCCGATAATTTGGTATGGTTCACCATTGAGAAGAAATGATTGTCTGTTCCATGTAAATGATGAAGAGCAAGTCACAGAGCCAAAGGTGCTAAGAAACACGACGAAGGCTGTGAATAAGAAAGAGCAGTGCATGGTTAAGGTCGAGATGGTTTCCTATGTACGTTGTTCTCCGACTCCAGATGATATTCTCTATAAACATTGGGAAACATGGTGATGAGTATAAGACATCTCTGGGAACGAACATCACCTGATGACGCGCTGGCATTGACTCCGCTCACTGAGCGGCTAGATACAGATACGACATATCGAGATATTCGAGAGGGGTTCGTTAAGATAGTTCATGAAATTGAACGATAATGGGGTTTGTTCCCGAGCCTTTCACCCATGGCAAAATCTCAAAAATCAGCAACGTTACTTGATCGTCGCGGAGAGTGGACCTTGTCCTGTCGATCCTACTCCTTATCCTCCGTACTAGCATACGAAGAAGTTGGATTGCAGACCGCATTGTCCCTTGGAAATGGGATAGGAGTATGGAATAACACTCGTAGCTAACCCAGACTTCTAAGAATCAGTAGATACAGGTAGAATAGGCGGTGTAGAAAAGTGCAGACTCTAATCTTCACTGTAGGTCATTAGCACTTGAGCAGTTGGGGGGTGATGAGCAGTTCGAAATGTTCAAAGAGGAGAGGCATAAATAGACAAGATGTACTGTATAATGAAGACTGTCTTCAACCCTGATAAGCTGGGAGAGCGGGCAATGTAGTCTTGCCCATGACCCAAGCCGAGCAGTTGTGATAGTCTCGTTTTGTCGTTGACAAGACTCCAAGAGCCATGACATGAGAAGAGGGCGGTTTCATTATGCCGGTGGGGAGACTAAAGCTGCTTGCCTATCAGCCTTCTAGTGTTCAGCCAGGATTTTCGGAATAGCAATATGTTACCTATGAGGATAATCATATATTGATGTTGTCGTGTTGTCGAGGCTTTGGCGATGGGCTTCGCGAAGAGAAGGCTGACGTTCAATTTGGCGAGCGGCAACAGCCACCCAAGTCAGTTGAATTTTGTACGCGACAACCACCTCATGAACATCGAAAGCACAACCACGAATCATACACATCTTGAGCCATCCCAGCAGTCACATACGGACTCGGAGATGGTTGCAGCAACGTGCCTCGTTCGATAACGCCTCTTTCATGACGGAGAGCTTCAACAGCAGCACTCATGTCAGCCTCATCCACAGCCTCGAGCTCCCTCTCACGGGCTAGGACGCCCATCTTATTCCTCACCGTCATTGCCGCCGCATATGGGATCTATTATCTCCAGTCAAGTAGCTTCGAGGATGGCGAAACGCCTGCCGGCCCCGGGTTGCATCGCAGCAATGCGATCCATCGCCGTCGACGACGGAACACTCAGGACATCACCGGCTCTCTCTTGACAGACGAGGATGGGATCGAGCACGACGAAGATGCGGAGGTTGTTGCGAGACAGCCTACTGATGAGGAGACAGTAGTGGACGATCAGGCCTTCCAAGACGATTACAGCTGGGATCACGTCCCGCCTCAGCGCACGGGGCAGAATATCGTACAGCTACTCTTCCGCGTGTCAGAGGATGCCACAAGACGAAATGCGTACGTACATAGAGGATGTGCGTGTAATGCGTGTGGTGTGGTGCCTATCAGAGGGATACGATACCGGTGTGCGAATTGCGCTGATTATGATCTCTGCGAGGGCTGTGAATCGCAAGGTTTGCACATCAAGACACATATATTCTACAAGGTTAGAGTCCCGGCGCCGGCTTTTGGCCCTAGGAACATCCAGCCGGTGTGGTACTCGGGGGATCCAGAAACGACGATGCGAGTATTACCAAAAGAGTTGATTTCGAAGCTTAGTAGGGAGACGGGGTTTGAGAGGCCGGAGTTGGATGCTTATTGGGAGCAATGGACTTTCATGGCGAATACGGATTGGAGGGATGACCCTGATGATATCAATTTGGCTATGGACAGGAAGACTTTCGAACGGTGCCTAGTTCCATCGGGTGGTAACAGGGCTCCCAGCCTCATCTTCGACAGGATGTTTGCGTTCTACGACAGGAACAAGGATGATCTGATCAGCTTTCCGGAGTTCCTTCACGGACTGGCATATCGGAAGAAGAGAGACAAGTGGTCGAATATCTTTGACGCCTACGATATTGATGGGGATGGATACGTCGATAGGAAGGACTTCCTTCGAATCTTCCGCTCCTACTACGCTCTACACCGACAGATGCATCGAGATATGTTGGAGGGTCTGGGCGAGCAGCACATGAGCAGTACTGATACTCATCGCCTCGTCAGCAGTCGGCAGCCTCTCAGCAGCGCATTTGGACAGGATGGGAGATACCCGCCAGCTCCAGATCCGCGAACCGGCGAAGGGAAGACAGTCTTACCGAACGGCGACCTGGAAATCTCCGATGGGAAGGGGGTCATAAACGAAAGCGGCGACGATACAGGAAACCGAGAAGATGTCTTCAGGAGGAATCTCCTGAGTCGGAATCGATGGGATAGATCTGGAGCCGGACGCGGCTACTGGGATGCCATATTAAACCCTCCTGTTTCCGTTGAGCAGATGCCGGAAGTTCTCAGGAACCTCAACCGGGTTCAGAACTCAGTCACCTACGTATTGAATGAGCATCCCAACGCGCATCCCATCTTTGGGATGGCTGCCCAGGAGGAAGATCACGACGGCTCAGCTAGCGACTCGGAAGATCTGGAGAATGACGAGAACTGGCCTCCCCGTTTCGTAACGGTCACCGACGAAGACGCGGAAGCAGTCGACGGCCCCGGCACCACCGTCTCCAATGTATCCCGCAGCAGTCGGCAAGCGGTCGTTGAGCACGCCGTGCAGAGAGCACGCGCGCACCGCGAGATCTACGAGCGCTGGCGACGTCGCCAATTCTACACAGACGAAGAAGAAGGCGCCCTGCCGCCAGCAGACTGGAAAGAAGACGACGACGTCCTCAACGAAGACGACAGCGGCGAGAGCTCCAAGAATCCCCCGCCATCCCGCCCCCGCCTCCACTCGCGCTCCTCATCCAAGGTCCGCTTCGTGGAAGAGGTAGACGATTTCGACACGCGCTCCAACCCATCGACGTCCTCCCGCAGCGTCCCCGAGCGCTGGGGCGGCATCGAGATCCCCGACGCCGAGAAGGACGCCGGCAAGGAGATCCTCTACCAAGTAACGCAACAAGCCTTCAACGAGCTCCTGGACCCTCTCTTCAAAAAGAAAGAAGACATGGCGCTCCTCGCCGCAGAGACGAAGTCGGAACGCGACACCTGGCGGCACCTCTTCAGCACGCCGGAATTCGAACAGTGGGCGCGCGCGCAAGACGCCGAGGAAGCGAAGAGGGAGGAGGATCGCCAGCCGAGATCTACTCCGGCGGAGAGAAGGACTGATAATCCCGTGTGGCCTTTCTTTCAAGAGGTTGATGTCGAGCAGGTGCGCGAACGGCCGCTCGAGGATTTGCTCGCTGCTACTGGGTACCAAATCGCGCCCGACCCATTTTCCTCATCCTTTTCTAACCCCGCCCAACAAAACTCCTCTGCCGCAGCTCCTCCTCCTCCTCCCGTCCCAGAACCAATTCCATCACCAGTTCCAGAAACCGCACAAGAAGAAGAAGAACCCCACGATCCCACACTCCCTCAATTCCGCCCCTCTTCCTCTTCTCCCACCACTCCCCCCCACCCCACCAGCACCAGCACCACAGCACGCCCCCCTCCCCCACCAAACACCTATCTCCTCACGCTCTGGCGTGCCGAACGCGCCTATCTAGAGAAAGAAGTTCGAGGGGGCTGGGCGCGATTAGATAAAGATGAGTTTTTGAATGCGGTGGGGAGGGGAGTGAGGGAGGGGCGCGCGGGCAGTATGGAGTATTTGGGGAGTTGGATTGAGTTTTGTTTACCTTAGGATTATTGGGGGGGGGGGTGTAAGATAGGTAGATGTGTGAATTGAATTTGGATTTGGATTTGGATTGGATTGGTTTGGTATGTGTGTATGGTACAGATTTGATTTGATTTCGATTCGATTCTTGTTCATCTATCATCATATCCTTTCATCCATCCATCCATCCATCCCTCCTTAAACCAAACCCAAAAAACTCCAAAACCATGCACCCATGCACCCATGCACTCAACTCACTTCTTTCTTTCTTTACCCATCTAATTACGATACATATCTTTCCTCTCAGCCCCTTTTTTTCAAGGTTAATTAAGGATTTTACTACATGTATTGTATTGTGATTTCATGCCGCCCGCCCGCCTGTTCTGATGTTTGGCCGTAGGGCCTCGCTATGCAATATGCATATGCAATGTGATGTCATGCAGATTGGTTTCTTTCGTTCTTTTGTGAAAAGGGGGGATTGGGTTGGGGTTGGGGTTCCTTGAGCTTCTTTCTCGCTGATCTTTGAGGAAGGAGGAGGGGCTATAATATATTAAAGAGCGAAGAAAGAGCCTGCTAGGTAGGCCAAGACGCTTGTCAATATCATATTATATATATATAGGAGGAAACTCGAAAGCCTTCCACATTACAGTAGTGCGAAGATGCCCGTCCCGGCAAGCATGCCAACCAAGGTAGCGCCAAGGACAAACACTGGCGCCCAGCGGAACGGCTCTGGCCCGCTGGGTCCCGCGCTCTTCTTGCCCCCGCCGGTGCTCGTGGGCGCGCTCGAGCCGAATCCGCTGGCTGCTGAGAAGCCCGTGGCCGTGGGGTTGAACGTCACCGTGGTCCCGCTCCCCGCGGCGCTGCCGCCGCCTACCTTGGGCACGGCTGAGGCTGTCTGCGTGACCTGATCCTCGTTCGCGGCGCTCGTCGCTGAAGGGATCGGGGCACCGGAAGAGGGAAAGGCGACCACGTGGGAATCGGTGGAGTTGAAATCCGTCTGCGCCAGAGCAATGCGGTTGTTGTCCAGATCGTAGACGACGTAGGCGGATCTCAGGAACGTGTCGCCGAAGAGAACGGGCAGGTCACCCGCAGCTTGGATGCCTAGTTGACAAGCGGACTCGCCGTTGGAGTACGTGGGGGTCTTGCCGTTCGGTAGCGTCAGGGGGAGGACGAGCTGCTCCATGGATACTTTGATGACGGGTCCTCCCGGGCCACCGAAACCATAGTTCAGCGTCCCGGGGTTAGATGCGAGACTGCAGGGCACGATCGTGGCGCCGAGTTCGTTGGAGACGGTCGCTCCGAGCTCATCGAAGACAGCCTGCGCGACGTCGTCGGGGAGGAGCGTGATGGTGGTTCCGGAATCGAGGATCGTGGCTTCGGCATAGTTGGAGGGGGTGAGCTGGTCCGTTCCGGAGCTGGAAGTCGCAGACAGGGAGGTGAAGGCTACGGTGAAGGATGTAACGCGGTTGGAATATGAGGAGGGGTAGACTTTGATCGAGATGAGATCGCCGGTGTATTTGGCCGTGTCCACACCACCAAAGAGGACAGATCCTGAGGTTGCTTCTATTGACTCATGAGCATTTCCCTTGACAATCGCTTGGGGGATACGTACGGAGATCATTCAGCCAGAGACTGTAGGCATTTGCGTTGATTAAGCCCGCGTTGGCCAGCGCATAGGGCAGATTAGGATAGATGGTTCCATTACCCGTGTCGACATTAGCCTCGGAAGAGTTATATCCAATGCCCATAATCCCGATACCAATCGAGGTGTTGGTTGCCAAGCCCATCTGGAAATTCTTGACCTCGCCGCCTGCGATGGCAAACGTATCTTGGAAGTAATCGCCCGTGGATCCGGTCCCGTCGACATAGGAGATATTGAATCCGTCCGGCTCGACATCTACGTAGGTGGAAGACGAGGTTGGATCAACTGCAACAGGTCAGCATGGCATGCCTCATTTTGGGCCGGGGGAGAAGGGGACGCACAGCTACCACCGGGACAACCGCCGTCCTTCTCGTCGGAGCAGATGGAGGCCTGGGAACTAGGAATCCACACATCGGAACTGCCCGTATCGATCTGGACGCTCAGGGACTGGGCGGGCGTGCCCACGCTGATGTTCGCGGAGTAGAGGCCGGCTTGGATGGAATTGTCCAGGGTGGCAGTCAGAGTGTCGGCTCTCTCGCCGAGTGCGCGGCGTTGCAGAGCCAGAGAGCGGGCCTTGAGCTGTGCAGCCTGGACATCGTGGTTCTTCTGAATGTCCCAGCGAAGGGTGCCGTCCGCGGCAGCGAGGGAGAGCAGGGAGGAGGCGAGCAGGAGATGGGCAGCTAGCCGTGCCATGATTGGAGGGATTGGGGAGGATAAGGAGGAGAGAGGAGGAGGAGGAGAGGGAGAGACGAGAGAAACGAGGGACAATCAGAAGAAGATGAAGAGAGGGAAAGCGGGCGGGAAACAAGGAGCCTCTCTTTTCCTGATGTGAGAGGAAAAGCCTCTCGTCGGACAAAGGAGGATGATGTAAGCCTTTACGAGGTCCGAAGCGTTGGAAGTTTTAGTTTTAGGATTTAGGGTCGAATCGTGGCGCCGGCTGTGGCTGGAGAGGGTCCGGGTCTATGACGCGGCGGATAAGACCGTGAGTAGGTAGTAACGGTTGTGCGGGTGAAGCCGGGCGAGGAGAGGATGGAGAAGAGAGAGAAGAGAGAGAGAGGAGGAGGAGGAGAAGAGAAATAAGAAGAAGAAATAGAAGAAAAAGACAAAGGAGAAAGGAAGAAACCCAGACAAAGAAAAAGACGTTGTTATAGATGTTATACCTACCCAGGTAGATCTGCGCTGCCCTGCCTCAGGGTCTGCCTCAGGGTGCCGCACGTTGGTTTTGCCCGGGAGACGGGAAACCCCTGTCCGTTTGATCTCGCGCCGAGCCACAGGATTCCCGTCTCAGCGTTCCCTCCTATCAGATCGTCTCCTGCCATCATCATCATCTACGTACGTATACCGAGTACGCAACACACAACACACAACAACATCCAACCAAGATCATGACAATCGCAGTATTGCCTACCTCGTCAGCCCGCACAGCCACGAGTAAGCACGTCGATCTTTCTCTCCATGCGCCATATCACCGAGTTCCGATTCCGGGAGAGAAATGATTGTAGCCTTGTAGGATAATCATTACGCATCCCATCTGTTATGCCTCTCGTTCCCTTCCTGTCTGTATTCCCAACCCCCGGCACATTCATCTAAGTACTGTACATCATATCATTATCACGATTATAACCCTTCCCCGCCTTGTTGTCCACTTTATAGCCTACACATGTGGAATTACCGGTGTCCCGACGTGCTTCCCAAATGCCCTTGACTCTTCAGGCACAGGCGTATTCAGCTCCGCAGAAGAAGCCGAGCCAAGAGAGCCAACCCTTTTGACACAACCACATACCTAAACCCCTTAATCCCAGTACTTGATAGCCCCGTCCAAGCCGGCCGTGACCACCTTCGAACTCTCCTGCGGGTGCCACTCCACACACGTGACCGCGCGATCGCTCGCCTGCATCTTGTGCCACATCTTGCACGTCTTCCAGTCCCAGAAGCAGACGTACCCGCCGCTGTCGCCGCTCGCCACGAACTGCCCGTCCGGGCTGCACGCCACATCGATCGCATAGCCCGCCGTGTTGTGCCCTTTGAAGACCTTCTTCCGGTTCTGGCGGAACTTGTCGTTCGCCCCATACACGAAGATGTTGTTGTCCGATGACTGGTACGCCACGTACTTCCCAGACGGGTGCGCCGAGGCGCGCGTCATGGGGTACATGTGCGGCTCCGCGATATACTTGATGGGCACCGGGATATTGTAGTCCCAGGCCCGCAGCGACTTATCATCGGACGTCGTCATGAAGCGGCGGTTCTCATCCACGAACGTGATGGTGTTGATCGCTGCGAGATGGTGATCGTATTCCTGGACGATCTCTCCGCTCCGGATATCGAACTGGATGATCTTCTTATCTGACATACCCGCCAGGAACTCGTTCGAGTGTTCGGGCGACGGGTTGAAACGGATGACGTGCGGTGTTTTGCCCGTTGTGAAGCGGTTTATGCATTGTCCAGTTTCGGTATCCCAGAGCTTTATCATGCGGTCGTAGGATGCAGATAGGAATTGTGTACCAGAGGGGTTGAACGTGATGTCGGAAAGAGCCTTCGTGTGTCCTGAATACGTCCGTAATAACTCCCTCTGGTGATACACATCCCAAATCTTGACTGTCGTATCCGCGCTTCCAGACAGTAGCAGATGTCCAGAGTTAGGAAAGAATCGTAATCCTGCAATCGGCTTCGTATGGCTCTTCCAGGTATGAACCAACTTCTTTGGCACATAGTTCTTCGTACTGCCCACTTCCTTCCTTAAATCGATATCCAGATCTTGGGGAACGTGCATGTAGGTCCGGCCCTGGTAATCATACTGTTCGCTCCCCTCAAATACCGAAGTCTCAGCGCCCATCTCCTCAGCTTCTTTCCGTTTTGCTACCGCCTGCGGTAATGCAGGCACCACAGCGCCACTCTCAACAACATCATCCTCTTCCTCCTCGACCTCTTCGTATTCCTCATCACTAGCCAACTCCTCGTCCTCTCCCACCTCCTCATATTCCTCCTGCTTATACTTGGCCCAAGGTCCCACATAGGCATTATCACCCTCCGCGACAGTTGCATCTCCTTTCTTTTGTCTCTTCGCTCGGATTCGCGCTGCTTCGGCCTTCGCAGCAGCGCCCCCAAGAATCTGCCTGTCTGGCCCTCGTTCCACAGCTCTATGTTGACTCCGGAAGGTATACTCGCTCAGGTACATCTCCTCGGCATGACCAGTTGGTACAGTCTTGCGCTTCAGGCTATTCTTCTCGTCTCTGAAAGGATTGGCGGGCCCCTGGGTAGGCCGCGACAGATCTTCCGCCGTGTAGGGAACGACGGCATGGTCTGGTCCTTCGGCTTGTCGTACGATGAGCGCGTTTTGGGGCGCCATATTCGGCGGATACGCACCAAGGTCCGCCATGGTGGTTTTAGATGAGTCGATGCGGTTCGGGAGTTAGCAGCGTGTCTTGATGTGAGGGGAGTAGACCAGGTTGCGATTTATGGAGGCGCGAAGATGCGAAGGCTCGCCGAATTTTAGCGGCAGCCTCGCCGTAATCTAAGAGCCTAAGGCATCACAATCCCGTCGGCCTCACTTGGTTGTTGGTTTTGGCAATCTCAGGAATCAAGTTGATGAGCAATTAGCTAGTGAGAACCCCGTATCGAATACATGCTATCATCAGCGTGTACCCACGCATAGCTTCAATTGAAGCCCCCAGTATGGAATATGCCCCGTCCCATACCAAATGGAAGGAAGCAGACGACTCCGATGCCACATCCTCGTGATCTACTCGTTCGACATTTCCCCAAGTACGTACTATCCTGCCATATCTTCTATACATCTCTCTCATCTCAACGTCAATACTACCAGTCCCTTGCAACGAAATCATACTCCCACCGTTCTGGCTGCACCCGCAATCAGCCACCAATTCATTACGTCTCCTTATACCTGTCGCCGATCGAGGAAGCAAGTCAATGCGACTCGTCTCTGATAAGAGCTGTCCATAAAGTCAGCGACGTAATCAATTGATCGAAGGTTTGATGACTAAAATAGGCCTTGGATGCAGATAATGCTTCCAGAATACGAGGACAATAAAATGGGCCCGGGAATACGAACCTACGATCATCGAGTACAGATAGAAAAAGAACATAATCAAGTGGAATCCCAGCTTGATAAATGATTCCTAGAATCGCAGAGAGATTAGCACATATATTCACAGAGCGGTAGCAGGTTTAAGCGTGGCATCCATACCTTCTTGTGCACATTCAGTTTCCTGAAGATCTCAGTAGCATCAAGTAAATGTGCATTATCCACGATCCTATATTTCTAGTCAGCAAAGCACCATTGCCGTCATATAGCATGAACGTCTGGAAAGATGACAAAATGTCGAGCGCTTGGACAAATAGTATGAGTGATGTACGTACTTCTTGGCGTTAAAGGCGAGGAGTGGCAGGTTGAGAACAAGCGCAAGCCAGTAGCCGTTGATAAGGAACAAAAAGGTCAAGAATCCGTGAACAGCGGCTTCAGGGATGATGTATGTGTTGAGGCGGTTACAGAGATCGATGGGGTTAATGTAGTCACTGCCATCACACTCAAGTCAGCGTGAACTCGAACACTCTTGAAGTCTGCGGCTTGCTTGTCGCAAACCTCCGCAACTCTAGCATGTCTCATTCGAAGGGAATTGAGAAGGATATCGGCCGGGAGTTGACGGGGACATACCACTCAAGATCACTGTACATGATCGTGAAGAAAACTTGTAGGAACAGGTTGACAGCATTAATCAGTACCGCTAACAGGTACAGCCAAGCCTCGCCGGACATCATGATGGGCGTCGATTGAATCGCCTAAGCTCCTGTGTTCCAAAGATAACTTGTATCTATCTGTTCCTCGCACTGCTCGTCCACTGCGGCACAACAAAGTTAATCCGTTGACGTGATCGAAGTTCGGTCGGGGGAGAGCTTTTTCGGGGAGGGAGTCGGCGGGGTAATCGCAGTTAAAGGGGGCTGGGAGTCGGAAAGGGCGGAGGGTTAAGCGGGAGGGTAGGAGAGATAGGTGGAAAGCGGCACAGAGTTTGAGATGTTGTCGTGAAGCTGTCGACGTAGAAGGCAGACGGGGTAGGTAGCTCAGTGATGAGGCTACTTTGGCGATGGAAATCCTGTCGAAGCTTGATGTCGGGGGGCCACGCTACCATTTGTCCGCTTAATTTGTCACATGTCAGGGGCCGAGCTACCAAGGTGGGCTTCGGGTCAGAGCGTACTTTTCCTTCTATAACACATAGATCACTTTGTCAAGATACGTGTTTAAGCTGTTAAGCCTGATATGCATGTCTATCTATTTTGATGCCGCTAAGGTATTTTAAAGATCATGCGCCGTTGTGTCTACTGTCATTGCGATGTCTCCTCTTTCTTCTCGCCGTCTACTGCCACCACTGGCATAGGTACTGGGCCACCAGGGGAGTTTGGCGTTCGTGCTGTAAGAACTTCTACGCCATCAGCTGTGACTAGAAGGGTGTGTTCTGTGGAATGTTAGCAGGTTGTCGGCGACTTTCCACTAGGTCGGGGTAAAGAGAAGCATACCAAACTGCGCAGTCCTCTTCCCATCCAGTGTAGCACTTGTCCACTCATCAGGCCAAGTCTTATCTTTATGTGTGCCTAGGGCAACCATAGGCTCAATAGTAAAGCACATTCCCTCCTTTGCCTCTCCTACAGTCTTGTTCTTGGCATAATGTGGGATGTTCGGTGCACAATGGAACAAACTATTGATGCCATGGCCACAGTAGGACTTGATGACACTACAGCCTCTTGACTTGGCATGCTTTTCTATCACATTGCCATAGTTTCTGAAGAGCGCGCCTGGTTTTACCAACTTGATGGCCTCATCCAGACATTCTCGAGCAGTTTCAACCACCCGTACGGAGTCCGGGTCATTTTTTGCCTTTTCACCAACATAGTATGTCTCGTTTAGATCGCCGTGGTAGCCGCCATGGTATAGTGTGACATCGATGTTCAGGATATCACCATCCACTAATGGTCGTTGATCTGGAATGCCGTGGCAAATGATCTCGTTCAAAGACGTACAGACGGATTTAGGGAAATGGAAGTAGTTGAGGGGCGAGGGGTAAGACTGTGATTGTCAGTTACTAAGATCTCAAGGAACTCGCAAGACCTCACATCTCTTTCTAAACAGGCCTTGTGCACAATCTCGTCGATGTAGTCCGTAGTGACACCAGGTTTGATAGCGGCCGCCGCGATATCTAGGACTTCTCTTGCCAGCCTGCAAACCTTTCTCATGCCATCTTGTCCTTTCTTGTCCAGAATCTCAATCTTGTTCCTCACACCATATGCTCTCTCGCTCCTCGCTATACCATCATGCGCGTAATCAGGGTGTTGTATTGATTTCGGTACTTTGCGGCGCTCTGATAGCGGGTAGACGGGTCGTAGGGGGCCGGTGAACGGGAAAGTCGGGAATGGGTTGTACAGGCCAGTGTCTGGATCGGGTTCAGAGACAACTTTTGGAGCAATGAAATTATGGAGGAAATTACTCTGTGATTTATGCAACAATTTGTGGGTGCTCTAGAGAATGTTAGGATCTATAGGGTCTATACAGAACACAAGGCAGAGATGGCGGATGGGTTCGAGACATCCCGTGGGGGTCTTTGGGAGAGAGTCTGGGGCCGCAGGAAACAATCAGCACAAGTACTGAGATAGAGACTCACCCAATTCCTTTTGAAGCAATCCTGAGAACAAAAGTAGCTTTCCTTCATCCCCAGCTTGAGGCACGTGGGACATTGAAGGCTGCCGGCATCGTTGTCGCAGTCGTCCCCCATGCATTTTCTTGTCGCCGCTGTCTCCGAAGCCATGGTGAAAAGGTGAGCCTGAGCCAGAGTCTTACCCAGATATTCAAGAAGTGGCTCCTGTACTGGCTTCACAGCTCTGGGCCTTGGACGATTCTGCGCAAGGGCTGGAGAAGGCAGAGGTTTGTACGGCGGGGCAAAAGCAGTGAAGAGGAAGTTTGTCAGCCGCGTGGTCTTTGACGGAGCACGCGGCGTTGTGATTTGCGGCTCTTGTGGAGGTCACGTGCTGCAGTCAGCCAATCGGGTTTCGAGATCTGACCCAGGCAAAAAGTCGAACGTTAAGAGTCAGACGGGCCCTTCCCCATTTCCCCCCGCTTTTATTATACAAGCACCCTTTTACTATACGGGCACCCCCGCCTTACCTAATGTAGCAGCGGTGAGCCGTAAATGTAGACGGTTAGTAGCACTACATTTTTCTCGCTTGTACTCTGTACCGTAATCAAGGTACCGTTACTTCCGTTTGACATCTTATACCACAACTCCCTGTTACTCAAGATGTCTTCGCCGTCGAGCCCTATCGCCGTGCCGTGGCTGTCACTGTTACCGTAGGTCCGTCACCTAATATTAGCGATAGAACGCCGTTATCGCTACCGCCAGAGGGCTCTTCCGAGTCTTTCGACGCACGTGCTGGCTGCTACAATACTGTTTCTTAGTGCTATTTGCCGCGTTTAAGCAGCTTCTATCAGCCTGTGATTTGGGCGCTATATGAGTCACTTTTAGCACGTTATTCAAGCCGTTGTTTTGCCACTTCTAACGTGTTGTTTCAACTGTTATTTGAGCAGGTACCTGTTGCTAAGGTAGGTGGTACCTTGCTAGCAGAAAAGTTTTCTGCCGGTGGCCAGGGGGAGGGGCCTCGTATAACAATGGGGGGCGCTCGTGTATCAGCACTCTTACTAGGTACTGTACGTAAGGTACTATGCAGGCAAGGTAGATTTGGATCTTCCCGCATTTCATCTTCATTTTCGTTTTCGTCTACTATCAATTTATCTTGGACAAGTATGGCGCAGGACGGTAAGAAGCAAAAGACCGTCGTGGTCGGAGCTGGCCCAGTCGGTGCTCTTGCAGCAATATACGCAGCGCAAAGGGGTCATGATGTCGAAATCTATGAGCTGAGAAGTGGTACGTCTGGCTTACGACATGTTTATTATATTTATATTTTGACATTGGCTTCGCGAGTTGGAAGGCCTACCATCATGAATGTGAAGATATATTCATTGGGGTCTGAAGTAAAAGATCCTCGATTCGCAATGCTCAAGTGGCAAGGGCCAACAGGTTTCCAAGTTGGATTCGATCTACACGGTTCTCTAAGCTTGCGATACCTTTATATAAGTCTGAGTGGCTGGAAAGTCAAAAATTCCATCTACTCTTGTCCTTGTCCATATTATCACCATATTATCCCCGTATTATCCCTACGTTATTCAAGCCCCTCGCCCCCTCCCCAGAAGGCAAGGTTTCCTTTGCTCCAATGTTTTCTGACTGCGGATAGATCTTCGAAACCCTTCCACAACACCTCTCAATTTCACCAAATCCATCAACCTAGCGCTCTCAGAACGTGGAATCAATGCCATGAGGAATTCCGGTAGATCGGATTTGCTCGAAAAGGTCTTCAGTGGGACCCTGCCTCTAAGAGGTCGAATGATACATGGTATAACAGCTTCCGGCGAGCTTTACGAGCAGCCGCAAGATTATGATATTCACGGACGAGTAAGTCATCTTATGCTAGACCTCTATAAAAAAAACAATACTGATACCCTGATAGACCAATTTCGCGATCAATCGTGGGGCTCTGAACAAGGTGCTTCTGGACGAACTCGAATCCATGCCAAACGTGAAAATCTACTTCAATCATAAACTCACCGGCGCTAATCTTAAGAGCCACAAAGCTTGGTTTGAAGTGTCTGGTATAAAGTCGACCGATAAAGGGCCCACTTCCAGAGATGCCGAAGTTGAAGTCACCTTCGATTTTCTCATCGGAGCAGATGGTGCCCATTCTGCAACACGATATCACATGATGAAGTACACCCAGATGGATTATCAGCAAGAGTATATTGATACTCTATGGTGTGAATTTACAATTCCAGCCAAGGACCACCGCGAAGATGATCCTGAATCACGCTTCGCCATATCGCCTTATCATCTCCATATCTGGCCCGGACATGAATTCATGTTCATCGCTATTGCAAATCTTGTCAGTGTCACATTCCCCCTCCTCTTCTTTGTTTCTCATAATTAATAGGACGGCTCCTTCACATGCACACTCTTCATGCCCGTGTCCCACTTCGCTACCTTAGAATCCGATCCTCAATACCTGCCTACCTTCTTTGACACGCATTTCCCGGGCGTGACAACCCTCATCGACCCTGCCGATCTCATCACCTCGTTCACGGAGACTCCGCACCTGCCACTCATATCCATAAAATGCCGACCCCACCACTTCTCTAACTCGGCAGTCATTGTCGGTGATGCCGCTCACGCCATGGTCCCGTTCTACGGCCAGGGAATGAATTCCGGTCTCGAAGATGTGCGCGTCCTCTTCTCCATCCTTGATAAACATATCCCTGTCGACGTCCCCGTCAGTACGGAGTCACTTGCAGAAAAAAGAGCTAAAGCACTCGCCGAGTATTCGGAAATGAGAACGGTGGATGCACACGCTATCAATGACCTCGCGCTGCAGAATTACACAGAGATGAGGTCATCCGTCGTGTCCAGGACTTATAAAGCTAGGAAGTGGTTAGAGGAAACACTGAGCGTGTATGTCCCGAGTTTGGGTTGGCAGACTAAGTACTCCAGAGTGAGTTTTGGCAACGAAAGGTATAGCGAGGTGGTTCGAAAGAGCGAACGGCAAGGGCGATTGTTGCTTATTGGGCTGGTGGGCGTATTGACCTGTCCAGTTGTGGTTGGAGGGTTAGTGGCATGGTGGAGGTGTAGAAGGGCCACGAGAGGCTTGGTGAAGTGGACGGGTTGGCTTGCATGGAAGTGGTAGCCATATTTGGAGAAACATGCTGCTACTACAGTACGGGTCCAATATTGACCCTGTGAGTGCTCCGTGTCTCGTCTCTTGAGCCTCTCGTGTATCATTCCTCCCTCGATCTCTCAATTGGCCTCAATATACCTACGCTTTGTGGGCCATCCCGCGGCTTGCCCTGATGCTCAGTTCAGCCGCATTTACGAGTCAATGTACAGATGGAGATGTTTCCACTGCGAATTTGTTCTGAAAGAGGATAGCAAGTTTCTCGAACCAGGAGAGTGGCCCAATGGCTACAGCAAGTTTGATGGGTAAGAAGCGCCGAAACTTGCCAGTGTTTATAGGTGCATCAATGATTGTGGAAAGAAGTTGCTTAATATATGACAGATCTTGAATAGAGGGGGCGATACAAGGTGGACATCTCGTCGTCAATATACATCTCCCATACCATTTATTAGAAACGTCAAGTCCTCATCTATGATGCGCCCAAAAGAAAAAAAAAATGTGTTCTAGCATAGTTATACTGTCAATGGCAGTATCCCTCTCTTGCGAGTCACGCACAATAAGGTGGCTAAGACACACCATAGCTAGTGCAGCTAAGGGACCAAAGATTATACACTTGACTACAGGCGGTTTCCTTTCTTGTTTCACACAGTTTCTGAAACCTTTCTTTTTCCCTCGTTGATAAAAATAATCTGATAATTGGCATGTCTGTTAGAATTCTAGGTAGTGGTGTTCTGGCTGCCGAATTCAGCGCGTTTGGTTGCTGCTTTTAAACATCACCTGCAGCCTCAAGCGAGAGACATCGGAACGTCGTCCGTCTTCCTGACAGCCAGAAACGTCGTAATCCCCGGAACAATCCTCATTTCCTTATTCTTGTTTGCTGCTCTGAGGGAATTACCTGCTAGGTATATACCTTAGATACAGAGCCCTTCTTTCTTATCACCATGGCAGTCGCCTGAGTGGCTTTATTGGCTTCGTCAACGCCAACTCTAGCAGTATCATTACCTGAGTTGCTCGAGAAGCCAGGATCATCTGTCGGTCTTTTCCAAGGTCGACTACCCTCTTCGAATTTTAAACATGTCTCATATACTTCTACCTCTTGAACCCATTAACTTGGCAACCGTTTCGCGGTTACTGCTCTCGCGCTACTTGGCGAGCTTCCACGTCGATACGCATCACCACAATACGACGCCGCCCACTCAGTACTGTTATAAATCCGGATCTTTTAGAAGAAGAACGCCTGCCATACTATAATGCAGAGCGTTATTATCCTGTCCAACCTGGGCAAGTCTTTAACGAGCGGTACCAGACGATTGGCAAACTCGGGTTCGGTGCTGGTTCGACGGTCTGGCTCGCCCGAGATCTCAATTTGTAGGTCTCAACTTGTTTAGTAGTGTTGATTTGCTAATTCATGTATCTAGTGGGAAGTTACAGGCAGAGCCTGGATCTCTTGACTCTAGGCATTATGCGGTGCTTAAGTTCTGCAAGTGCGGCTATGTGAACAAAGAAGCTGCTCAGCATGAATTGGAGATCAACAAACGTCTGTCCAGTGGGAGTCCGTCAATCGAAGTCATACCATATATTCAACTCATGAATGAGAGCTTCGAAGTCGTAGGGCCAAATGGTACCCATTTTTGCTTGGTATTTGACCCAATGCGAGAAACTTTAACACTTTTCCAGTCCCGCTTGAAGAGAAAGAGGCTTCCGGTTGAGGTTATGAAAATGTACCTGGTGTGTCTGCTGAAAGCCCTTGACTATATTCACACCGAGTGCCGGATTGTCCATACTGGTAGGTTAAAAGTAGCCTTTCATCAGTCGGATCATAGAATTAACCTAGCCTTCTCTCAGATCTTAAGTTAGACAATATCTTAGTAAGCTTCGAGGATGACTCTGTGCTCGAGGAATTCGTCCAGGCACAGACAGAAAACCCGATGTTTCAGAGGAAAAGAGACGGACACTCTATTTATCAATCGCACAACCAATTTGGGCCAGCTCGACTGCAGCTCGGCCCAATTGTCCCGGTAATTGCAGACTTCGGGCACGCGCAGTGGATTAATGATTCACTGCCACAAATCCATCCAATTCAGACCGACTATTACCGCGCACCAGAAGTTATCCTGGGAGTAGGCTGGGGTTCCAGTGCGGATATCTGGAATCTTGGTGTGTTGGTCTGTACTAACTGCTATACACTCACTTTTCCCACGAAACTTGCTTACCAGACTTTATTGACAGCTTTGGAGTATGCTAGAAGGAACGGACACGAATCTTTTTACCAACATCCGTTCTAGCGATAGGAAATACATGGCGCGGAATCATCTAGCGGAAATGATTGCGCTGTTAGGGCCGCCGCCGAAGGAATTAATCATGCGCGAGCATAAAATGCGGAAGTGGAACTTCGCCCCAGCAATTAAGAATGACGAGAATGAACTCTGCCATAAAGTGTACGAGTTCTACGATGGCCCATTCTTTGATAGTGAAGGTAATACTCAAAATCATCACTACCTAGCTACCTTGTCACTAAATAGACTGATTCGTCTGCAGGACAGTTTCTGTATCCTGACCTTATTCCTAGTGATCTCATATTTGAGAACACGATAAGCTCACTTGAAGGGGAGGAAAAACGTGCTTTCTTGGACTTTGTAGTTGGCAATATGCTTTGTTGGGAGCCTGAGAAAAGAATGACTGCTAAGGAGCTGCTACAACATCCGTGGTTAGCAGATGTTGAGCTGCCTTGGATTTTTGAAGAGGCTTCATGACGGACAATGGTTGATTGGGCAAAGAGGGGGGCTCGGAACCTGACAACGTCTGAAGTCTATGCTTTGTTATTATGACCTGGAGTCTGGAACTCCAATGATAAGTTGGTGGCTTGAGGGCTCTTTTCCTGCAAGACACCAATCACTATGAACTCTGCTCTAAATGTTTTATTACATTACGGATTCTGCTCTCAATGTCCTATTACATTACTAAAACCGTCCCAGGTCTCTTTACCACCTTACTCGGTATCTTTGGAATTATTCTCGCACGCTTCGAGATCTGCGCAGCTCTTTGACCGAGGCGGGCCGAACCTTCCCTCCGACCCCTACATACCCGAGTTAGCATGTGCTGGTTGGTATTCAACAGCTTCAAAGTTGAATCCAATATTTTCCGTAGAACTTAAAGCATCGAGAGGATAAGGTAGAGATCAGTATCAATAATCCCTGAGCTCATGTCCCAACTCACGCGAGTTCGTCTTTGTGACAACATACGTATACAATGTGGCTACGAAACGTCAGAGTTTGGGTATAGGTAGGGCTAAAAAGGACTAACAAGGTACCGTGCTGGCAAAACTTGACTCTTGGATCATAAGTATGATCTACCTGAATCTGAGGTAGGTAGCTTGCCAAAGCAAGCATTCCATCGTTTCCAGAGCCCCCTATTGTCCCAGAGGTAGATGTTTGAAATGAACGTAAAATCCCACGCATATTTTTATTCAGAGGATCTGTACGCACGCATGATGAATAGCAACTGAAGTCACTTAATGTCGTCATGAGAGAGAATGAATATAGTCCCTTGCTGAAATGTAACTCAGATGAGCTGGCATGCGGTGGATTTGCAGATGCCACCAAGAGTGGGGGAGGGGGAGGATACACTCATATCACTTGAAAAAGTCCAAACCTTGTAAGCCCTTAAACTCAGGTAAAAGAATATTGAGAGATATTTGAAATACGGAGATCTTATATACCTAGTCCATACTTATACATCTTGATGGTTCTGTTGTGGCTTTCGAGTGAAGTTCGTTAAAATCGCCGAGGTGGTAGGAACTCCTACCTATAGAAAAAGATATTGGATACCAGTCGACAGTCGACAGCTCCTCCTACCTTAGTTACCACGTTCTCATCATATTATATATCCGTCGTTTCTATGTGCGAGGTAAATAGGCCGCGCCTAGCCAGCCGCTTTTCACTATGGGCACAGTTCGGTCCCACAACATCTTGAAGGATGACAACTTCTCCTTCGAAAAGTCTCTGAAACCTTGTCCTTCTTCGTGCTTGACGTTTTGCGTTGATTTTATTATTATTCATTAATTATTATTAATTTGCCAATACCAAGAGGAATCTAGTGACCTTACCCCAAATGGCACGCGGGGATGTAGTTCCTCAGGCTCATGAGCTCCCCGCACTGGACTCCACATCCCCCGACGAGACCCCCCAAGAAGAACAAGGACAAGGCGAGCCAGAACTCGAGCCATCAATCACCTCTCTGTCCAGAGCCGACTACACCTTCCCCGAAGGCGGGTTCAAGGCCTGGAGCGTCGTGTTCGGATCCTTCAGTATCATAACTGGGACCTTCGGGCTCCTCTCCTCCGTCGGCCTTCTGCAGGCATACTGGCAAGAGCACCAGCTCGCCGCCTACAAGACGCGGGACATTGGCTGGATCTCCGCCGTCAACGTCTTCCTGAACCTCTTCCTCGGCGTGCAGATCGGGCCGCTGTTCGATCGGCATGGGCCCCGCCACCTCCTGGCCATCGGCAGCGTGGTGTATGTCGTGAGCCTGGTGCTCCTGGGCCAGTGCAGCACGTACTGGCACTTCATGCTCCTCTACGGCATCATGTGCGGCACCAGCTCGGCCTTCCTGACGACAACGGCGCTGGCCGTCGTCGCGCACTGGTTCGATGCCCGCCGCGGCTTCGCCTCCGGCATCACGTTTGTTGGGAGTAGCGTGGGCGGCATCGTGTTTCCGCTCGTGCTGAAGCCGGCCCTGGAGCACCTGCGCTGGGCGTGGGCCATGCGGCTCGTGGCGTTGATCGCTCTGGTGTTGATGCTGCTTGGGAATCTCTGTGTACGCGGTCGTTTGCCTCCGAGGACGTCAGGGGGAACGGTGGATCTGAGATGTTTCCAGGATGCGAGGTTCTCTTGGGCAACGATTGGTGTTGCCTGTGTGACCCCCATCCCCTATCTTGAGAATATGGGTGTTGGGTCGGTAGCTGATTCGTGAGATAGGTTTCGAATTCGTGCTGTTTGGGTCATTGGGCTTGTTGCCCACCTATGCCCTGCGACAAGGCTTCAGCAGCCAGACAAGCTTCAATATCATTGCTATCCTCAACGCGTGAGTTCACTATTCCTCATACCACCCCTCTCCTATCCCTGATCCTCACGGGAGGAGAACCCAATGGTATCCATCATTTTCCCATTTACTCACGCCCAGGGCTTGCACCAGAGGCTCGGCCCTAGGCCGCACTTTCTCAGGCAACTTTTCCGACCGCTACGGCCGCTTCAACACCATGATCCTGACGCTCATCTGGTCCCTGGTCGTGACCTTCGGCCTCTGGCTCCCCGTCGGCCACCACGTCGGCCTCTTCTACGCCTTTGCCCCGCTGTTCGGCTTCGGCAGCGGCAGCATCATCAGCATGGCGCCCGTCTGCATCGGCCAGCTCTGCAAGGCCGACGAGTACGGCCAGTTCTACGGCACCAGCTACTCGCTCGTGGCCTTTGCGTAAGTTCCGGACCGTTCTTTCTTTCTCTTCTTCCATGTGCCGTGGGCCTGGGCTGATTGATTGCGCTTAGGACCTTGCTTTGTATACCCGTCGGCGGAGAGCTCTTGCCTACCATTGGAGCAGCGGGCTTCGTGGCCTTCTTCGGTGGCGTTCTGGTGTTATCCCTGATCAGCTTTGTGATCGCGAGGTGGGCCTGTTTAGAGTATAAATGGAAGTGGTTCGCGAAGATATAGTCGTATTGAAATGTAATAGAAGTCTTATCGTAGTAGAGACCCAAAAATGCATGCCGCGCAAGAGACGTCTTCGCATTTGGTGACTGTCCAATGTAGTGTTTGTTTGTAATTGACTTGCTGATTGAACAATCTCATATGATGAAGAAAGCATATTGAAGAACGAGTCTGATGAGTGCCTGACATTGTGCCGCGTTGTCTGGAACAGTCATATAATACAAAGGCTGGATGGAACTCGCAGCCTTGCAACCTTTGCGAAGTTTTCTATTAAGGTCAATTTTTAGAATACATAGTCTTTAGAGCTTCCTACCAGCCATGGCCCGAGCCGGATATACGCCATTCCACCTTATTTTAAGTTTTCCGTACTTATGATCCTGTCCGATACTCCGCGCCGCAATGTGAAAAACGCAACAACCAGAACGACACAATCATCTTAGCTGATCGTTGAAATAAAAGTCTGGTATTTCTCCTCCTCGGTAAGCAACTTCCTCGCTGGCTGCATCTGTACTGGCGGTGTTGGATTGGTCGTCGTCCATAGTATCTGGTTATCCATGCGGATAGTCTTATCCTTCTCGACCTCCTTTTCCTTCTCCTTCGCTGCGGATACTTGCTCAACCTCCCTTGGTAGACGCATAGCTAGTAACACGTATTCCGCTCTCGTCATGTTGTCCATGATATCATCCATATATCTCCGAACCTCGTCAGGGGGAGCAACAACTTTTTGTAATGCGTCAAGCTGCCGTGGTTGATGTGCGATTAATCGGATTGTAATTGGTTGATAATAATCCAATTGTGGATCATAACTTGGTGAATCGCTGCTGCTGCCTTTCCTAACAATCAGGAATGATGCGATGACTTGGCCTTGCGGTAAATACTCCAAAATGCTGAATTTCGGGAAAAGAAACCGATCTCCAGAACCACCAGTAAATTCAAACACGACCCCGGAGATGTCTGGCTTTGTTGAAGGTAGTGGCCCTTTCGATCGGAGCGCTTGTGATTGTGGTTGATACTGAGGCTCGGGTCTGGGGGCCGCTGCTGGTGGAGGTGCAGGGGTTGGCGGAGCCGCCCTCGCGATTGGGCTAGGATTAGGAGCAGGATTTGGGCAGAACGGTACAGCCTCCTTGCCGTTAACAGATGCAGGAGGTGGAGGGGGAGGTTGTGGATGTTGATACTGCGATGGAGGTTGACTCGCAGATTGTCGTGATCTCTGCAGACGAGTGAGCTCGTCAATATGTGTTTGAAATTTCTTGAGCTCATCAGGTGAAGCTTCTCCATTGGCCACAATCCTCATGAGCGCTTTCAGGTCAGGGTCTGTCGCAGCTCTCTCAGCAAGCATCTGAATTACTGGATCGGTGCTCTTGGTAGCTGGTGCAGCTGGTAGTGGAGCTGGTGGTGGAGCTGGAGCGTTTGCAGGTGGCGCGTTCGGGCTCATGTTTGTAGGCGCATGGCTATTGGGAGTCGCGCCATTCAAATGTGGTGGATGGCTGGCAGGAGGTGCACTGGCTGCAGGAACAGGGCTTGAAGAATTCTTCATCGGGGTATCTTGTGGTTTGGGAGGAGGTTGATATGTCGGCTGGACTGGTGGGACTTGTTTGGGAGGAGGTGCTGGCATAGGTGGAGGAGGCATAACCCCATTAGGAGGGCCATACTGGATGATCGGACGATACATGGGCTGCTGGGTGGTTGGTGGCATGGCTGCCCGCGGAGTAGGGTCTTTTATTGCCCACATTTGAGCTTCGAAAACGTGAGGTTCGACGGTGATCGTGCAAGTCCCAAGCTTCGTCATTGAGTCTTTCGGTGGGTTATTTGCCATTGCTGGAGTCCCCTTATTCTTCGCCGTTGGCTTCGTCCAATATTTCTCAAAGATTCCTTCGCTCAGCCATTTTGCTCGTGACCGACGTAGAGACTCTACTAGAACTCCACTGAGATAAAAACCAGATCAGCCTTGTACATCGAGGAGGGGGTTTTCGCGGATGGAAAAAAATGTACCTTTCCGAGATGGACTGATATTCTTTTGACGACAGGTCCTCGGGTTGAGGAGCAGCAATGGTAGGCAGAGGTTTGCCAGCATTAATACTTCGTGGCAGAGTTTCCTCGACCACTGGAGGAGCAGGTGGTGGTGTCGGTTGGGTTCGTGGTTCTGGGGGAGTTGAGGTCCGCTTCTTGCTGGCGGATTCGACTCGAGCAGCTCGAGCTGGTAACTTTCTCTTTCGTTCCATCGCCGCCTTCTCGTGTCTACACGCTCGGAATGATGGTGGTTGAGACGCGTCGCGCGGTCGGAATTGTGAGATGGAGTCGTAACCTTATTCAGCCAGGATGAAGGGGAGGCGGAGGCGGGAGCGAACACCAACCAGACTTCTATGCCTCAACCGAGCCAGGCGTTCTGCAACCTTTACGGCGTCAGAGGCGTCCCAAGGCTCAGAGTTCTTACGAGGTAGTTGCCAGAGTAATAAAGAGTAGCGGCTTGGCTCTTGCAACCTCCAATATATCGATTGTGAGTCTCTTTCTCGAGAATTCTGCATACATAATCACCCATTCCGTTTGCCTCCGAGAGGGGTCCGGGTTCAAGACGTGCGGCATCAAGGGATGACGCGGGTAAGGGCTCTGTTGACTAGGCCTTTGAGTCTTCTTCTTTGACATCCCCCCTATTAGTATGATCTTCTTGTACAGATTCTAAACATGTCTCCTAGAAGACAGGTCTCTGCTTAGAGAATGGCCCCGCTTGCTCCCATTTTCAGAACGGCATACTGGGTTGTCTTCTTTGGCATTTCGTTATATGCTCTTGCTTTGATTGCTCTGGTAAATCCATGGCTGCAACGGCAGTAAGCCGCTTTCATTCTCCAAACACTGCTCTGTGCTCACACAGTATAGGGTGTTGTACGCCCACAAAATCCGCTCTCCCTCGTGGTGGTTTGATATCAACAAGCCAGAGCAGTTCGGCTTTGCAAGTGAGTCTGAGCAAGTAACTCTCTCGGCACAAGCGCCTAACTGCCATTTCAGAAAATCAAGTCACTCCATTCAACTTCACCACGCCAGATCATGAGACGATTTATGCCTGGCACGTGATGCCGTTGGGCCTCTATGCCAAGCATGAGTCTGAGATCTTGCAGCAACCGTCCGGATGCGCCGAGGATATTACAAACACGAAAGCATTCAAACTGTTAAGAGATGATCCGGAAGCTAGACTCATCATCAATTGTAGGTGGTCACCAATCACCGCATTGCTATCTGCTAATGGTGTTTTAGTCCACGGCGTATGGTCCAGACCTCTGATACCCAACAGGCACTGCTGACTTGCATAGAATGCTGGAACAGTCGCGCAGGGCTGGAGGACCGACTCATATCGGGCGTTGTCCGATGGGAGCACTTCGAGTATCCACATCTTAGCCATTGATTACCGAGGATTCGGCCTCTCCACCGGCTTTCCAACCGAGGAGGGGATCATCAGTGATGGAATTGCGGCTGTCGACTGGGCAATGAAAATTGCAAAGGTTCCTTCTGATCGCATTGTCATACTCGGACAGAGTCTTGGAACTGCAGTTACAGCCGGAGTTGTCAACCATTTTGCTGAAAGAGGAACCGAGTTTGCGGGGGTCGTTCTAGTCGCGGGTTTCACTGACTTGCCAAGTCTCGTTACTGATTATTCGATTGCTGGCTGGATTCCAGTTCTGTCTCCTCTGAAGCCATATCCTCGTCTTCAAAAGTTCTTTACCAGTTACATTGTCGACAGATGGCCGTCAGCGACCCGCCTGTCGAACTTTGTTCGAGTTAGCAAGAGAGTGAGGCTTTTCATCATACATTCAAAAGATGACTACGAGATCCCATGGTACCACTCGGAAGGCTTGTTTGCGGCAGCAGCAAATGCGACTACTGATGGAGGGATAGACTCAGCTCTCCTCGAAGAGACGAAGACGATGAGCACCATTGATATGGGCGATGGCGCTTTCATCAGCACATGGAAAGCTGCTGGTAGCAATAAGATTATTAGGGAGGAGATTGTGGCTTATGGACGTGAGTGCTTCCCAGCACTCTTGCCTGCTGTCTGCTAACCTTTCTTAGACCATAGCCGAGTTCTGACTTATGCTCCTATTTCATTGGCGGCTCTAAAAGCATTTGATCTTGATGATGGAGAGGCAGTACCCCTTTGATTCCGGGAAAAATAAACTTTTGCGAAGTGATTTGTATGAATTATGTGTGGATAGACCTGCGAGTGATTTTGCCACTTCCTGGTTCGCAGTGAATGCGCACGCTTGGATATTCCTTGCTAGTGATAATTGGAACATATATCCTACATGTAATCACTCTATATCATCAAAGATTAACCTAACTTCCATGAATAACATGAAAAGGAGGTTCACGTGATCATGTTTGAACCCGGTTTAGGCACCTAATTTATTAGGCGGCAGTAAGGTATACATACCTAGTACCTAGTTCTGACCCCGCCAAACCGCCCTGAGGTTTCATGCCAGATCGCTGCAAGCCTTCAACACCAACGATGTCAGAGGAATCCAAGATCGACGACCCGGCCTCTGCGCAGAAAACGGTAGTAGAGGCCGCCGCAGAGTCGAAAGATGCCTCCTCCTCCAGCGCGCAAGTCGAATCTGAAAATGAGGACGAAGACGATGCAACCCCCACATCTGGCGCAGCAGCTTCAAGCAGCGCAAAGAAGAAGAAATCCAAGAAGAAGCGCATAAAGTCTGCATTAACTGGGGGATCAACTGAGTCTTCAGGAAGCAGTTCCCGAGACGAGATATCCAAAGCAGTCAGCGGTCTCAGCAAATCGCAAATGTCGGACTTATTGAGCTTGAACCCCGCTCTGGCTCAACAGCTGGGGGTTGCAGACGGAGACCTCTCTAGCAAACAGGCTACAGATGCGCTGAAAAAGCTGAGCTTGGAAGATATTATGACGGGATTGGCGGCCAATGGGAAGAATGCGAAGGATATGGCTTCGTACAAGTTCTGGCAAACACAACCCGTTCCGAAATTTGGAGAAAAGGCTGAGATTGAGGAGGGGCCCTTTAAGATCGTTGATCTTGAAAAGGTACCAAAGGAGCCTGGACCATTGGTGGATGGATTTGAGTGGGTGACTATGGACCTTACGAATGACGAGGAAATAAAAGAGGTGTTTGATCTGCTTTATGGACATTACGTTGAAGACAACGAAGCCATGTTCAGATTCAACTACTCGGTTTCCTTTCTGCGATGGTACGCATCCCAATATTACCAATAAACCACAGGGCTAATAGTTATAGGGCTCTGCTGTCCCCGGGCTGGAGCAAAGAATGGCATGTGGGTGTAAGAGCCAGTGCTTCCCGCAAGCTCGTAGCCTTCATCTCCGCTGTACCCATTGCATTGCGGGTCCGAAATAAAGTCCTCCACGCATCAGAAGTCAACTTTCTCTGCATACATAAGAAACTCCGATCCAAGCGTTTAGCGCCGGTTCTCATCAAGGAAATCACCCGTCGATGCTATCTCCAGAAGATATGGCAGGCTATTTACACAGCTGGCGTTGTATTACCAACGCCTGTTAGTACAACCAGATACTATCACAGGTCCTTAGACTGGCAGAAGCTCAACGACGTCGGTTTCAGTCCTTTGCCTCATGGCAGCAAGCCTCAATACCAGATCTTGAAATACAAACTTCCGAATAACACAGCTACTAAGGGGCTACGACCCATGGAAGAAAAAGACGTTGATGCCGTCCTTGATCTGCTGCAGAAGTATCTACAAAGATTTGATATGGCCCCCGTGTTCACCAGGGAAGAGGTCGTTCACTGGCTCCTATACAAGAAGGATAGTCCAGATGAGCAAGTCGCCTGGTCATACGTCGTCGAGGTACCTACCCAATATTCTACTACATAAACACCACTAACAACCATAGGACCCCACCACCAAAACTATAACCGACTTCTTCTCCTTCTACTGCATTGAATCTTCAGTCATAAACTCCAAACACACTTCTATTCGCGCCGCATATCTGTACTACTACGCCACAACTGTTGCCCTGCAACCCCACACCCAAGCCCAACTCAAAGAACGCCTCAATTCATTGGTGAACGATGCCTTGATCCTCGCCAAGAAGCTGAAGTTTGATGTCTTCAATGCATTAACGCTGATGGACAATGCGCTATTCTTGGAACAGCAGAAGTTCGGTGCCGGAGATGGCCAGCTTCATTACTACTTGTATAATTACAAGGCGAATCCGATTGCGGGTGGTGTTGACCACATGAATCGCGTGGATGAAAAGGGCTGCAGCGGTATAGGTGTTGTGATGTTGTAGGCGGGATGAGGGGATCGAGAGGGGCAATACCCTGCGGTGAAGATTGGCACTTACTCAATAGCAATACCGGAGGGAAAGCGATTTAGTCTAGAATAGTAAGAGCTGCTCCAAGGCATTTTACGTTGATTAACACATGCTTCCCAAATTCCTGCCTCATCGTTGCTTCCTAGGTCAATTCAGGATCATCCCCCTAGTCTTCTCCACCTGCGCCTCAATCATTTCATTATGCCACAGGTTATCCTCGAGCAGAAACATATGCCCAACGCCCTCCTTGATAATTCCTACTCCAGGCTCCAACATCTTAATCAATTTCCTTCCATGTGGGACCGTAATCATATTATCGTCCGTTCCATGCAACACCATTATCCTCTCTCTCCCTACTTTATCCCCTAACTCCTTCAGCTGTTCTGCGGACTTATAATGCCATCCAGCGGCAATAGCCTGTAACATGAACCCCTTTCTGGTAAATTTCTCCTTATCGAGACGCTTCGTTATTTCTTGGGCTGCGAAACGTTGGAAATTCGTCTCGAACTTCCCATAATGGCCACTTGGAGGGAACACCACTCCTGGAGTACCGGGCTGCGGGACAGGACAGGAATCAGGGGCCGTGAGCCAATCCTGGGCAAAAAGAACACGCGCAGCATCTGCCACTGCGCGATCCATGCTTTTGGGAATGAACATGTTAATTCTACTCCGCAGGTTCTCGAGGTAAGTGGTAGTATTCTCGATGGCCGCGGCGGTGGAGATGAGATTGAGGGAGCATATCCGGTTAGGGATCAAGAGGCCCTTGATCTCGTTAGAAGCCTTGCACTAGGTCTCGGTATTGGAGGGGTAATAGGGACAACGAACGAGTTCTTGCGAGATCATCCCGCCCATACTGACGCCGATGACATGGAGTTCACGCTCGGAGGTCCAGCCTATGTGATCAAGCAGTTCGATGACATCTTTTGCCATTTCACTCGTGGAGTAGCGCAATAACGGGGTATCAGAGCCTCCCATGCCTAGCACAGACCTTTAATATCGAGGCTTGTGGAAAGCTGGGAGAACAGACCTCGGTTGTCAAAGACTAAAACTGAATACTTGTCTCCTTCTTCATGGCCGTATTTGAGTGTTTGTCTTTGCCAAGCAGTCTTCAAACTTTAGCACAGTACTGGAAGAATGGTAGGAGAGCTTTACCTTGATCGCACCCAATCCCATCACCCACTGAATGGTGGTTAGCCATGTCACGTGAGACAAATCATTTAGATACCTTGAGTATTGTTTCGGCGACAGCATGCAAAACAGAAGTCTGAAAAAAAAACAATGCAGACAATATAAAGGGGTTGGGTTTGAGCAATGACTTGCCCGACGATGGGCCTCAACGACATGTGATGCAGGGGCTGGATGTCAGGGGCTGAATATCAACTTCAACCAGCCCGGCATTCGAAAGAGCGATAAGTCATTGCATCTCCAATAACATACCACGAGCTTAATATCACCCTTTCCATGGATCTCCCATTCAATATTGAAAGGGCCACCCCGTTTCGCTGCAACCGCGAGCTTTCCACTTTGCGTCGGCGTTAGTTTGAAAATCGTATCCGGATAGGATGGGTGTGCTAGGATCTCCGCAACCGTCGGCGGTTTGTCCCTAGTCATAAGTCAGTTATCAATTTCGAACAAAAATAAGGGGTTATGCCACCGTACATTGTGGCAGACATTTGAAAGAGCGTTGTTTATACGCCTTGTTTACAGGCTTCTTATCTGAAAAGTTCCAGGAACGTTCCGCTTCGCAAGCCTCGGCACTAGAATCTCGCTTGCAGACTTAGCTTGGAGTTACACATGACGACCACCCATCCATTCCTAAGGTATTCATCCTACAATCAACATCCAAGGTCTCATACAGTGATTCCATCCTCTTTAACATAGGTATATCTTCGGTTCAACACGTTTGACCATAACTAGTCAACCGGTTCCCGTCAAGTGACGGCAAATTGATCACTCCAACTCGCTCCACCAAAGGAGGAGCACCACGCTCAGGGGAAGCCCGTCTTATAGACAGTCCGATCGCCTTTGAGCATCATCGAGAAGACCAAGAATGTTGTGAAGCTTTGTGGGTGACGCCTCAAGGATGGGAAGTTTGTTATGCTTTCCGCCAGATATGACGGCAGAGCTAATCTCCCGGGAAATGAATTGGTAGAGGTAGGGAGTGGGGCCCATGTATTCAGGGTTCCGTATGAGGCGCCAATGTGGCCTCCAACGGGAATCCACGATCTCTAAACCAGTGGTCAGAAATGCGATGCCCAAGCGAAGACGCAGAGCCTAATCATCTGTTTCGCCCTTGAAGTAAAGTGGGTGGCGAGTACTGGGTGAACGCCTCAAAGTAGTCGAACGAACAGAAATCAAACCTGTCTACTTGCACAGCCGTCTGTATGGCACCCATCATGCAGAAGTAATATAAGAGCTTACGTGCCAGAGTAAGTGGAAATGGTAAGTCTTTGTCCTTTGATTGCCAATCCAGTTCCCTTGTTATCATACCTCGCGTCCTTTGCTATGACAAGTCAGGCTTTTGACTATGCAGTGCCAGCGCACGCATTTTCTATCAGTTCTACAGCCACGGTGTCTGAATTCGAGTGGGCTTTTGATTCGATGAACGAACAGTGTCTTGGAAAGCAATATAAGCTTTCTTCTCTATGGACCTACCTGAAGCATTTTCCGAGTGGAGATCAGGAAAGCACCGGAGTTAAATTCTGAAGGATAATCCTCAATCAGACTCTCTCGAATCTTTCTACCTCAGCTCAGCAAGGCTGCCATTTATACTTCCTCCGCTGGAACCAGTTATCGCCTGCAAATCTGCCACAAATTGCTGGATGCAATCAATACGATATCATTTTTTACAAGGAAAGTTAATTAGTTCTTGGTTTCTATCCTCCGAATGGGGGTAAACGGTTGCTCATAAAGGAATTCAGGGTGGTCTCTTCATCGCGTATGTGAAGACCCTCTGTAGCAATTCCTCAGACTGCGGATATCAATCTGATCAAGTTGAAGAAAACATAAGTACGGGAATACCACGGCAACGAATAACCATTCATCCACCTGGGCAATAGCAAGACATTGGACCAATGCGTATCTTTTAGAACATGAGAAATGCCGAGCTTATGTACCTACATCTCCCCGAATGTTGCCCACTCGTTTGATTGAGCTCGGATCGGGCGTGACGGTTCAGGAAAGACTATGCGAAACTTGGAATGTCAATCGAGACCAAATACTTAAATCTTTCCACTGTTAGGGCTTACTGAAGTTCTTGACTCTGACTAGTGGCAATTTTCAGCCTTTTAATCAGCGTGAGATTCCTGTCGCGCAGCTGACTGAGATGGGCAAGGCCGCCGTCTCTTGATCCCAGACTTAAAGAGACCAATTTCAATATTTCAAGAAGCAATGGTACGAGTTGCACATCACTGTTAGTGACAGGCAAGGCTCATCATCACTTCTAGCATTCTCAGCTATTCGGAGTGTTCCATTCCCTTAGAAGCTCACTCAGGGGCGTTACGCGAGACCGCAACTTGCTTCGCTCGCTGAGTTTCATACAGAGTGGCTAAGTCTACTTCAATGGTTTATGAGTAATGTAACAATTCATCACACCAGTGATGAGGGAGTATATTATGGATGTGAGAGCATACTATCTCAAGAATACAGAGGTACGCAAGCAGATACCTTTTCAGATTATTAATGCGAAAATGTTATCGCAGTAGAATTAACACAACCGCACCTTTCCTGACCCCGACCCACCTCAGTTCCCCTCGCCACGACACTCGGCTCAACGATCGATCCCTCGTGTCTTCCAAAATAGCACTTACTGATTTGTAGTCATGGGCTGAGGAGCTTGGTAACCCTGCTCAATAGCACCGGTAAACTGCTTATGAACGACTTCTTTCTCCTGTTGGATAACCGCGCAGCAATTGCAGAACGCGGAGACCAGGCAATCGGTCACTGGGTCGCCTTTGATACCGTACTTCTGACGAATTTCGCCGCGCTTGAGGAATGTGATGCTGCGCATTCATCAGCAGGATGTTTATGGATTGAGGGTAGAAATTTTTGGAATTGGGATGTGCCGGTTGGAATAGAGTGAAAGAGGAGAACGTACACCCATGCGAGACCACAGAGGTAGTTGGCCCCCACAAATGTGATGCAGTCGGTGTTGACGCGCTCATAAGTAGCTAAACTTGGATCTCGGAGACGGGCCTGGGTCTTTCCATACACGAAGCAGGGGCAGAATGTTCCCTTGAGGCCTGCGCGGATCAATTAGCAAGTAGCTTACCTCCTTATGAAGTTCTGGGGATATCGTACAAAGATTGTCAGGCGAATTTTCAAAGCAATCGAAGATACCATTTGACCATTCCTCTGTGCCAGTCACGTTTTGGTGTTTTGCATAGGCCGGTTGCGGCTGGGCGGCTGGTTGTTGTTTGATTTCGGACATCTTGAGTATATATCAAGGAGGTTGTTGATTGAACACGAAAGAAAATAGAAGTGATCTGAGAGACTGACGAGAAAGATTGAGTGGGGGAGTAGACAGGAGGTCAGAAAGAGAGGGGAAAGAGATCAACATAGGGAATGTCAGCCTTATAGATTATGTTGGAAAGAGGCGTAACGGCCCCAAACCCCAGCAAAATGTGATGAATTGTAAGCCCAATCACATTCACGTCTGCACCAATTTCCCACATCCACCTAGTAGAGACTTCTTGCATCAAGCGCAAACAGATGTTCCTGGAGAGGAGACATCCCTTGTAATCCGCCTCCCATACCGCCAATTTGCAATCAGCTGCCTCGGCCGAGCATGGTGGCGCACCAATCGCTCCAAGTTTCAGATTTGAGAGGGCCAAACATGTCTGCCCAAAGGCGGGGAGCGCAGACACTGGATCTCAGCCTCACTCAAGGACGACATGCAAGTAATCAACTTCCCTGGAGCTGAAAACATGTGGCGTCAGCCTGGCCAATTCTAATCGTTCGGCTTACTGCGCCCAGCGACCCCGAATATCAATCAATCCCGTTTGTCCAGAAATGCCACGATCCGAACCCGTGCATGTCAGCTCCTTGCGATCTGGCCTATAGCAAGCAAACGCGTGAAAGAGTGTAGAAGGTGCAGCGGCCAGCATTGGATCTTATCGTGAAATAACTTTGCTCAAGATAACGTACTCGGCCTCGACTTTGGTCCCGTTGCGAAGCATTCTGGGCGGTGGAGAGTATTCATCCTTGGAATAGCCCAACTTGGTATAGAATCTGATGCCTCGTGCATTGCTGGTGAAGCATGTCAACATCGTTTTGGCAGTTCCAGGTATCTTCGAGCCAATGACTTCCAAATGTTTCATTAAGACTGCCGCAAGACCCGTGCTGTGCGTATCAGTATCATCCAATGTAAATGAAGAGAGAGATATCTCACCCCCGCAAAGCCGGTGAAAGATGGATCTCATAGCAATATATCACTGGATAATCGTCCTCGTAAGTTGGCATGAAAGAGGCGAATCCTTCAATCTGATCGTCGTGTTTGACCAGGAAGTATTTCAGATCAAGAAGTTTCATCTCCTTCCGTTTGGAACGCGGTTTCCAGCCACTTCTCGACTTTTTGTAATCTTCGGAGCTGGTGAGTTCGATAAGCCGGAAACATGCATCAAAATCTACATCGGACAACGCTGTGGCTGTTGATAACGTGATCTCGTACTCGTCTTCAGTCACAGGGTGCTTCCAGGTTTTCCATTCTTCGCTGCTCAATCATCAAAAATATCAGTAGACGGCAGAGAAATAGGAACCAGTCCGAAACAAGTTTCCGAGGCTCAACCCTCAAGCTTGAAGCTCTTGGGGCTCGCAAATGGTTTCTTACCTTGGAGGCAAATAGTCCCCAATAAACTCCTCTAAGGTCTTCTTATTCGCAACGTCGATATTATCTATCTCCATCTTCCTTTTTCCAAGAAACTAATTTATCCTTAATTACAACCCTGCGGAATTTTGACGTTGGGAGAGGGAGAACGCGACGCGGTCGCGCTCGCGCGCTCCCTGCACAATTTAGCCCGGCGGACTTCTAGCGGGCATTCCAGCGGAATCCCGCTCCTCCCCGCTACCCTGAATTTCGTCACCCGATCCCGACTTCGAGATTCAACATCTCTTTTCTACCAAAGGAGAGGCAACAGCACATGCCATGCTCGATGTACATACCTCGAACATGGTTTCTTCAATCCGTCCGCGGCTACGCGTCCGCAGCTAAGAGAGGACCGAGTCGGTTGGGGAAAGCTATTGATTTGGATCATGTCCGTTTCCCTAATAAACCCCTACTCGAATCAATGAATGTAAAAGAATTCCCAGGAATATCGAGCTGACAGTTTTTTTTGTTACTGGCAGTTTATCCAACGCGGTCGGGCATTGGCTTTATGGCGAACAATCGTGCGCGGATGTAGAAAGATTCCAGATGAGGGGACAAGGGAGGAAACACTGAGGTTTGCAAGAGAAGAGTTTCGCAGGAATAGAAACGTTGAAGATTTGGTACGTTATGTTATCTTGGCAGCTCTCGTCTTAGTTTTCTTGCGATGGGGTCTAATGGTGCATGCTTGTAGACACAGATTCGCTATTTGATATCAACGGGCAAGACACAGTGGGAGACTATGGAGAGGTATATTGATGGATTATAACCAAAGCTTTACCCAGCCATTGATACAAGGTCGAGATATAATCACTGTGACCGTGACCGTCCATCCACTGCTTCCTTCTCCATCTGTGACTGATATGCCTTTAAAACGCCATCCCATGCACACACATAATGTACAGAAGCTTCCATCCATCTAATCATTTCACCACTTCTTCAATCCTTCACTTTCACTTTCAATCGCTCCCATATCGAAGACAGCTCATTTCCCTTGTCGTTGCTTATGCTTCGGGTTCAGCGAGCAGATGATATACACATGTCCCTTTCCCGATTTGCCGCCTTTCCTTCTGACGCTCTGTATTAAAAGTGTCAGCCTCCTCATCCCACAGAATACAATCCTTCCATGCATCCGCTGAATCCCCCTCTTCCTATCGCGCATATCGCCCAATCCATTCCGCAGAGCCGCAATGGCCAATGGGGCATAGAAAAGAATAAACATACCTTGCAGCCCTCGCAAAGTTTCTTGACCGAACTCCTAACCTTCATGCCTCGTACTTGCTCGCTGATTCCATTCTGCACCTCCCTCAATCCTGCTAATAATGTTGGTCTCCGTAACGCATTTTGAGTCGACGCGGACGTGAGAGCAGAGAAATATCTGGTGCTGGAAGAGATCGTCGGGGTAGAGGTTCGGACGGTAGGGAATAGCACACGCGCTGTGCGCAAGAGGCTCGTTGATGGTATCATGATGTCGAGGGTATATGAGAGAAGCCGGGAGCTTCGTGGGTTGTAGAAAAGGATTGGTTCTCGTGAGGGTAGAACGTTTTGTCGGGCTATCAGTGAGCGCCGAATTTTGAGGTTGGAAGTTCAAGATTTATAACCTAGAATATTAGGCACGAATTTCTACAGCGCGGGTTTTCTCTCAGGGGTCGACATCAATCCGAGAAGAATTCAGGATTTGATCAAAGAGCTCAAAAATTTATCATTCCTCGAATTCTATATATCCGTAGGCTTTTCTCTTCCCTTGAAACCACCCTCCAAAACTCCAAGCTAAAACGAACCATGATTGCCACCATATTCTCACCTCTCACAAGGCCCAAGGTCTCAAGATCTCAAAAAGGTCTCAAAAACCTTACTCTTGGTACAATCCACCCAGGGATACCCGATCTTATTGAGGAAGCTCTCTAGTTTCTTCAACTCATCATCCGGACATAAGATTCCAGTCAATACCTTCCCAATATCACTCCCCGCATTTCGGTACTGGAACAGACTGATATTATATCTCGGTCTTAATGTCGTCAAGAACCTTTCCAGAGCTCCAGGTCGCTCAGGGAAGTTAAACATGTACAATCGTTCGTTTGGAACTCCCGATCGACCACCAACTAGGTAGCGTATGTGTGACTTCGCGAGCTCATCTCCAGAGAGGTCGGTGGCTTTCATTCCTTCTGCTGCTATGCGGGAGAGGAGCGAGTCGAGCTCGGCCTCTCGTTGGGAGGCGGGTGATGTAAGTGAGATGCCAAGGAGCACGTTGGCAATAGCATCCGTGGCGTATCGGTAAGAAAATTCCGTCACAGAATGAGGGAGGACCGCTTTTATGAGCTCGGCGAATGCGCCTGGTCTCTCTGGGATGCTCACACTGAGCAGAGCCTCCTTCTTCTCGCCGAGAGCTGCACGCTCAGCTACAAACCGCAGGCGATCGAAGTTCATGTTCGCGCCTGAGGCGATGGCGACGAGATTTCGAGAAGTATCGGCAGAGGGGTGGCTTGCGACATATTTCTTGAGACCAGCTAGTGCCAGCGCACCCGCGGGCTCGACGATGGAGCGTGTATCTTCAAAGACATCCTTGATTGCTGCGCAGGTCTCGTCAGTTGTAACTTGGATGATCTCATCCACAACTTCCTGGCACAGTCTGAAAGTTTCTTCTCCAACGTTCTTAACAGCTGCCCCATCAGCGAAGAGCCCAACGTCATTCAAGACCACTCTCTTTCCTTTGGCCAGTGATTGCGCCATGGCATTCGCATCGTGTGTCTCCACGCCAATGATCTTCACATGTGGAGCTATACGCTTCACGTATACTCCAATACCAGCAATTAGGCCCCCTCCCCCAATACAGCAGAATATAGCTTCCAGCTTTTGTATATTCGTTTGTCGTAGGAGTTCCATCCCGATCGTGCCTTGTCCAGCAATGACATACGGATCATCGAAAGGGGGGATATTCGTCAATCCATGAAGCTTTTCCAATCTTGCGCATTCCTCCTTCGCAGCGTCAAAATCAGCCCCATGTAACACAACCGATCCTCCTAATCGCGAAACATTAAGATGCTTGATGCTAGGCGTGCCTTCGGGCATAACAATTGTGGCGGGGATTTTGAGTTTTCTTGCTGAGTATGCTACACCTTGTGCATGATTTCCTTTCCAGTTATTAGCAGAGTCTCTTAAGGATAAAGGAAGAAACCAACCGGCAGAGCAAGCAACAACCCCCTTCCAGCAAACCTTCGGATCCAAATGCGCCATCTTATTATACGCGCCCCTCAGCTTAAAACTGAAGACGGGCTGCAGATCCTCCCGCTTCAGTAATACATTGCATTCTAACCTGTTGCTCAGATTGATCGCTGGCGTCAATGGCGTTTCCTCAACAACTTCATATACTCTCGATGTAAGGATAAGGCGAAGATACTAGACCCGTAAGCTTTGTTTTCGAGTCAATTGGGAAGTCGTACGTCAGGATACCCATTTGGTAGTATGAACTCCTCTGGTACTACGCTCTGCAGTTTTGATTTCGGTGTAGAGCACGGCGGTGAAGGGTTCGTGGAATATTCAGTCAGGGACAAAGAATTGATATTGGGACCGGGGGTCACGGGGCGGCTGTCCACCCCATTAACACTGGGCCTGACGCCGTTCTCCATCTCTCCGTCTTGTTCTTAATTGATGCTGTGCGAATTGACAACAGATAGGAGATAATCGTTGGTTTTCGTGGTGGGGTTTTGTTCAGATATTTATGACTCGCGCTAGTCGGAGCTCCAGAACAAAGAACAATTTTGCAGGGGTATTTTTCCGCCCGGATAAACCTGCTCAATTAAGCGCGTCACTCAAGGGACGTATTTCGCTCGAGAGCTTCCCCTCCTTCGCCTCCTCATGAACAACTTCAATAAACATTACCATTTATCAGAGAAATTGCAGCCACGATGTCCAGTGACCCTCTACCGTCATCTTTCGATGACAATGCGTTTGTCTCCCTATTTTTCTTCCTCTGCTGAAAACCCTGGTGATCCGTTCTGACAACGATACTGAATAGTGACTTCTACGAGGAGAACCGGTGGCAAAAGTTCTCTCGACGTCTGAAGGAAGAGCCATTGATCCCGCTCGGCTGTGCTCTCACATGTATGGCCCTTCTAGGAGCCACGCGGTCCATCCGGGCCGGCGATCACAACCGCACGAACCGCATGTTCCGGGCCCGTATCTACGCACAGGGCTTCACGATTGTTGCTATGGTGGCAGGTAGCATGTATTGGCAGACAGATCGGCAGAAACGCAAGGAGTTTGAGGGCGTCATTGCAGAGCGGAAGGCCCGTGAGAAGAACCAGGCATGGATCAGGGAACTTGAGGCGAGAGACGAGGAGGAGAAGGAACTCAAGGCATTGAAGGAGAAGAAGAAGAGGCTGGCTCTTGAGAGGGCTGAGAAGGAGGCGAAGCAGGCTGGTGGGAGCGTTGCCAGTTCCATTGTTGATGAGAAGGAGCGGAGGAGGAAAGGTGTGATGGAGGCGGTGCAGGAATTGATACTGTACGGCAGGAAGTGAGCGGCAAGAAGTAAGTGACCAGGTATAAGCCAAGCTGGCTTATGTATATAGCAGGCTTTGTGTTGGATCCGGAGTTCATGGCTTATAGGGGCATTCATTGTATGCTGTACACTACCAAGTTCCTAAATTGACAACCCATATTGAATTGTATTTACTGCTCTACTAGGTAAATTTGGCATGAGGAGGTGCGGGCCATACGGTCTTACATCGATAACTATGTTCCAGTCCGCAAATTCCTTTGACATACACTTAGTAGTGAGATCTTGAGTAGTTTTTGATTTCGAGGTGTTGAAAGCCGTTATATGGTAGATTGGTTAAGAAGAACACCCCCCCCCCTTTTTTTTTCCCCCTCCGGAAACCACCAAAAAGAAACTACTTATTCCAGGACTCCATCCTTCCTTAAGGTATTTGCCACCTGCCTGCAATGAGCCATTCTTAAGGTCCACTGTGATCCCTATACTTCAGAATCATATCGAGGCCTGACTAGGAATGTTGCCTGTTCCCCTCGACCTGAGAGAAGTCCCATCCGCCAGAATCCGAAAGCACGTAGATCGAACGGATAATGAAAAGGGCTCGAGCTACACTGCTACAGTGTAACTATCACTGTGTGCCAGATTATTTGTCTCGAGAGAGATATTCCCCTAGGACCCATTTCACTGCATCGACAATAATATCCGGCTGCGTCAAGTGAACATTATGCCCACTCTCCTCAGCAATTACCATTTTCCCATTGGTAGAGAGCTTCAAGTGCTCTCTCTGAAGCCCTTCATCTTTCTCATCCCAAGTTCTCAAAAACTCTCTAAACACCTCCCTCTCCTCTTCCGTCCCATTTCCCTTCTCGACACCCGCTTTATACAGCCTCTCGTAATCGTTCCTATTTCTCCCCATCACAACACATACCGGATTATCGCCCATCAGCGGCGGGTTCCTATCCCGTTGGGCTTTTGCTGCCAGGACGTCAAAACTGGCCCTGTACTCAGCCTGCTCCTTCTGTGCCTGCAACTGATGTCTCGAACTTGCCTCATCCTTTACATATGCCTCCCATTCCTCCTCGGTCAACTTGTTCTCTCTGTTCAACCCCGTAGCTTCATACCAATCCAGGTCCTTCGCTACAGCCCACAGATTCCCATCCTGCCAATCCAGAACCTGCAAAGTGCGTTCCTGATTAGCATCTACCAGCACCAAGCCCACCACATCTCCCTCCTTCTTCCTTCGTGCTAGAAGTTCTAGAAACTCCCGTGAGAGGATCCCGCCCCATGAATGAGCAACCAGAATCCACGGCCCGCCCACCCCGGCGTTCTGGAGCAGGAGATTCAGCTCGGCGGCGATGTTCTCGGCTGTGGGGGGAAGCGGGGAGGCGTCAGAGAAGCCATAGCCGGCTCGATCATACGAGCACACCCGGATAAAGGACGATAGCTGGCGGATCACGGCAGCCCAGCCAAGGCGGCTGCATGCCAGGCCCTGGATGATGACTACTGTTGGTGAGCGAGACCCGGGGGGACTAGCTGGGCCCGCGGTATAAAGACATAGGGAATGTGAGCCTAGAGACACGACATCGGATTTTGAAGTGGTGGGTGGTATGCCTAATGAGGAGCTCATGGTTTTCCGGAAGACCAGAATCCTGAATTGTGAAAGGTAGGGATTGTCTAACGACTGAAGGGAAGCAGTATGCCTCGATCGAAATCGAGTCTTGGTGTCTTCGCGATATGATGGACGGACGGTAGATAGCTCGAAATAATTGCGCCGCTGCCAGCCAGTCTGGAGATTAGAAGTTATCGCTGGTGTTGCATGCGACTTGTCTGTCCTTCAACAGCCTCAATTATCTGGATAACAGAACGTCCACCAAGTTTGATAGCGTCTTCAGCATCGTACCTATCGATTACATTGCCTAAAGTGGGGGATGACGGAGCTGGGGTATGACAGAGGTGAGTGGGAGTGAGATGACAGGGGGGCCAGCCTACAATTAACCAACGATCTATCAACGCCTTCTGCGCCCGTAAATAATCATCGCTCTATCATCCAACTCCAAGCCGCGTGACTAGCTCATAGATCCACCACTCCTATTCCCTCCAATTAAGCCCGCCATCTCCAGCAGCGCCCGATCAGCTTCAATATCCCCTTTTCCAATGTTAATTCGCCGCCTTGCCTCGGCCTCTTTCTCCTCCCATGCCCACCTCTGCCTCTGCTGCTCTGCCTCTGCGTCGCCGCCACATCCCCAAACCTCTAAACTCTCAATCTCAAACCTATCCTGCCAGTCCCTTCTCCGGGTCACGCTGTTATGAAATGCGCCTCCGCCGCTCGTGTAGTTATGGGTAAAGACTCCAAATTCGAATGAGGAATCGAGCATTAGAGAGACTGCTCCGAGATTAACTAGAGGCGAGAGACCGGAAGTCGCTTTGGGTTTCGGGTGTGGAGAACCGAATGCGATCCCTGGGTGCGGGACGGGTGATTTGGTGTAGGACACATAGTCGGTGTTTATTGAGGAGGCGTGGAAAACCTCATGAACGGGCTCCAGTTGGAATAGGAGGGTCTCTGCGTCGCCGAAGCAGTCCTTGTGTGTTTGTCGCCAGGGTTGTCCAAGATAGACGCCAAACACGACGCGTGATGATTTGCTACTATCCGGGAATCTTTTGGGAGGTAAAGTGTCTGAGAATGCTCGTTCCTGGCCACCAATTGGAGGGTCTGCTATTCGACTTCCAGATACAAGAAGTATAGTTGGGGCACGCCAGTTGAAAACTTTCGTCTCAAAACTACCCATTGAAAACCCAGCATCACTTCCGGAGTAGAGAAGTCTAAGGCGTCGAAATAACGAATTGCCTGGAATGAAGAATGATAATTGTGACAGAACATTGAGATCCAAAATTTCACCAGTTTGTGCTAGGAGAGGTTGCTCCGCAGTTGGATCTAAAGGGGGCGGTACTGGAGCGCCCGTAGAATCTTTTCGTTTGGTGAAGTCGATATTTTTCGAGAAAAGAAAATGCTCAAAGAGCGGGTTGAACCCATTGAATAAAAATGGCAATGAAGAGGATATCACAGTATTAAATTGGTGGATCTTGACTCCGGGAAACTTTTCCACATTCACAAAGGCTGCCAGAATATTATCTGCCGTTTTTCGGAGTCCTTCTAATTGCTCTCCAGAGAGTCTCTCAGCATGTAGCGCCAGGCTTTCTTGGGCACCAAGGGGCGCTATTAGAAGAAGAAGCATTATTAGCTTCTTGAGATTGTCTGATGGTATTGAAGCCTGGGAAATTGGAGCATCCCCATGCTGGAAGACTTCGATTGCATCCAGCGACTCCAGCGCTGCAAGGGCAAGATCGTCATCATCTTCCTCTTCCTCTTCCTCGTAACTTACGGGCTCATCCACCGCGAAGCCCGCTGCATGACTTCTAGTGGTTCCCGCGTCTTCCAACTTTTGTTTATCTATTTCTGTTCCACCATCCGCTTTCTCGGTTTCATTATGGGGTTCTCTTCGATCGTAGACGGCCATGCTTCGAAAGAATAGCTTTGTTCGGTCCCGGTTACCTTTCCTCAATACCCTCTGATATCTCTCCGTCATTATAACCACCACCATTATCATCTGCTCAAACCCCAATACGACTGGTGCATCTTTACCGAATGGAAAGGCTCCCAAGTACGACAACATCTGAAAGACGACTGAAGATACACCTAGGATATCCGGAATCTCGAGAAATCGCGCGATGGTGTCTTCCTTGAGGTATGCAATATTGTCCTGGTAATCTGCCAGGCTTTTGAAGACATCCTGAAAGGAGTAGAGTTCGAGGGGAGTAAAGCAACGCTTTGCGAATTTGGAAGCCTGTGAGGACGTCAGCGGAAGGCTGACTCGGTGCGGGAAACAGGAAATACCAGCTCGTGGCTCAGCTGCTCCGTCGTAGCATGGCGTCTGCCTTCATTGGACTGGCTTTGTCCCATGGTCGCTTGCGCAATGGATTCATGAGAAGTATCTCAAGTCCCGCTTGAGGTGGTTATACGACAGTTGAGGTTGATGTAAGGGGCGACATTGGCGGCGATGATGCCCGCTAAACTCGGCAAAACCTCGCCGCCACAAGGCTGTCACTACAAAGCCAGCCGACAAGTTCAGCATACCCCGCCCCCATAAACGCAGAGTTGTGGTTACTGTATCATGTAGAATCTCTCATCCTTCATTCCCTTCATCAAGGGACAGCCAAACTGCTTGCAACCTGTCAGATCAACAAAATACTCCGATCCCAGTGGGTCTTGGCGGATTGTAAAGCAGCACACTTAAAATTGGTCATGAGCTGATGGGATATGAGACTGACACGCCAGCAAGCTCTGAGTATGTCCGACCTCTAGAAAACTGGTTATCTCATTATTCTATTCATCAATCCAAAAGATGATTTTCTTCCAACTATAACTGTTACATGACTTGCACGACTTGCACTTTAGCAACACCAGCGCAAGTCAATGGCTCACTGCTAGATTGAAGTCTAATCTCAGTTCTCCCATATATGGTCATATTCTTATTTTGAAAGTCAGTATTAAACAGCAAGTAACTTGAATGGTGACAGATATTTGCGTAACTAGATGGGTGGTATATCAACGTTCGTGCCACAGACAATTGCTGTGATTTTCGGGAATTATCAGATTTAGTTATTCAACACCTCAATTCAACAATACTGGCACTGACCGGGGTTAACTATGAGCTTTTTATCCTCCCTTTCCAATCAACTTCTGGCAATGATCACTCAGAGAATGATGACTTGAGCCGTGGGAGTAGTCGCCCTAATCACAGGCATTTCATTAGTCGGGGTGCTTTAAATATAAAGCTTGAGATACTTCTCTTATTACTTTTGAGAGAAAGCCATTATTGCTACATGCCCAAAGATCTGTTCTCCCCTGTTCCCGTCTATTATTAGTGGTGTCTGTATTGACAATTCCAATGGCGCGATCCTCTCTTCCCGGTAAACCCAGGTGGCTAAGTTTCAACCTCTCTAAATCCATGTCGGTATATGCTACACATCTCTCTTTATACAACTGCCTTCCTTCGGTCACCACTTTTTCGAGACAGTTTTCGAGATCAATCACCAGAGTTGGGCTTTGGAGATGGGCCCGACAAGACCGCGCTCGACGGCCCGTCCCGGCATGCCTAACCTATCTAGGTAGCAAAGACTCCACCAATTTTGGGGTCCCCAGATCGTAGGGCATTGTTTTGGGATTGTTGAAGATTATGTTGATCTGTATCTGAAAGTAATGGTCGGTTCGTTTGTTGAAGAGAGAGCTACCGGTAGATTTGCAACATGTAACAGGTCAGCAGCACCGGGTATCCGCTGTATGGAAACTTACTGTGCAGTCTAGCATCCACGAACATGAGGCCACGTGGTCTTCTACTCAAGTCGACACATCGATTACTTTCGAGAAGACAGTAGGTAGGATATATTTGAACACGCTTGGACCGATCCCCTAACCGACAGGATCGCTCGATGTCGAGGGCCGTCGGAGTATAAGGTGGCTTCGCCACGCCAACAGTTATTCAGGTATATCGCCATCAAGACCTCTTCCAAAATGAATTCAAAAGAAACGATGGATTCCCTTTCTCGACAAGGCCAAGACAACCCCGAACCTGGTCATCGCATTCACTTGTAAGGACTCATGCCACCAGACATATTTTCCCAAAGCAGAGACTAATATATAGAATCAGCAATCCCAAGAGTAGAACCCATCACATCCAACACAGAAACCACAGGGTGCGACCTGCGCTCCTAGGAACGTCTAGCCAGCTCTAATGACCTTCTTCGCTCTCGCAAACAAAATCTCATCATACAACCACTGACTCCGAACATTCCGACACGGTTTTGCATCACAATCCCCAAACTCGCGTTTCCGGCAGCGTCGAAGATATAATATGGGAATTGCTAAATCCAGTCGCCATAATTCTCATCCAGTCGCCTATACCCGTTCTGGAACCCTGGTCCCCCCGATACTCGGCGTACAGTGTGAACGCCATACTAAGTGAGGTACTCGCTAACCACCTATACAGCTCACCACCACTAACTATCTCACTGTCGCTACCTCACTGTCGCCCCCTTACTGTCGCTACCTACGCTACTTCTACGCTGTAGCCCTCACTATTACTACCTGTCACTATGCTATCTATCAAGCAGCTAGCACTACTTAGGAGCCCGTTCTAGCTCTTTACACTATTCCCGACACAATATACCCTAGACATTATAGAGTATTAAGTTAATATTAAGCAACAGCGAGGTAGCGACAGCGAGGTAACGACAGTAAGGTAGAGACAGTAAGGTAGAGACTGTATGTACAGGTAGTTAGCGAGTACCTCACTCAGTATAGCGATCACTACTACACGCCGAGTATCGGGGGACCGGGGTTCCATAATAGGCATAGGCGACTGGATGAGAATTATGGCGACTGGATTTAGCAAATCCCTATAATATTTCCAGACATTCTCACTTCCGACTATCCGTGATTCAAAGCCTGCGGCTGCACCTGTTGCTAGGACTGATTGCTTAATCGCGGTTTGGGATGCATCTTCCAATGTATCAGCGATTTTGGCACAAGGAGAAGCCAGGAAGGAAGGCAAATGTACGCCAACAACTAGGTCCTTCGCAGATCAATCGTTAAAATACACGGCGCGTCTATCGTCAAACGGATGGATGTCTGAGATAGACCCAAGACCTCGTATCATGCATGTATGCATACTTCCTGAGATTGTTATAGGCGCGGCTATTCTCAGGAACATGGCTGGCTGGTACCGCGATAGTCGGGTAGGATAACGTGCTAAAGGCGCGCGCCATCGAGTCTGGGAAGCTAAGGGGGATACAGAATAGGTGACTGAATTGCTGCTTTTCCTGTTCGAGGCCGTTTTGACGCGCAGCGCGCAGCGCGCCAGCTCTTTGGAAGTTGATTGATTACATAAGGCGTGTTTTTTCGTTGCCGTGTTGAAGTTCCAGTTGTCCATCTATTATACCTAAGGTACCTTTCTGGGTTTCCACTGCCTTATCTATATCTCTACTACTGTACAGTGTACTCCGTACATATAAAAATTCCCAAATCTCTCTCTCTCTATTTCTAAACGCGTATCTTGGGGCACAACTAGAAAACCTCATTCATCTGCACGTAAGCACCCGTTGAGACCCGGTGCCCCTGACTAAGGTAAGGTAGGTAAGGTATCATTCGATGAACAAATCCGCCTCGTACCTGACTTGTCTCAGAGCATGGCCTGTATGTATGTATGTCTCTTTTTGTTCTACTGCTCTGCTCTGATCGCGATTATGAATTCGGGGGGGAGAGCAGACAGGAGGAAAAAGAAAGGAAAAACCGTTGAGATGGATGCATAGAGAAATGGATCATGCAACGGGCAACCGCGCAGCAGCGGGCAACTCACCTACCTAGGTATCCCAAAAACATACTGATTATTCCTGAGCAACGCAAGCTCACCGCAAACTATCAAATATAACCCAACTTACCTAATCTTTCCACTCCACTCCTCCCCGCCCCCTTCTCTTCTCTTCTCTTGTCGCCCTTCAAACCCCCCAACTCACCAAAAATGTCTCATCCCAATCTCCCCTCGCCCCCTCTATATACATACCCACGAGTTCATTCCCCTTCCTTCCTCCTCCCATCCATCCCCCCTTCTAAAAATCCCCCAACCCATCTAGAACCCCTCTTTCCCCCAGGAAATACACATCACGTCATGGCTGGTTCTCTAGCGTGGAGTTTAAATAAGGTAGACGAGGGATTACCCCTGGCGTTAGCGTGCTCGCTTGGCGCTTGGCGCGCGCGCGCCTGGATGCTTTGGGAATCGCGCCGAGGATGGAGAATGAATGGGGCTAAGGGCTAACTAGGATGGGGTTGGTAAGGTAAGGTAAGGACGGGTGGGGACGGGAATCGACGGGAATGGTCTGGATGATGCATTGCATGCCCCCTTTCTGGACTTGGGAGGAATCATTACACGTGGGAGCTTTGGCCTTCTATAGGTAGGTAGAGACTTTCATTGGATCGGATTGGATTACTGGACACAGGTATGGCGAGTGGATTTCAATTCACGAGGCACATCAGAGGGAACAGGATGATATGGTGGAAACGTATGTGCTCGCAGGCGTCCATACTTCCTATCTACCTAAGGGACGCACGATGACCGCCAGAGTTCATATCTGGCACCAGGTCTTCGGACTCGCCATACAATTCAGGGTATTATCCACCACGCCCCGGGCAGCTCGATTGTATGCATCTCAAACAAGAATGCAGGCTGCCCACCATCCATCTAGCTTCGTCTTCATCCACTGTAGTGTAGCAATCTATCCGTCCCACTCAATTCCACTATTATTTTCCATGCCATCCAATCTTTATTGCTTTTCGGATAATTCTCAGTCGCTCGAGATGCTGTGCAGTGCACAGTGGTATCCGTTCGGGAAGAGGATCTCCGTGAGGAGACAAGAAGTGAAGAAGACCGGCAGGCCTTCGAGGAAAATCCGCTAAGTCAACAAATCAATTGCAAGATGAGGAAAGCAAAATCGAAATCGCTAATGCCGGAGAAGAGGAAACGCTTATGCCACACAAGTCGAGAGGACCATTTTGGGGAATCTTTTTTTCGCTTGGAGCCAAGCGCACAATTGATACAAATTGCGTACACATATGAGAGGTTGTTAATCGAGATTGCCGGGACATGTTGGGCTATCTCGTATCCGGATTCCAGATGTATTAGTGCATGACCATGTCATGTTGATATGACTGATATTGCGGTTGTTGTTGGACGTATGGATTGTTGTGCGTGGGGGTAGGGGTGACGGGACATCGGGGTGCTTGATGATATCCTTTGGCCTCACTCCCGTTCACAAAATACTCTCCTTCCGGGGTAATTGGTGGTGTCATGTAACCGTTGACCATGTTGCCGTAGGGCTTCTGGGGAGTGCCAGGGAACATCTCGGGAGTTGGACCGGTCTTCTGCATTGCGGCCACATCGGAAGGAGGAGTTGGTGGAGTTGCTCGTCTGCTGATAGCTTCTTGCTGTCGGAGGAAATTGTCGAGGGTAATGGAAACCCGAGACAACTGAGGAGAGGCATACTTTCGGGCGAGTACTTGGGACGGGCGGTCGAGCTTCTGGGAGAGATGAAGCAGGGTCATGTTCTCGTGGTGGTCGTGGCTGTCCGTGATCTCTGGTCGGCAGAGGATACCACGAGCCAGAGCCAATGAGGCACCGGCCAAGACCGAGGGCTTGCTTCCAACAAAATCCTTGTGGTAGAGGGCAATCTCGCTGAGGTACAGGGCCATGTGCTCAACCTCGATGTCATCACCAGTCTCAGTCAGCGCAAGTTGCATCCAGGTGTCGACTGTAGGGTGACCAATGATCCATCCCAAAGTGTTCAGGACGTGCCACTCCATCTGCGTGAACATCTCCTCATCGTAGAGCGAACAGCACATTGACTTGAGTTCTCGGATCATCGGCACACGCTCCTTCTTGTCTCCATACTTGGCAGCGATGAGGAGAGCAGCACATCCAACCAGCTGGTAATGACGCTTGTATACTACACGGCGAGAGCAGTATCTGTCCAGGAGGTTGACGGCCAGGAAGAGGGTCTCTGGTAGAAGTTGGAAGGCGGCATGAGCTTCGATGAGGAAATCGATAAGGTACGGTCTCATGAACCACTGAATCTCCTGTTGGATATCGATGGAGGCAACATCTGGAAGGGTTTCGTCCTGTTAAGATTTAGCAAGATGTCAAGTAAACTGGAAGTCGGGGCGATTGACCTCCATCTGTTTCATGTGGGCGACGATGTCCTCCATATATGATTCACATGCCTGCCTTGATAACTCGTTGGCCATCGCTTCTTGTCTTCGACGCCCGAGCATCTTGATGTAATCTTGACTTGGGCGGGGAGGATAGGCATCGTGTGACTCCACGAAGTAAGTCTCGCACGGCTGGTGTTGATTGTACGCCATGTTGATGACGAAGGTGGAAGATTTCGAGGGGGGTAGGACGGGATATGGAATGAATGGACGTCAAGTTCTCCAGGAGCTTCGACCGACAGTGCTCGGGCTGACACTGGATTGCTTCAAAGGAATGTATGTGGAGACTGTTCTAGAGAACAGGTCGAAGGACGGTGAATTAGAAAATTAAAGAGCGTCTTAACAAATTAGAGAAAAAGAATGGCGGTGACAATGACCGATTAAATTGATGCTGCTTAGAAGGTGACAGACCGAGGAGGCGGGTCTATATCACGGTTGAACAATCTGAGGCACCAACAGTTAGCGAGCCCTCTCGGACGAGGTCAGCGAGGGTTGGGGATGCAAGAGCTGGGATGGGCCAGCTAGATATGTAGTGACAGGAGAGGCTCCCTAGAGAATGCTGAGTCGAGTAGTCAACGTACCAGTCGGAGATTACAGAGAGACCGAACCCTGGCTATTCCACAAAGGGAAATCCCTTGTTTAACAGCTGGCGAAGCTTGACAATAGTCCGAGCCTCCTGAAATGTGTAGTAATCTGCTAGGCAATGGCGGGATGAACGAGTTAACGTCTCCAGCCTTTGCTACTGCGTAGGGTTGTGGGGGTTGGTGCGTGCCGAGTCTTTTGTCGAGGGGACAGATGATCGGAGAATGCAACAGAATACGCGACCGTTGGCATGCAAATTAATGCTAGGCAAGGGAGAAAATATTAGCCATCCGTCGTGACGTCTAGATCCCGCGTGAAGAACAGGATTATGGGAGCAGCTCACCTTTAAACCTTTATGTCAAGTATCCGTGCCTTGCTTGTGAGCCTAATCGGGAAATTGATTCTTGTCGAACTCCTGGACAGACTTGAGAACGGTCCGAACAGATCGCTTGTGACCTAGGATATTGTTCAGATGGTCGTTGAGAAACCTTCCAGGACTACCACGGGAGACAAGTGTAGAGGGCGGAAGGGGGATGGTAGAACTGAGGGGGGGAATTTCGTTTCGGATTCGGAAGCACGCGTAAAAGTGGGAGATTCGATTCCTGAGGGACGTCGGTGATGGAACAATCGTTGACGCGGGTCAGGATCAATTCGGGGGCGGACGAGGAGAGAGGATGAAGGGTTAGTGGGTGTGGGCGGGTTTGTAGTGAATTGATTCCCTCCTTGGGATTTTTTTCGGTGCTGACAGTTACGGACAGACGAGAGATTTGGCGGTGCAGTCTAGCATCACCAAAACCTGTCAAGATGGGCCTCGTCTTCAACGTAACAAGCTGCCAATGGTCCACAAGGTCCTCCTATCCCTCTCTGATGAACGACTCGAGGGGTATGAGGAGGGAGAGAAGAGGGGAGGAGGATGGGAGAGGAGGAGAGGATAAAGGGAGGGAGTGAGCGAGCCGTAGTGAATGTTCGACGGGCCTGGTGAGGTGAAGCGTGGGAGCTGGACGCTAGGCCGAAAGGGGCGCGATGGAGGAGGCCCGCATCTTGGGCGGCGGTCTCCTGTCGTTACTACTTGGGAGCAGGCCTTGGTACACGGCGCCGCTCTGTCTAGTGACTGGCTGGCAGGCATCGCAGGCTGGGATGGTTCCTTGTGGTGTTTAGTGTTTCGATTAATTTTTACTTGGGGGGAGAGTCCTGCCGGGGCTGCCACTGGCTGCTGCTGCTTGCTCCAGTGGAGCTCGCTAGAGCCAGCGCAGCGCACAGCAGATGCAAAGTTGCAACTTGTAAGCAGCGCCCTGGATGCAGTCTAGTGGTTCTCCTGGACTTGGAGAGGGCCGGGCTGAAAGACCGTCGAAACCTTGAACTCTGCACAAGAGTCGCGTCCTGACCCCTGGAAAGGCGACCCGCGACTCTGTCCTGCCCAGCATCGAGTGGAGAGCAGCAGTGGGCACAGTGGAGAGCGGCTGCCAGGTCGTGCCATGGTGCGCGAAGGAACACCGCTCCAGAAACGCGAAAAGAGAACGACGATGCTTGCTCTCGACATGCATAGCCTTGCCCGCGCCAGCCTATACGGAGCCCTCCCGACCATCAATCCCCATGAGGCGGGAAAGGAGACGAGCTTCTGACACACCTCACGGCACGAGCATCGCGGATGGCCTCGCAGCCTCGGGCCCTGGAGAACTCCTCCGACACGCTTGCCCGAATGCTCTCGGAGGATTGGTAAGGGAGTTTTGATATCCTTGTGGTTGGTTTTGCTGTAGGGCTGGGGGGAGGCCATGGCAAGAGTTGAGCAGGCATGTCATTTGTGCATCCCTCACAGAATCAAGATCACGATGCATGGGGAGAGAGGTGCTTGCATAAGTGCCATCTACCTCACACGCGTTTTTGGGTCAGAGGGCTGAGGCGGAGCGAGCAAGTTGGTGGGATGAGATCACCAAACAATTACAATAACAATCCCACTTCCTACTCCGTCAAGTGCACTCGGCACCCACGCAAGACGAGGGTCGGGGGGGTGGTTGATTTGCGGATTTCGTGTTGCCTCTTAAGATCCAGGTTCCTTACTCCTGAGGAGTCAAAGTACGAATTGCTCCGTACATGGTACAGGATCACGGAAGCGCGGAGCACGCGCCGTATAATCCTCATATCTTGGAGAGCGGGAAATACAACTCTCCTTCTGGAAGCTCGTCAAAGGATTTGGAGACGGCCCGTCTAATTCACGGCTCCTGTGCCCAGTTCGTGTCCCTTTCATAAGGATATATGTATTCTCCCTAAGAGAGGTCCGAAGACCCACGATTATATCGTATTTATCGCCGAGCTACTCCATACGATAGGCGGGCATACCTAGGCAAGGCTTTGTACAAAGCATAAGGCTCATAAGTTGTATAACATCTGTATACGACAACACCCGATTAAGCTTATTCGTCTCTCCACTTCACTCTACGCTGTACTCCTGAACGATTGTGCTTTTTGGACGATATGTACCTACAGAGAGTCCTGTAATTATCTTGACTTTTCAAGATGACCGCTCATCTATGCCGCTTTAATTGCTGGGGGACTCACGTGCTATAGGGAAGTAGGTATTCTATGTCACTGTTCCAGTGCTACGTATCTTAAGGTACCTTATTGATGTGCCGCTTTACACCCCTCGCTCCCTCCCCGCTGTTGGCGGCGGATACGGCGCCGGGATCTTGAGCGCGGTGGACGGGCAACCAATCAACGGCCCGCTATCCCGATTCTGTGTGCAACGCCCTTTGCCGTCCTGCGTCTCTTGTCGTTGCCAATAGCAGTGGTCCTGTAAGGAGAAGGGAGAGTTGGGATTATTGGTTCCATGTCACGCAACACCGGGCTGGGGATTCGCGCATCAGATCTCCCACTGAATCTGATTCTACGTACAGACGTAGTCACGTAAGGTAGGAGACAGACAGCCAGGCACGGACCCTGATTTCTGAGACTGGCCTCCCGTGGAACCGTTGATACGCCGTCAACCACAGACACTCTGTTTGCTTCCTGGGGCATCTGGCTGTCTGAGACGCCTCTACCGTCCTAATCTCCGCATCACTATATCACTAACAATGGAATAGTAAAACAAAGAGTCGACAACGAAACAGGCTGATCCTTCTCACGCTGTCTGGACTCTAGATGAGGGCAGAGCAGAACCGCCGTCGCTAGCTATGCGGGCAAAGAATAGCATCGCGAATCATCATCAAAACCCCCCTGAGCGGGCCAACGACTCGGGTACCTGCGATCCACCGCGCCGGGGGGGTGTGAACTTTGAAGGGACACAGTCTCGCAAGATGCCTTTCTTGGCCTCCTGATTTCTCTCCTTTCTACGGAGTAGCAAACTACTGTGACTTCCGCTGCTTCTTACGTTGTGAGCCTTGATCTTCAACTACTCCGTACTTTGACCTTACAATGTACAAGTACGGAGTAAGCAGCATAACCACTTGTTCTGCACAGTATACGCGCATAAGTGTTCAAGTCCCTATTCCCTACGTCATCTGCCGCGTCTCTTACTCGGCCTTTCTCCTTTCTTCCGTACTGTCAGAATACGGTAATTCCAGACATCAATAGCCAGGCGTCCAGTTCATACACGGTAACCCGAGATTGAGGTATGGAGATGCTCGGAGAATATCAATCTTATAGACCTGCGATCTAGAGACTCGCAACTGATAAGCCTGACTCGTTCCCTCCTCGCTCCCTCTCGCAATAATATTCTCATCTCATCCCGCCTCTTTTCTCCTCATTACTCCGTATTCTCGTCTTCATAAATAATGTCAAGTACGTGCATCGCGCACCGACGCGTTCAACATCCCGAATCCCCCTTGGGAATCGTCGCCCACCAACCAACTAGCCACCGACCAGCTGCAGCGCAGGGATCGCGTCGATTCATTTTCCCTCGAAGTCTGGTACCGTACTCCGCAGGCAAGGTAATAAGTGGAAAGCCGCGTCTGGACCAGCAACACGACGACAATAAGTGAGACTGGGCGGACCGCGGAGGAAACAATGGCAGTAATCCTTTGCGACAGGATGGTGTATAGTGTGTGCAGGTACACGTCCCCAGGGTCCCCCTCAAAGTCCAAGATTCCGGCTGGACTCTGAAGCCCCAGGCGGCTCGAGGAATCGGGAGTACTGTATTATATTACGGGGAATCGCATCCATGTCCTGTATCCCGCGTGGTAATGTTACATGGTAGTATTTAAAGCCATTTTCACCTTTCGTCTTTACCCGCTTCAGGCTTCACTCACGAGATTATCAGTCGATCAAGCCAAGAACCGCGGCGCTGCGACTGGCTCTCCTTCGTTGCTGCGGCAGAATACTACTGTCCTGCCCTGCTTTACCCACCGAAATGACCCGGCGTGAAATTTACTAGGAGTCACGTGCTTGTGGGTCTTCTCGCTCCATCGCGTTGAACTTCCGGAGTATTACCTGATAGTTGTCGGCCGTCCCCATCATCCATCCAGCAACGAGAAGCGCCCTCGGGCCTCAGCAAACACATCTCCACCCTCTCCACAGCCTTCCTCGCTGGTTCAGAGGGGCAAGAAGGGGCAAAAAAACTTCACGGCTTTCTTCTGCCACGGCGATGCGAGTCGAGGGGGCGCGAGTACGTAAAAATAGATGGATGGGCGCTCCGCGGCGTCTCCACTCGACTGGCTGGATACCTGGATACTGTGCTGTGCTAAGTTGCTAACAACGTGTGTGCTTCACTGCTTGCTTACATGCGCGGCGCCGCCGAGGCTAGGCAGTTTTGCTCCTCAGCCGCATCTTTCCCCCACCTCGTCGCGTCTGGAGGACGGAGTGCTTCGGATTTGCAGGCTTGCTGGAGAGCAGCGTGTGGTCAGCCTCAGCCTCAAAACACTTAACGCGCCACCGGCCAATCATCGCGTTATGTCTTGAGGGGAGAGAGTGATTTACCGCTCGCATTACGGAGGTAAGAGGAAGACTGGCCGTTGCACATACGCCCCTCTCCAACTCGCCACTCTGGAGAGGAATTGCGGGCCGGTTTGGGATCTGTGCTGGAGGCTCTGGATTTTTACTTGCTGGCTTGGTGACGGTGGACTAGAGTGATGTCACGGCTGAGGGATGTAGTCGTATCATCACGGTTCTCTGCTCAGTCACGGTCACTACGAATTCTAGCTGCTTTGTCCCTACACCGCTATGGGCAGGTTGGGATAACGAGAGACGCAACGCAAGGCAAGGCAAGGCAGGGAAAATGCGGTTTGAGTGGGCATACTACGATTTTTGCCAGGACTCGGGGCTCGATATCAAAACCCAGAGGGCTTTGGGCACAAAACAGATGTATCCCCGACATGGACAGGCACGCGAGTATCCGGCGGCCTTACCTGATCTCATGGTGAGTGATATCCACCTGCCCCTCGGCCCCGCCACGCAGAGGGCAGAAACTTGAAAGCCAGCAAAGCCTCAACCAACCAGTTCTCTTCCGAACCACGAAGACCACTCTATTTTCTTAGCATACTCTTGCATACGAAGCAAGTAGTACTCCGCATATGTCCCATGTTTGAACGGTTTTAAACGCCTTTTAAATAAGCGCGCAAAGCCGGCACGCAAAGCCTGTACGCCCCGTGCCGAGGAGCCCCTCTTTCCGGCCTCTCGGTGTCTGGTATTTTCGTCACTACTATAGTAGTCGGTACCATCAAGCTCATCAAGAGGGGCTTTTTTTCTTCTCGCCCCTCTTCGCACATGCAGGACATATCGTCGACGCCTCTTTTCCGGAGCTTTTTTCCAGAACGTCTCTTAAACACTTAGCAGCATTCCAGCGAGGTGAGGGGTCTCGGCTACCTGGCCAATGATCACGTCGTCTTTTCTGCCTGCTCCCTTCGTTGACCCGGAGAGCTTGGGTAAATCATGCGTTTCGAAAAATTCATCTTCTCCATCACCTCGTCACTTTTCTCTTGCAGCCTTATCCCAGCATCTCTGCAGAGGCCCCCGCTCCGTAAAATGGGGACCAAGTGGATCTGACGCTACTGCGTGCACTTAAGAATCTTCGTCGTTGCTGTTGTTACGAGACCGTACGTTGCACCTGCGAAAAAAGTGAGACGGGAATTCCCACGTAAGTCAGGAAGGAATTTTCAGGCTGGCCTCGTCGACATTCGTACTCGGAACCGCGGTCAGTCTTCTCTTCTCCTTAAGGGGGATGGACATGGAATGTTCTGGTTGAGGCGGTGAGTCCAGAGACAGTCTCAGTCCAGGATGCCTTGACGCTGGCTGACCTCCATGCTGCAACTGATGGTTTTTTATGCTGGTGTGTTGCAGCGTCAGATGTCGAATGCATTTCCCTCATGAGACTGTTGGTCTACGTCTTCAGTTCCCCACTCTTGGAATGCTGCTGTGGGAGATATCTGGCCGTCCATCCGAGACTTCTCTCAGAAAGCTGTGGATGGCATTGGGTGGAAATATACCCGTACCGCTTGGTCCCCTGTGTTGTTCGATGTTGACATTCATCTGCAGTGATACTCTCGGGCTTGCTATAATTCCTCGTCCCTCTGCCTGTAGCGGGAACATACGCCTACGGACCGCTTCCTCTCGTCGAGCCCAGGTACCTTCGAGCAGGCCGGGGAAATACTACGAGTCCGAGTGAAAGCTGCTCCATGTCTCCTCTCGAACCTACGTCTTGATCTGGGCAATCTATAGCTCTCTGCAGAACCGTACCAGGTTCTCGACCTAGGCAGGGTCAGGATCTGGCCGACAGGTCTAGCTGTGTATGCTCTTCACCTTTTATATTGCCTATGGGACGGTTGAGGCTGGAGCGGAGGGAGAAGGCATATTCGTTCGCTCATGGGCTGAATGGCTGGGTGCCGTATATAAGTTCCCTAATGTCGTCGGTATTGTATGGACATACTCTGTCTACATTGGAATTTTCTTTCCAGCATTGTTTGTATTCGGTCTCCCTTACGATGTTTAGGTCGGTATTTGGGCCATAATCCTAAGGGTAAGAATTATCTTGGTTGATGTTATAGCCAACGCAGATTCTGAATACATGCAGGAGGATCTAGGCGGTCAACCGGGCTTTGTTTATTCTTCAAGCAGTGTCCCGATCGTCCTTATTTTATCACTACATTGACAATGCGGGGTGGAATCAAGCCCCACTCAGAAGCTTCTGATCCCCAGACCTCGGTACTGCTCCTGACCCTCTCCGTCTTGTCCTCTCAGTCTGGACCCCACCCAAAAGACAGGCGAATCATAACTTATACTCCTCTCAACAATGCAGTTCACGGGTCACGTCAAGACATGTTGTCCTCGGTGGTCAGGGCCCAGATCCCTGCGGCCTATCCGACACGACACGGAAACAGCACGACGCGCTCATGTTCCATGTTCAGGCTGAGCGGGTGAATGCGTGTTGATGAATTGATGCGTGGACAAGTAGGAAAAATCAAACAGATAAATGTACAGTGTACAGTCAATAGTGTAGGTAGATGTCTACAAGATAGACTGAACCCGGGTCCCGGAGCACGAGTCGCGTCTGTTCCAAAATGCGGATTCTACGCGTTCATAGGGGATATGCGAGCACTTACCTCGTACATTGCAGTTTATAGGAAGATTCTACACAAAGGCGCCACATCACATCACACCGTCGCAGCTCGCACATCTGCCTATTTGATTCTGGGCCTTGATTTCATGCCGATTTTGTTTGACTATCCATTGTGGTGGTAATAATAGCAATGGTAATCAAATACCTGCGGGAACATATCCGTCCGTAAGCGCCGAGCTCGATTCTGGACTCCCACGCCGCAGCCTCGCTTGCTTCTCAGCTGGCATCTAATAATTCCAATTTGATACGGCATTACGGCGACAGGGCAGAAGAATCCGCAGAGTCCAGACGTTTGTTGGTATTACTTTTTTAATTAACTACACGGACTATTGTTTTCTCTTTTCAGGGGATTTTGGGATTTTTAGGTGAAGGGAGAGCGGTGTTTGTTCTCTTGGATAAGATATATTACGTTGCAGTTGCGTTTTCCCGCTGATCGGCTCGGGGAAGGCGCACGCGAGATTGTAATATCGGATTGCCAGCGCATCATCTCATCTAGATGTGATAGATGAGCTACGACGATCATTTGATGCCCATGAAGAGTGGCTCGCTTTGGCTTTTTTATATTCTTTTTTACGGGAAGATCATGAGAGGTGAGGCTCTGGGGTTATGCACGTGATTTCGGCTACCTACCACGTTTGCGGTGTGGACGGGATAACTTCCTACAAGCATAGATGGGGTGTATGGATCACCAATCTATCCTGCATGTACCTCTAAGAGGGGAATCAAACTTCTGCTATGAAAGCTAGCCTAGCCGGCTGGTTTGTCATGTTCAAGGTCGTGTTCAGAAGTCTGAATAGATTACAATTATATTGCCTGTCGAGAGGGGGCCGTCTATCCGCAATCATCAAGGCAAACCTCTCAAAGTGGAGGATCCATCAGATGTGCTCTCCCTGGTGCCCATGCCGGATTATTGAGATGTGCGTCTCTTGCCGCCCTCTCCGCTCTGTCCTTCTCCAGCTCCTCTATTGGATTGATCGTGATCGTGTACTCTTGCTCCGTGCCCGGCAGGAATGTTACCGTGCTGGCATGATTCAGGTTCGGGTCGTCGCGGTCGATGATCCTGCCTTGCCGGTGGACGAATGTTGTCTTGGGGTCTCCAAACATATCCCACGTCACGGCTGAGCCTGGCGGCCCGTTCGGCATCTGGATGTCCCATTTCTTGTGGCCGGGTATGCGGTGCGAGCCAAGCACGTCCTTGCGGTCCTCGCCCAGGAAGAGCGTATTCCGCGTCGGCGTGCTGGTCATATAGCATGCAACGAAGGGCAGCAGTCCAGATAGTCGGTCACCCACCTGGACACCTTCTGGCGATACGTCTAACGTGTCGAGCAACTCGATGCAGGGACATAGCCCCCCGAGATAGTGGGCATGGTACGGCCAGGCAGCGTCGTTCGGATCAACGAGTTGCTCGTTGTTGTCATCAAGCACACAGACGAACAGTTCAAAGATCCGCGCGTTGACGATTCCATTTGCCGTTTTCATAGTTGCGACAGCCTGACATGCATAGTTCGTCTCGTCGATGGCCAGCTTCTGAAGATCCTCCCTATAGAGACTGGGATACGTAGCCCCCGAGTCTAACAGGGAGCGGAAACACTGCTTCGGCCCAGGCTCTTGACATGCCACCCTTCCATCCGGAAGGCGTCGAAACGTCGGTTCTAGAAAAGAAATGCTTGAGTTTGCCATCTGCGGCATCCTTCTCACCCATCCCGCCCTCTTCCAATACCCCTGGTTGAGATAATACGGGCCCAGATTTGTCCATGAATCCTTCCGGTCCAGCGACAGGGACTTCATCATCAACGGCTGTGTCTCGGGGTGCACGTCTAGTGGCGATTCATAGAATATCCAGTGTGGGCCGTGAGCTTCCGCATAGCGATCCAACCGCTCCTGACGGGTTCGCACCAACGATGCATAGTCAGGAGCCGTGTCGACGATCTTCCCGGCGTATATAACCGTCAGGTGCTTGGTGTAGCCGATTGCACCGCTCTCATAGCCGGCAATCGCAGCGCGGATGTTCTCGCGCTCGGGCTCGAATTTCGAGATGCTGAGGGCCCAGTTTAGGGCTTCGAGTCGAGTAGCGATGGCAGGTTTGCTGGGATCAATATCTCTATCTCGTGGTCAGTGTCCTTCTCGCTCGAGAACAGAGGGCCCAGAACTTACCCAACCCTCAGATTTTCTTCCGTCCTCTCCAACGCATCTCTCTTCCTTTTTGCATCTTCCAGATTCTCCTTGATGAAGGCACGCAACTCTTCATTTTGATTCTGATCTTCATCCACATCCCCCTCTTTTTCCTTTCCTTTCTCATCCCTATCCCGTCTTCCAGCATTCTCATCGCCCTCCCCAAAGTGACACTCCCATACACCCTCCCATATCTTAACCTCCTTCTCCGCTCTCTGTATCTTACTCAACCCCACCGGTTCCTCCTCCCCCCACGTTGTCTTCGGCCATTCATATGAACCTTCACAGAAGTCTATATCTGAGATTGGGGGCACGGAAGCTGTGGTCTGCAGATACTGTCGCAGCACCTCGACTGGGCTTTGAGGGAGGGGTTGGCTGGAAGATTTAGACGAGGTAGTGGGGATAGGAATTTTGGCAGGTGTAGGAAGTTTACCAGGTGTTGCGGGAGTGATGGGAGTGATGGGAGTAGCAGGAGTGGTAGGAGTGGCAGGAGTAGTGGGCGTAACTGGCGTAAAGGGAGTATCTGGCGTAATGGGCGATGATGAGGGCAGGGAATTGCTCCTTATGCGGGGTCTCTGGGGAAGTATAAAAGCTATATCATGTCTCGGAGGTGGTCTTCGTATGATGGCATCTTTAGATTTCCGTTCAGGATACAGAGTTGTGTCAGATTCGGGGGCTGGGCCTCCCGTTTGGGAACCAGTTTTCTCCATCGTTACTGTCAGTGCAGTGATAGGATTGATAGCTTTTGGCTGGGGCTGATAGGCGCCGAGTGTTATTATGTTGACAATGGCTCAGTGGCCGTGAGTTCAGACACATTGACCCCAAATTCACGCGGGCGACACGGGTGACACGGGCCAGCGTCTCTGTCTTTTTTCTTGAAATATGTCGCTTTGTCTCTGTCGAGAAAGCCATCTTTTATAGCCAATGGTATGGTGATAAGGTATAGGCTGCGCTGTTTCCGGCCTCCTTTCGCCTTTTTCTTTGTGAGGTGAATGTTCACATTACCTCGAAGATGAATTCGGGTGGAGGGTTGAAAGGCGAAGCCTTCCTAGTTGGGCAGCCATGATTGTAGAAGCCGAATGCAGCTCTTCCCCAGGAGGTTGGAGAATGAGCGCAATAGGGCCTAGGAGTTCGAGGTCCTGAGAGCAATGGCCTGATCACCAAGACGTCTTGGTCACAAAGGCGGGGAGGAATGCCAAATCAGGCATGGATGTAAGCAATTGGCTTTTGGAATTGCTGAGCATTAGCCCCCTTATTATCACATTCCAGCGTTGGTTTGTTGTTTGCGGTCAGGAATGTAGCGGTTTGAGAATGACTCCTTGATTCGCGACTTTATCGCAACATCGCACAAACTTTTTACATTCAGGTTTATACATGTGCACTGCTGCAATCTGCCTATCCTTTTTATAATTACACTGTCCCTGCGAGATTTGTCAGTTATCTTGTGTTGGTTGGTTTTGGGTCGAAGGATTCTGGATCGAGCTGGAGGATGGCGAACCCATCGTGAGTTTCCTATCAGAATATAGTTGCGCAGTGCTCATTTCAATTCAGCCAAGAAGATACCGCGATGGAGACAGCGGCAGACGAAACCATCAATAAATCGAGAACTTTCAAAGGTCATGAGCAACCTTCCGTCGAGGAACGCCTCTTACAATGTAGGAACTTCCTCGCCGACGAAGACGTCAATCGCTGTTTGAACTTCACGTCCAAGCTAGCTCAGATCGAGGAATATCTCCAGTACATTGAAGCAGAGGGACTGCCGCATAACAAGTATCTCTTCGCGGATGTCAAAGCCATGGCCGAGACACAAAAAGACTGGATGAAACGAATGGATCAACCACCCCTAGATATCGACGGTCCCAACGCATCCTCCATCCTAAACTATTCAACTCGTTTGATGGACGCTGAAACTGCTACTGGACTCCAAGCGGAAAGAGACGCAGCCGGCTTGGTCACCCAGATGCGGGAGGATCATGCTCCATTCACGGTTGAAAGATCGGATGATCAATTTGAGTTCTTGCAGAAAATGAAACAAGACGCCTGTGCCGATCCGGATATGCCCGAGGGGAATCCAACAACGAACCTGTTCTTCGTGGAGAACAGAGCGTACAACTGGGCTCTAAGAGAACCGTCGCTTATTCCATTCTGGACAAATTGGAAAAGAGGGCTCCCCAACAAGGGTATTAAACCATCAGAACCGCATCCCTGGTATCGTGTCAACTCAGGAGCTGGGCATTCTGCCCTAACACCCAAGATGCGAGCCCTGAGGAGACAGACTGCCCAGCCTTGGAGCATGCTTCCGGATTATCTCCAGCACAGGGAGGATGTGATCAATCGACTCCTTCGAACCCCGCACGCCGAACTATCCCCTAAGGATGACTCCCAACTAGAACATCTTCTGATCTTTCATGCTCCTCCAAACCTGCAGCAACTCCGTGATGAATGCGATTTCCTTGAAATTACAAGTGATTTTACGGAGGAACAGCATAAAAGGTTTTTAGAAATGAAAGCCACTTTTCGTACAGAGTTCAATGAATGGAGGAAGGTCTTTCGAGATACCGGTGTGCAGATCAGGCTTCTGAGAACCGCAGCGGATTCCGATATGCCAGGTATCTTTTATGTTGAAGATGCCCAGCCATCAGCCAGAGACTATGCTCGATTGCGAGAATACGAGCAGCGGGTTAATTTATATCTGGCCTCACAGGAACTGTCGACCGAGGACAGAGAGCAACTCGATAACGATCTCGAGGCCTTTGCACCAGTAGACATACGGAGACTGAGTGATATGGCGCAGTTTATCTCAGCCAGGGCAGGTAAAACTTCAAAGGGAGGCTATAAAAATCCGTCTGCCACGCAACGAGATGAGGTTAGCGAAGTCCAGTTGGAAGCCTTGAATGCTTCCGACCGACAGGTATACGATTTGGTCAGAAGTGAAAGATCCCGAAGATTTCGTCTCTGGGTGGAAAGTCTTCTAAATACTAGAGTCACGCTGAGATACCTGCGCCCAGGGGAGATAGCTGCAGAGGAACCAGGCCGTCTCTATTGTTCTTGGAATCCGCATATTGAACGTCTACCGCAACTACCTCCACTTCAAGTTAGGCAGATCGAAACAGAGATCGACAACCTCATGTACGAGTTTGTCATCGGCACTATAAGCCAAAGTAATTATACTCGTCTGGACGAATTACTGGCGTCTATTATGTATCCCCAGCACCTGTCGATGTGGGGAGCTTACAGAGAAATGAAAGAAAAAGCCGATGCCGGTACACTCAATCTAGCTGAGTCCAAGGAGTTTCGCCGGATCGGATTCAAATACGCTCGTGTATATGACGCTTGGAAGAATTGCCTTTTTGCGAGAGGTTTGAAGATCCGGATGCCACGAGAAAGCTCCGATTCGGATTTCAATCCAGGCGTACTGTACTACAGAGGGAACTATGATGGCATAGCAGCACCTGGCTTATCTCCTGGGGAGAGCCTTAAGCAATGGGCAAAACGTATTGATGCTGCCCGTGGCGGGATAGCTCAAAGTTTGCAGGGAAACAACACCCTCACGACCGAAGAAAAAGAGATGTATGAAATCGTTGCCCATCTTCAATATCCTCTCCTCAAACGTATGGACGTCGCGTGGAGAGATTTGAGTGCCATGCCAAATTTAGACCAGGAGACACTACAGGATTTCAAAGATATGTGGGCTTCTGCTTTCAAGAAGTGGCTCCGTCTTATTCTCAGTCATGAGGGTCCACTGGAGATCAGAGAGGCTGATCCAGAGGACGAATCACTCGGGGATCCCGGCATTGTGTACTATCGAGGACCTTTCTCGGAACCAGACTCTTTGAAAGTCATTAATGATTCTACTTTGATCCCAGAAGATATTCAGGAAAAGAGGGATCAGATTAAATTGCTACTGGAAAAATCCCGGATCATACCGCTAAGTGAACAGGACCAAGAGGCACTCGAGGTCTTACTACGAAATTTCTGGAGACCATCCCGCGAATATGCGGATCACATAGAACTTGCCAGGGAACAAAAACTGACAGATGGTGAAAAAGAGCAAGAGAGAGTGAGAGGTGATGATTATTCAAGACGATTCGCATTGTTCATCCAACTGTATCGGAAAAATGGCTTCAAGATTGAAAAGCTTCGGTCCGGTGCCTATGAGTGTAATGACCCAACTGCCAAGGATCCCGACCTATGGAGAACACAAGGAGCCAATCGTCGAGGACTCGATAGTGTCCCGGAATACTTTCAGAAATTATTGAACAAACTCTGGCTCTATCCAAGACTGTTCTACAGAAAGCTTCAGGATCTGGAATCCGAAATCAATGAACGTCTCCTCATTCTGAACCCAGAAAGTCCACCGCCGGATGAGGAAATTGCTAGATTGCTGCAGCTACTGCGCCCCTTTCTGCCTCCACCTCTTGCAGAACTCGATAGCCAATTGCAACTGTCGTCACAAAGTGAAGATCTGTACTCTAATATGCCAAAGTGGGACGAGTCAGCAGCCCAGAAAACCTTTGTCGCTCCATTTGTTCAATGGCTTCGAAAGCTTCAACAGTATGCAAAGACTAAGTGGCTAAAGATACTCGTGTGGGATTCAACGGAACTGTCGGCTCGATCTTTTCCTCACATTGGAGGCAGATTATATTTTCCAAAGCCAGAAGATGGTGACCACAATATGGATTTGACTGAAGATCCCGAGGATGACTTACCTACTCGTTTCAAAAGGTACCAGGTTGATATCAACTATCTTCTCAAGCGGAGACAAGTTAAACCACAATCCTCAGACCGAACCTCCTTGAGCTGGGAAGAAAACGACAGGCTACGCCAGTTGTTACGAATCGTGATGGACCCAACCATGGCCCAAGTTGATGATGAACTTCGTGCTCTGGATCAGAGGTCTAGAGTTGAGCTCTTACACGGAGAAGAGTTGACGGACTTCCTGAGCAAGTCTGAGACCTGGCACTCATGGTACAATGAGTGGATCGATTCCTTTTCGCACGATGGAATCAAGCTGAAAATTATGAAGGAAGTAACCCAACGACGTAGCCACGAATCAGGCATTAAATTCATTTGGCCCGAACATGAACAGGTTTTACTTCCACGAGGCCATATCAGAACGATACCACTTCATGTGAGGCTACTAAATCAAGAGTTCAATATTGCTCTCCGCGCCCGTAAACTGACAGACGAAGAGCAAAATGCCCTCTACATGAAATTTTTACCCCTGATCACAGCGACCTATCAGCATGAGTTAGAGAGATTTGGCGCATTCTATCTTCATCGTCTCGGATCCGGACCTGCCCATCAGGACGAGGAGATGGCCATCATAGTCCAGTGTATGGTAATCCTCGCTCTCAAAATCATGTGGGAACGTCTGAAAGAGGCAGCAACCGGAGGAACGGGCGCTTCCATCCAGATCTTTGAACCTGTGCGCGGCGAGCTTAGGATCAGATTAGTATCAGCAGAGTCTGTCGATGCTATGGAAAATAAGGCAGGAACGTCTCGAGCTAAGCCTCCTCTGCCCATGGTTTTTGTGTTCAGTCTTCCACAATTCAACCAGGCAAAAAACGAATATCTCAAGCTTTCAGCAAAGGCTCGAAGGGGTGCACACCTTACAGTACGGGAACGTGCAGAGCTCCTACGACTCTTGAAGCCAGTCCCAAAAGAGGAACAGCAGAAACAGATGAAAGAAGCAGTCAAATTGGTACGGAAGGTTTTCGAGGGGAAGGAGCTAGCTGCCGAGGAATCGAGAAATGCGAAGGAGATCATGTCAAGAATTCTATGGCAGCAATTTGGCAAAGTCTCGGCCAATGTGGCGGAGCGGGTATTCCCAGAATTACGACCTCTGCGGTCCGTTCAAAACTTACTGAGTCCAACTGTGCCGGGTACAGTCCAAACGAATCCAGCTCTTGAAGCAGAGCCAACAGAAGCTGAAATCAGAGAACTGGGTATCGAAATCAACACCCTTTTACGCAGAACTCGGAACAGGACAATAACGGACCAGGAAGGCCGAATACTGGATTACATTCTACATCCCCTGATTACTGACCGCCTACGAGTGTTGGATGAGCAGATTATAGATTGTAGCTCGACACGGAGACGCCCTGGCCGCGTAGTCGTCGGCTCTCATCCAGATGGGGTCTTGAACGCCAGACAAGGTCTTTTATGTGTCGAGCTACAGAACCAGTGGCAGAAAGAATTTCAAAAATGGAAAGCCGCGCTTACCAGGTCCGGAGTAGTGATTGATAAATGGTTCTATGAGCCAGATGCTATATCGAACGTCGTAGCTCGCTTTCGAGAGTTGAAGGAAGCAGTCAAGCGCGAGCCAGCACTCTTACGCAGCACCAACTCGGGATTGAACGTGCCCCACAGACAGATTCTGCAAGACGTCTTCTCATCCCTCAAAAGGTACGTAACTGAGAGCGATTTTACTGACGCAGAGGGAAGATTGATGTTGGGACATCTGCCAACCCACCTGGCAAAGTTACGGGATACCTTATTTGATCGCCGAAGGATCTTGAATGCTCAAAAAGAGCTGCTGAGTTTAAGCGAGAGTGTGTCCCTGAATTTGTTAGAGCACGAGTTCATTGATAGGTACATGGCCTGGTATAATTCTGTCATGGTGAGTACACCAGTTCTAGATCATCTCAAACTACACCTCATCAACCCTTACTAACTAATTTGAGAAGAGGAATACAATAAGGAAAGTGGCTGCTGGGACCAAGGTAGATTTTAGTGGCAAGGCTGAGAGGCGAGGTGTTCAACGAGCAACTGTTGAGCTGGCCCTGAACCTGTTGTCGACCAATTACGAACAACATCGGCCCCGTGATAAATTCAGGAGGGTCCAGCTGCCCCCCCAATACCAACCACCTGAGCCAGAGGTACCATTATGTTTACCACTCGAGCCTTGGAAACGACCGGTTGAACAGGACCCCTTCAAACTCACAAAACTGCTGCTCAGGTATCGGAAGTGGAAGGATGATGATTATCACAAGGCGCGAGGCCGTGCCATTGACACGGCTGCAGGTCATCTGGAACCACCGATCAATTATAACGGGCCGTATACTTTGCCTACCGAACAGGATTTCTTCAACCGAGTCAAGGAGAGACGGGACCACCTGGCTCAGATCCAAGCTTCTTTGATTCATGTTGGAACGATTGCACCTAGGCCGCTCATCCATCGGCTAACTACTCTCATCAATGAAGCATTACTCCTTTCGCCAAATGACAGGTCTCATCCCTTGTTCGAAAATGAAGGGGAAGACAAGCCACTGGAGACAAGAGAGCTAGAATTTCTGAGCGGGCTATGTGCACCTTCTTGGAGCGAAGAGTGGGTACCCTTTCCAAAAGATTCCATATCATGGGTAGGAAGCGATGAGACAGAGAAGGCAAAATTGTTTGAATTCGAGAGAGATATTAATCTTATTATGCACGAGATACCTCTCTGGACCCGAGAGGTTCCCTTAGAACCGCGGTCGCTTGATCCAAATTCTTACGAATTTTACATCCAGTGTCTGTACGACCGTGGCGTGGGCACCTCCACGGGCTGTGACTATAAGACTCTGCTTCGGGACAAAATCAATCCCAATCGTGAGCAGAGATCACAGGGTCTCTTTCCGGTGCATATGTGGACAGAGGAAGAAGCTCTCCAATTTTTGAGGGCAATGAGCAGTGTTGATCACATTTAGTTAGTACCACAATCCTAATTCAGAATTCTCCATACTGACAATTTAGTTTCGACACCGAGGCCGGGAAAGTTGCGAGGATCCCGCCTAGTGGACATCCTGAGAATAGATATGCGGTAAGCCTCGAGCAGCCCATTCCCCCCTATATCGAATACAATCAGCAAGCAAAACAACATCAAGTACGATATAACGCCGAGGGGGAGGTTGGCCAGCCTATTCTCCAACCAAATCTATACGAGTATTTGCAAAGGATTGCTTACAGACTGGGCCGCGAAATTCGACGACTCCATAGCCAGATTAGTGGCGCTAGCACCGAAACCCAGAGGCTCGATGATCAAGGCATCTTGCTTAGATTGACTCGTGACTTCATGGATGAGATTGTTACAGATGAGCACGGCATTCGTCTCCCGTATCGAACTGAAGGCCAACCTCCTGATGGAAAGGAAGTCTCTATCAGGAAGATAGCACGCGACTTACACCGGATCGCTCCTGATCTTATGGAAGAAGCGCAGGTGAATCTGGATGGCGACGCGGTAAACGAGAGCGAGAGAGATCCGGGGACGCTGATCCAAATGCAACTAATTCAGGAGTCGAACAATAATTGGGAGCCACGCTTCCCCGAGAATGAACATGTGTGGGAATTTGCCGCTCCACGCCTTGCTCCTGTTGCTCGAACAAAAGATGGCAGACTATTCCGGAACAGAACCGTCCAGTACTTTAGCATGCGTCGATGGCCACTATGGTGCCAACGTGAAGAGACGCGGGCAAAGATAGAATCTTCTGGAGCTGTTGTAAAAGAAAAGCCAGCCGCCCCGGCTTCTTCTCAACAAAGAGAGGGATCGGAGGTGCATACGGAGACAGCAGCGGGTCCCAAGAGAGAACAACATCGTGGCCGTGGTCGTCCACCGATGTTCCCATTTGGAGAGACCCCTTACCAGCAGGCATTTCAGAGCTGGAGAATGGAAGGAGATTTGAAGGATGGTTAGTATTTTACCTTTGATCTAATGCTATAGCTAACACATTTCCAGTCGAAGAACTCAACCCCAAGCCATCCAAAAGAAGCTGGTTCTCCCTCAGGAGAAGGGTGAGCGAACCGCCTGTAGATCGCTATGCGCTCCCCCAAATCCCTGCCGGCTGGCAACCGGACAATGTCTCACTGGAGGAGAAACGGAGGGACGTCGCCGAACGGGTGAGGCACTCAGATGGGTTCCCTCAAGGACTCGAGCATTACTACAATCAGGAGGAAATCGCTGTCATGCGCGCCCAAGAAGCCAAGACGCGAAACGAGAAACTGCAAGCTGAGGCCAGGGCACTGGTTGAAGCGCGTGAACGGAGGCCCTACAACGAACTGACCAGAGTGCAGATCCGAGCAGCGCAGATAGCACTCGGGATCGATCCCCTGACTGAAATCCTCAGACCACAACCGCCTACTCCTTCATCTGGCACGACAAGAGATGTGGAACCTAGTGGCTTTGGCGCGGGGAGGGCAAGACGGCCAGCCGCAACGCCAACAATTCCTACAGTAAACCTGCCAGACACACCTCCATCTACTCTGGCAGGGAGTGTCAGGCCCCAAGAACGGCAGAAGAGAAAGTCTCCAGAACAGTTGTCGTCTCCGAGGCAGAAACGCGCCAACGTGGCGGAAGATGAGATAGAAGAAGAGGGCCATATGGGACCTTAAGAATAGGGAAATAGGGAGTGTGTTCAAATGTAACCTTTCATCTAGTCTTGTTTCCGTCTACTGGATTTTGTGGGTGGGGGAGCTTAATTTGACTCGTAGGGGATTAGGAGATATTTTTTCTTGATTAATGCTTTTGTGTTTGTAATAGTTTGGGCTTCTGTTCAGTTCAGGTCTTAATTGCATGGTCGTTCTTAAATTGTTCATGTGCTGGGTTGTGGAGTTTGAGATTGACTATAAACCATGCTCTTCTCTGTGGATTTAATCGTCTTATCAATCGATGCTCAATAAATTCGCTCTTAATGTACGTGACATTAACATGGTCCAAAGAAACGTGGAATGAGTATACTTACTTAGCTAAGGTATAGCAAAGGGAATTATATAGCAAAGCAGACATAATAGAAGACTTGGAACCTTGTGCCTACCTACCTACCTACATAGGTCCAGTACCCATGTTTACAAACAAGCAAATCGGACAGATGGCCGAGCTGGTTATGGCGCCAGGTTAAGGTTTCCTTAGCATACAGTTTCCTGGTCACGAAAGTGGCGTGGGTTCGAGTCCCACTCTGTTCAATTTACTTTTTTTACCTCTTTTTTTGCCCTTCTTGAATCCCTTTTTTTTGGTCCTCCGTAAAAGGGGAAGTGGAAAAAGGAAAATGAAAAAATGAAAATGAAAATACTTTTTGCCTCGGATTTAAGGTTTGTAGAAACAGGTAAGGAGTAGACGCCAAGAAACCCCTTTTCTTTCTTTGTTGATACAAAAGAAGACAAAAAATAGGAGTTACACAATACATAGAATGAATAACTGAAGCTTGCTTGCAGACATGCAGGGATAGAGCTCCAACTCAATAAGAGCCAACTCGTTATTATTCATCAGAATCTCACATTGCATCCAACTCAGGGGAGGGCACATATACTAGTGAGGGCACTGTGTGAGAGGACTTCTGTCATTCTCTATCTATGACAACAAAGGGATGAGAAAAGGGACTCCTAGCTGAGATATAGAACTGCAATGTAATGCAATGGGTCCTTGCAACTAGGCCCTCGGTTCTCCGCGAGTCACCAATCACTTGAGAGGCTGAAATGACCAATGCAAGAACTGGCATACAAAGAGAAAAGACTCCTGAACAGACCGTGCCGAGTAACTACCTTGATTCCTATTGATTCCTTTTGATATCGCAATGTTCAGGGGTCATGAGGAGAGAGGTCGTCGAATGTGCATCAAGCCATCTTGGGTTAGGCTTGTCACGTTGCTAAAGTGATCGCTAAAGGAATCGCGATCAGCGCGTTTCCCCAGCCTCCGCCCGTTCTCCTCCCCATACATGAACTTCTCGCTATCAATAACTTCAATTCCTCGTCTCATCCTGCTTACTCCTCCACTGAAGTATCCTCATTATTTATACCCAACCGCAACGATGTTTCTTAAGAGAAAGCGCTCCGATTCCGAGATCTCCACGACCTCTTCCCTCCTCTCCTCCCCACTTTCCACATCCCTCGTGTCTGTCGACGCGTTCCAATCGTCCCAGCATATACAAACCCCCTCTCTCTTCTCCTCACGAACGCGCAAACGTCACCGCGACAACCGGCCCTCCGAGTCCATTGTGCATGGTGAGCCATTCCCAGCCCTCCCGCCAGCTCAATCACTGACCTCTCAAACAGAGCACACCTTATCGCTGCTCTTTTCCGCGCAACAGAATAGCCGATCGGAAATCCAATTATCCCCAGAGTTCGAACAGCAGCAAGAACCAATTGCATCCCTCCCATCAAATCAGGAATTGGATCCTCATCAATCAACTCTACACTCATTCTTTAATATCCACCCTGCGCGTCAATCATCACCCTCCAGCCTCTCATCCAATGCTTCAGATTCTTCCTCTAGTACCCCTCTACAAAACACAAACATGTCCTCTTTCTTCCCGGCCACACATTGCGAAGATTGCGATACCCCACTTAGTCAATTGGGAGATAGTAACGCAATGGATGTTGATATGATGGATATTGATGGGGCGAACGGGGCAAACTACGCGTGTGAGGGCTGTGGGAAGTCAGTGTGTCACAGCTGTGCTATGAGTAATTTCGGAGAGCAGAGAAAGTGTCGGGGGTGCGCGGGAATGGGTCAGAAGCAATGGGTGGGTGGCATTGGATGGATTTGAAAGGAATTGTTTTATACCCATTTGTGTAAGCATCAAGAGAGCTCGCTCTGTGTATTGGATTGTTTGCATTATGGAGTTTGCCCATTGGCAGGGATTGCTGGATACTGGGCATTTTTTATCTATAAGAGCTTTAATCAAGACTTATTAATCAGGAGGTTGAGGACTAGATCTGTGAACAAGTCGTCAGCTTTTCACATCATTAGAGAAAGTTCCAACTTTCATATGAAAACCTTTTGTCACTACCTACCTACCTTTTGATGATTTCTCCGCTTCTTTCAGCTGTTTGCAGCTCTTGGTCCAATGAAACAGTACAGCAATATGGCTTTACACAGGAGAATACAACCTGAAGCCAATGACTTCCTTCAATTCACTGCCATCATCTGACATCTTAGTTTCACTCGCCTACCTACTCTTCCCCTCTTTCCTCCAAGATCTGCTATACTATAAAACACTCCCTGCTTCCCCACTAGAAGAAGTTTCCTCCTACAACTCTATATACAATTCGCGGTAGCTCAGCTGTCCAGAGACGCCTGCTTCAATCTTATCGACATTCATTCAGTAGGTAGCTATACTTCGTTTACAACTCATATTCATCGACACTTATTTATTGTCTGTTTTTTATAACTACTTACGCTGTACAGATAGACTGTTACGCGAATTCTATACAGCCTGATCGATCTATTATAGACCATAACCTTACCTAAGAGATCAGTAAACAAGATCATCTCTGCTCTCGACCCCGCTATAGGGCAGGGTGCGGGGATGACCTCGTTATCTATCTTTATAACAGTGAATAGGTATGCTTTACCTTAATTATCTATTTTCACAGCGACAATCTAAATTTTCACAACGACAAAGATTCACCGTTTATTATCTGACACTCACAAAAACATCGACGTTTTCTTTTCACAACGATGAATAAAGCTTCGCAACGACAACAATCCGTAATTCTGCAATCTCACGATTAAAAACTCCTATAATCGGTCTCTAGCTCACCCTTCCAAGAAGTAGACCCTATATGTTGTACAAGAGCCTGACCTTGAAACCTGCTGGCACCGCCCTTCCAAAGGTTGACTCCCTGTCCTGCTGTCTGAGTAGTGTGAGCAGAACCCGACATATATAGTTTCTGAACCCGACATATATAGTTTCCGAACCCGGGCGCTCGCTTACTAGGAGCGGAATTTTGTGGTTCAAGATTGTGCGGAAGATAGAGAGTGGTGTTTGAGTTATTCACTTTCCCGAACTGGAGAGGGAATGAGGAAAGGGGATGCTGGGAATGTTTGACGGCTGGAGATATGTACGTATTTGGGTTATGGGTTTAGAAGAGTTTGACCTGGTTTGTTTTTTCAAAGCTACCTACCCCCCTTAAAGAGCTTTTGTAATCTCTTTCATGTTCTTGGATATCAACTAGTTTGGCAAGGTTGGCAAATTAAGTGACCTAGACATGATCAAGGAGTTGCCAGAAAACATAAGTAGATCCAGACTCGGGGTATGTATTAAACCAATTAATTATTTGGGTATTAAATATGTACCGTTCCCAACATCTTTTGGGATTCCATCCTATACCATGAATCCCCCCGCTTGAAGTGCAGGAATCCAATATTTGAAATTACAACCAAAGTAACCACCTGACGGAGCCTACCACTGCCTTGCCTAAGCCCATCGCGATCCTGGTAAATACTACCAGGAACCACACGAACCACATAACGCCCACAAGCGCCCACTCAACAATTACCCAACCTCCTCGTCGCAGCCACCTGAATCTCCTCCTACGTCTCCGCATCATCTTGTCCATCGTATCGATGATTCGTTTGACTTGCAGGGTTTGAGAAGTAACGAGGTCTTTAGAGACTTCGTCCGCTTCGTCGCCTGCTGTTCTCACCATCGGCGTGAGATTGTCTGTTATAATAGAATGAAGGTGATCAACACGACCAATTATTTCCTGAACAGTGGTGTTGCAGAAGCTATCTGCAGTAGCCTGCCACATACGTGACGAGAGCTGTATATCATCGGATATAATTCTTGCAGCAAGGAGATGTTGTTCGGATTTTTGAACCGGATTGACTTTCTCATGTGCCAATTTGGCGATGTCAGAATAAGGCTTCTCATCCGTGTTGCAGAGATCCTTAGTCTCAGCAGCTCGTCGAGAGATTTCCTTCGCTTTGATCCCGGAGGAAAGGAGGAGTGCTCGCACACGAGCAATTTCCCTCTTCGTCATTGGGCCACGATGAGGAGAAACACCGCGATCAGAAATACTCCATTGCCGGTTCCCCTCCAGTGTCGGGCGCTTGCCGTGGGTTGTTTCGAGACTGGAAAGGCCAGTGACAGGCAAATTAGACGATCGTCGTCCAGGGAAGCCAAGAATGGCGTTGAGGCGAGCGTCCGCACTCTCAACGCCATTGCGGAGACTACCTCGACGTGATTCGAGATCCGAGACTGAGGAATAGCGTCGAGAGGGTTCAAGCTCAGGAGATGATGGAGACGCATGTTGTATATCTATCCGGGGCGGGACTTCGAGGAGGTTGGCCCGTGATGATTTCCTGCGTTCTTCACGAGCTTGCCGTTCCGAACTGGTATCAATACCAGCCCCAACGTTTTCATGTCGTCCATGGCGTTCAGTTGACGAGATGAAGACAGGCATCCCAACATGACTATATTCCTTTCCTTTCAACGCCAAGGCATCATCATTATCATCAGAAGGGGGCTCCGCAGAATTTTCACGAGAATATTTCTCCACGTTGCTCTTTGTAGCACGAAGATCCTCGACATCAGACTCATCAGTAGAAAAGCCAGAAGATGTCCCCGTTATTGGTGAGCTTTCCTTTCTCCAGAGAAAGTCGCTAACTCTAGCGACAGGACCTCGAGTAGCTTTGAATAATCCTCGGAAACTGGAAGGTTCATCTCCCCCTTTACCTTTGCGCACGCTGGCTTTCCCAGAGGATTTGGAGCTGTCGTCCGTCTTTCTAGTCGAAATCTTCTTGGCTGGACTCATTGACCGCTTCCTTCGTTCTGGAGTCTCGGGGCTCTCGGAAGGCATCTCATTTCGGCTCAAAGGCGGCGCGGAAACCGGCGTCTCCAGAGTATCTTTCCGTCCTCGACTGTCCGTCCGACTATGTTCATGGAATGGATTTATCCTGGATCTAACCTTTGACATATGATGCCTCGTTGGAGAAATTTGACGCGGGGGTGGTGACAAATCCATAGCTATACTCGGTACGAATGTATTGGCAATTTGGCAGGCTTTAGTTTGAGGCGAATTCGGTGCAGTACTGTCCAATTCTTCTAACGAGCCTCGAGGATTGAGAGGGGGAACTTCGAGGCTTGGTCGCCCTGACGAGTCATGAACCATCGAATTTAGACGCTGGCGATTTGCTTTCGCTGCAAATGATCCGGACCTGCTGTGTCCACGTGAACTACTCCCAACGAGAAGAGGGCCATCGGTTTGGGATTCAATGGATCCATGCGGCACACTCCACTCCTGTTGCCTCATTTCCCTTTCCAGCACCTCCATCATCTGTTTCTCCAAGATATCCTTCCCGCGATCCCGGCTATCTGCCGTTCCACTACGCTTACGTCTTGGATGATGGACTCCGTCAGTGTCAGAAGAGTCCGAATCAGAAGGACTCCGAGCTCTCAGGAGGTGAAGCTCGCGTACTGAGCCGTTATGACCATGATGTATGCGCGTTGCATCTCGTAGCCTTTGTTTTGCCCTCGATGTAACACTATCAAAATGCCTGTCTGAATCTCCCTTCAGAGACCTGAATTCAGGGAGTTTCGTGTCGATTCGAAGATCAGGAGACTTCTGGACTCTTAGCCCGGGAGTCTCTTGCGGCTCTGGTTCTCCATCCCTACGAGACGGTGGTCTTTTCAGTTCCGCGCTTGGCGGGAAGATTTTTCGACCAGAGCGATCCTCAATCATTTTCTTATTGTCATCCTGTTCCATCCAGAACAAATCTGCAATCATGTCCGCTGGATTGGTGACCCAGTCAATTCGAGGTCGTTTAACTTTCGGGTTTGCGTTTTGGCTCTTCGCTTGAGGTGATGTCCGCGGTGATGAGGAAACTTCTTCCGCCTTAGAAATTGGAGGCATTGGAAGGCAATCCGCCTCCTGATACTCGTTAGACAAAGCTTCTGCCGCAACTTGATCCACCCATGACGATACTCTGGCCAAGTCCTCAAAGCCTTGTGCCTCTGCATCGATAGACTTCCGTTCTCGAGCTCTGACTTTTCGGTTCCTAATATACTGTAATGGGTTGTACTGTCTCCCAAGTTGGCGCGGGGTAGATGAAGTGGTCTCCGCAGTTCGCGACGGAGTGAGCAGCGAAGCTAGAGGAGATTCAGAGCTAGTTGCTGTCGTTGCTCTTTCAATTCCTTGTGGTTTCAACGGCGGAACATATTGTAGCAATCGACGATACTCAGCCATGAGTCCAATGGCGTTCTTGGCCTTTTCCGCCCGTGCCAGCGTAGATGCAGTAAAATGATACCTGTAACCGCCATCTGGTTCAGTATCGAATGACGTGTGCAAAGGGCTGTGGATTTTCTGACTTGACCCAATTCGAGGAGATGCAGTAAGGGAACGGTCAACTCTTTCTGATTTGGGGGACAAATTCCTAGACGACCGCCTTTGCTGTTGTAGATGTTGTCGAAGACTCCCGCCGCCGGTGAAACTTTCCCCAAATGCGTTTGAAATTGGGGGGGCTGCTGCTGACAAGCTCCTCCGTGCCGCATTGCGTCTACTCTCGCTGAGATTCAGCGCGAGATTGACAATCTGCGTAGAATCAACATCAAGCCCTATACCCTTGGCCTTCGTGGCAGTGTGGTTCCCAACATCTTCGGTTGTATCTCCGTCTAAGCCATTGTCTGTCCCAGCTGTAGTTACAGTGGCACCCAGCGGACTGTTACCAACGCCTAGCCGCAGCGCAGTATCCGATCGTTTTTTTGTTTGTTTCCTCTCCTCGATGCGCACGACTGATTTGCCTTTCCGATTCTTAGACGATGGTCGGTGTGCGGTGTGCTCCAAGGCCGCCTCTGCATCGCCGGGGGGAGGTTCAAAAACGGAATTCGACAGCAGAAAGCCCCCGCCGTTCCTGCTCCTATGGCTCCTGTGGCTCCCTTTGCCAATCTTAGCCGGCACTGCACCCTCGAACGGGTCGTTTTTCTCAGCCATCCCGTCTAGCAGCCCATCGTTCGATGCCGACAGACTATTCCGATTACTTGCCGCAGCACTCGATTCACCAGTCTCGCTGCTCGCAGCACTGAATCCTCTTTTGGAGCTGGAAACCGTACTGGGGGTTGCGCGACGCTCGAGTAGTGAGGCGTTGGAGGAAACTCGGCGTGGTGAGAAGTCGAGCGTAGCATGATCGGATGACATGTTTGTTGCTCATACGAGCTCTTCGTTTGTGACAGCATTCAGGTCATTGCACACGATGCCATTGTCGCGAGGCGCAAGTCGCAGGAAGGGTTGGTGAGGCCTCAAGCAAGAGTGGTTGGGTATTGTCTTGTCCTCCCACCTTCAGCTCTAGACGTCTCACGTGCGTGGAGAATGAGGCGTGTTTCAACGCGTCAGCGTCAGTGGTCTCGGTCTGGCCCAGCGCTGACTAAGCACGCGTATCTCGATAAGAATAGACTGATCGTGGGTCTCGATTATTCCTTAAGGTCCCTTACAGCTCTTGGAATTGAGTAGCGCAGAGATGATGATAACGTCATATGTCCTTACATAAGGTAGGTACTCAAAAGAGATTCCAGTAATTGGCCGGGTCTCCTTGAAATGCGTTCTCCTCTTGTACTTTCTCCCTCCCCCTCGCCCACCGAGTCACTTGTACTTCTCCCCTGCGGGAGTGCAAATATCATCAAGGGCATTTAACAAGTCAGGTTACATAGAACCTTCTGCTTTTTCTCTGATCAGGCAATGTTAACGAGACCTCTGTCACCTCACCAAGTGGAGACGGTCCAAGTGGCCCGGCGGGATTTAGTTCAACCCTATTTTTAACACCGCAAAACAGAAAGCTCTCCTCTAAGCTCTAGCCTCTGGTAGTGGCCAATTTGCCCCCCTTTTGTCTGCTTGTTTGCCTTTACTTTTTGCTAAGGCATCCTCTCCCTCGACCTAGAGGTAGGTATTCGACTCGATTATATAAATGTGTTCTATTGCAAATGCAGCAGAAGGATTTAGGTATCCTTTGAAAGGACAAGGTGATGAAAGTGTCCTTCTCAGGGAAGAGGACTTTTAAGATATATCGAAGTTATAAATGCTCTCCCGACAGTGAACAATAGATATGTTCCTCTCATACTCTCCACTTTTTCCCTCAAGCGTCCTGTTATCAATCTCCAATTTCTCAAACTCTCTTTCATCTCTTGATCATGTGCAACCTTTCAGATATCCGATGATTTCAGACCTCTCGGATGACTCAATCCTTTATGTTGCCATGGTGAGCGATAAAGGCCTTGTTATTGTACAATCGTCTTGCGGGCGGTTAAAGGGTCGTCCATTTACCGGCTACGGCAACGGGAACGACAACGGCAACGGCTTTGGTTCTACGGGCCGTCGCCGGCTACTGACACAACAATCTAAGGTATATCAACTACCTAGGCAAATTCCAGAATCTCCGAGTACTGTTCAATAATTGCATCTGCTTCTCACTTGGTTCAAAATACCCTTCTATCAAGTGCCCGCGAAATCATGGGTGATTCCCAAGAGCACGCGACATGTCCGACCCAACTCCGCTACGACTCTCTACGATGTTTCGGCAATTCCACGGTCAGAACTCCCAACATCGATGCCTTCGCGTCCCGCTCCACTAAGTTCACAAACTGCTACCTACAAGCTGCGGTATGCTCTCAAAGCCGGTGCTGATCATGTTTTATTATTTTATACAGACCATGGGGAGTGTCTCGGTGACATGGGATGATCGAGAAATGGCCAAGCGGAATTTCGGAAGTCCTCTCTCGAGAGCCCCCAAGAGTTGGTGGAGCTGGAATACTAGCCGGAAAGGTATATGAAGACAACAAGTAGATAATATATAGACAATTAAGACAGTCTTGACGGTTAAAAAAAGCAGACGGTTACGAGTTTTTGGACGCTTAAACAGAGAAGGCAGTCACTCTATGATCAACTTCTGTTTTGAGGATGTGTAGACAGTTCTATTGCTAATACTGTCAATAGATCAAGCGAGGACGGTGGATCTAAACCTCGTTTCCCCATGAACATTCTCTCCCAGAGAACGAGAGCCATTCCATTCCATTCCATTCCACTCCATCGTAACATTCCATAATGGCATTACCATGCGTGACATTCCCTCCATACCGTGATACTAAAAAGAAGCAAGTAGAGAAGTGAAAGGGGTGACCGACTCCGAATAAAACTCGGAGATCGACTCAAAAGTTGAAAGAACAGGGTGTCGAAGAAGTGAAAAAAGAATGGGAGCATAAAACTAGCCACCCATCAAACCCAACCATGTTGGCTCTCCCTTACCAACCGAAGCTCGTGTCCTTCACCCCGGTAGTATCCCAGTTCACTGGTTCCTGTGCTACTTTCTCCAGCATCCCTGTCTCCACCGTATCGTCCCATGGATGGGGACAATCAATCTTGTCGTGGTCACCGTGGCAGTGAAAACAGCCTCGCTTGCCTTTGCCCTGAGCCGGCGCTGCAGAAATGATCGGATCCTTGCATTTGTCGTGGGTATGGCCAAACGCACCGCAGTTAAAACAGGAAGCTCGGCCGTGGAAAGGGCATGACTCATTATCTGCCTCGTGGCCATAGCCTCCGCATTTTCGGCACTCGACACCAGCATCAGCATCTAGGTCCACTTCCCGCATGCTGTCGACAATACAGGCGAACTGGTACTGTCCGTACACGTTTCGAGTTGTGGGGCTAACCGTCATATAATACTCGGTAGGTTTGCCGTAGGTGTTGGAATCCAAGGACTCGCTAGTGGCCAGGATGCAGTAGCCATAACGCCAGCGCGTGTCAGCCACGAGGTTGTCTTTTGCTGCGCCAGCAAAGGGAGTGAGGCGTGTATTAGGGTTGACTCTGAAGACCAAGTCCTTTTCAAGACCCTGCACGACTTCGAAAACGTGTGCTGTGAAGCGCTTGTCGAGGTGTTTATGAATCATCATCTTCATCCAGTTCACAACCCCGAGGTAGCTAGATATTACCGCTACTGTAAATGATTCCGGTTTGAAGCCGAGCGTAGCCTCTGATCCACAGTCTAATAGACCCTTCAGAACAATGAGCTTCTGCAATAGATGGTGTTGAATTAGAAGGTTAGTCAGCGAAACGCCCCCTTCCTCTTTCTCCGCGCGGGTCTTGTTACAGACTATGAAGGCGTAATTGTTGTTGACCTGAAACAGCTGCTTCATGAGGTTCTTGCAAAAACCAACCTGCGCGGGTCTAGGACGTGTGGCATTACCGTCAACTAGGGCATCGTTATAGTAGTGACGACTAATAAAATCGACGTAGGGAGCATTGAACATTCGGTGCTGTTCATACAGAGAGATGACACCAAGTCCCGAATCTTTAAAGAACTGGAAGGCAGTATACATCCCGAACTTGGCGAACGTAGCCGGGACATCTGCTTTGTCCGTATTCATGAAGGGCCCTTTCTGCCTAGTGTCTCCCGCGAGAACGACAACCTTTAAGGTAGGTAGTAGACCAATAATCGCCATAAACTTTGTGCGGCGGGAGCGCGGGTCCTCGTCCTTGATAAGCATCGTTGGGGCGACCGCGTCACAAACTTCCTTGCGTAAAAGTAGGTCGCATGTAATTCCAATAATGTGCGCGTCGCGTAGAATCTTTCGACGAAGCTCGGCGACCAATGCATTAACCTCTTTTAACACTGCCTCGCTGGCAGAGCTACCATCAGAGCTAAGACTCAATGACCGCATCTTTCTTATCAGAACTTCCCACCTACCGGGGTTCGCCTTGATCTCCTGGATCATCGCTTGGTTAAGGGAGAGATCTGAGATCTTAGCGTCAAAACGCGTGTCCCCGGCTGTAGCTTTATCCTGAGCCTGCTTGCCAATGTCGTCCAGGAGGTTTTGTACTAGCCAATCAGTACTAATGTGGTCTTGGAAAAACGAACAGGCCCGTTTTCCTGGGACATGCTGGTGAATAAAACGCGAGTCCTCAGCAGGCAGCGAATGAACTCGGACTATACGAATGCCATCAACAGCATAGGTGGAAGCCATCCCTTTGATGCGGTCCATCAACTCATTTACCAACTGGTTCGTGTCCGTCGTGACGATAAGTTGATTTGCTGCCTTAAAATTCGCGGCGTGGGCAAGTCCATATGACAGAACCAGACGTGTCTTACCGGAAGCAGCCCCCCCCCTCGACAAGCATAACGCCATGTTGAACCTGTGCAGCCTGGAAAAAACGGTCGCGTTGGTACTTGGTGAGGTTCGCAGCAAACCTTTTGTAGTCCGGGACACAAGTACTGAAAAAATCTAGCGGCGGGAAGACCGCGTCCACGTTGCCATCAGTAAGGTAACCCACTAAATGGTGGCGCAGAACAGTCTGTGAGAGATCTTCCTTGTATTTTTCGAACAGCTCATTTAGTCCTCGTAGCGTGTCCTTGTAGGTCTGGTCAGATAGGGTCTTCTTAATGTAAACCGCGTGGCGTGGGGCGTCCTTGGCAATATACTGTCTGCGGCGTGCAAGGCTTCTAATACGAGTTTCGGTAGCAGGAATAACAGTTCCGACTGTTGGTGCGTCATGAAGGCCTTCCCATTTTGGTTCTTTAGGGCGAAAGACTTTCATGAGAGGTTGGCCCGGAGCGTTAAGCTCAGAAGACTCGAGCAGTCGAGCATGCCACAAAGTGCGCTTGACTTCTAGATCATCCATTCGCGCCTGCTCACTGCGTTCGAAGTATTCGGCTCGTGATTCTCGAACTGTGATGTAGTCCCCGTGGTCCACGACATCGTCCTCATCCCTATCATCCCGAGGTGGCGGTGGACGTTGCTTCTTAGGACCGTCTAGGCACTTGGGCGGGTCTGGCACCTTGAAAGGCATGACCATAACAAAAGAGTCACCTAGGCGTGGACGCTCCATCTTCTTGTTATCCCAACGTATACTCGAGATATACATCTTTGGCAGCTTGTTGTCATTTCTGTTGATCATGAAAGCCGATCCTGGAACCTCTTCAAAAGTGACCATGAACTTTACAGCTGCAATCTCGGCAGCGAGCCCACGCTCATAAAGCCACTCGTCTACCTCGCAGTACACGGCATGCACCTTAAGGTCAAGGTGGGAGGGTTGGGTCCGACGAAGTTTCCTAACTAGGTTCTCAACACTGAGAGCTGGACGTTCTCGAGGGGCAAAGATGTTCTCTTGTCGGAGCATATGCGCGTTAGGGGAGTTTTTGATCCAATATAGGGTCGGATCCACCGCCTTATCATTGTTGATTTTATCCTCCATGAGCTTCATCACGCTGTCATATGTCTCTCCTTCCTCCGCAAAGTATAGGGTGATAATTTCGAAGTGAAACGGCTTATTCTGCAGCTTGGCTTCACGGATGTCGTGAAAGAATTCTTTGAGGTCGGCCTCCGCCTTCGAGTCGAGAAGCTTAGGCACAGCGGAATTGAAAATCCGGACTGGGCCAACGTCGAAGCTGACGAGACACTTTTCATCAGAAACCCAATCTGACAGAGGATTGAAATAGGCAGGCAGGGTGTAAGAGTTCGGAGGTTGGACAGTCCAGTTGAAAATATCACGGCCGGTGATGTTGACCGAGAAATGGTAGTACCGGGACCCCTCTGGGTTGTACTTGGGGCTCATATCCCGCTCTATGATACCCTCGATAGCGATTTCTGATTTAAAGAACTTCTCCCTACAATCAAGAATGAGACGGGTTGTTGGGGCAGTGAGCGTGTCGAAGATCAAGCTACAATTCACCGCCTTCCCGTAGGTCTTGCCATTGATGGCGACATAGGCCCACGGATCAAAAAAATATTCCTGGTGTACGTCCTCCTTGCGGAAGACTTGGATCTCTTGGATCTCTTGGATCTCCTCAGCTTCATTCGCTGGGGCTTCTAGAATCCCGGTGCCTGTGGCGACCCATTGATCGGCCGCGTTGGACGGGTCCATGGCTCAGAGCGCAGGAGCAGCAGGAAGGGACAGGATAGTGGACGCTGGCTCGGTCTCAACAGCCGGCACCATGACGGGGAAGACTGCGAGGGCTGTAAGCTTCTCGGGAATGACAGGTGGGAGGGGAGTAGCTTACAGGTGATCTGCACTCAGCCGTACCAGGGTGATGGGGGACTTGGGAAGAGTCGAAGACGGTGTGGATGACAGGTGGGTAGGAAAAATGTAGGGAGAACGGCGGGGTCGATTCTGTCGAGGAGATCGATCTCGCTTAGCGCGCTCCTCCTCGTAGTGATATTATTCACTTTCGTGTTTGTTAATTCGTGTAGTCAAATTTCCGCCCTGGAGGACGCCATTGACTTGGTACCTTAGTTTAATGTCTTTACGGACCTGGACTGGTTTAATGTCTATTTCGGACAGTGGCTAGTTCGTGTGGTCAAATTTCCGCTTGTCATGGCAAACGTCAAGGCTGGAGGACGCCATTGACTTGGTACCTTTAGTTTAACGTCTATTTCGGACGGTGGCTAGTTTAACGTCTTTTCGGACCGTTGTGTACTGATCAGGCCGTTGTGCATCGTCCAGTGAGCGTCTTAGATCGATATGGAGGTGTTCGAATGTCGAAAGATGCTTCTAGGGGTGACAACGGTTGGTCCGAACTTCAAAGGCTGCTGAGCATCAGAAAGTACTTCTGGGGGTGGCGACGATTCGACGAATGTTCCAGTGGCTGCTGACCCACAGGGCAAAGATGTGGGAGCGATGAGCATTGTAACGATCGTCGTGTCTACACAGGGTAGACATATTGAAGATGAACATTCCTTTCTCCCTTCGGCGGGGTCAAAGTTCTAACAGTCGAGGGTACAAGTGAAAGTGAGATACCCTCTACCGGCGGAGCCCCTTCGGTCACCATGCGGGACAGTCCATCAGCATTTCATGTGCTGGGTGCCAGGCCGGTGCTTGATATCCATTCCATGTAACTACCTATGTTGGTACTTCGAAAGGAAAAGGCGCCAATCCGCTAGTCACACCGACCGCTTGCCTTTGACAGGTCCTTGACCTTAAGAGGGCTTCTGCAAGAGAAGTATGATCCATACAGACCGTGATATGACCGTGATCTAAGCATTGTGGCAGCTTTTTTAATGCCCACACTCAACGCTCCCGTTTCGGGCTCACTCGGCCAGTAATTTTCCTCTGCCGGGTCAAGGTCCTTTGACGGAAAAAGGTCTGGTCTTCTCATCTCGTTAGCGCCCTTCTAGTGGAGCGCGGTACCAAAACCCTTTTCCTTACTTCCGTTAACATACAATAGGGCTCTTTGAAGTCTAGGAAGGCTCCTAACTAGATCGTGTTGAATTGATGTTGGATTAAGGTATGGACGCGACGCCTTAAGCGAGGATGACCTCCGCTGCCGTTGCCGCTCTGGAACCGCCTGGCCCGCCGTTCCCGCTTGCTGCTTCACCATTTCAACATACAACCGGAAGTGATATGCTTTCGGCCTTTGCTTTTGTTGACCGCCCAATTTACTTCTATTCCGCGGTCCATACAGACCATACCACATTATCGCGGTCTTCATACGACCAAAATGGTTTGGGGAACCACGCACGTCCAAAAATACTTCAACAGACAGCTGGCTCCGTCCTGCGCTTTGATTGCAATATCGAGTTTCAACTTTGTTTTCGACGACCAGGGTTATGCGACCGCCCAGGCTATGGATGTCTTTGAGCACCGGTTTGGAGGTACACGCGAAGACGAAGTCATGGGGTCTGGAAGCACGCTGGCTTTCAATGTTCAATGGGCCTCCCCGGATTTGCTTGTGGTATGCAAGGGAAGATTGCCACAAGAAGTCGTGGCTAACTGCTTGGGCAGGTGTCATGATTGGTACTTTGGTGAGCGCTCGGTTTGGCCGTCGAATGTGCATGTTTGAGTGATCTGTTACCCGGTACGTGATTCCCCAGATCGGCACATGGTTACTAGATGTGCCATACGCCAATTTGCAATCGAAAGTCGGATTTAACTACGGCAGTGCTGCCGCTTGCTGGATTATCTTCACCTACTTTTGCGTTCCTGTGTAGAGACAAGTCATTCGAGCAAGTAGACCAGCTCCTTCTACGTTCTAGCTTCTTTTATCTCCCTCGTCTTTCTGTTTCCTTTTCCTCATCCGCCATCCTCAAAACCCACCCTTCAATTGTACCTCTCGAATCGGTTGGCCGAGGGTGGCATTCTGACAGAGACCTTGAGGAGCGAGTCGATAGGATTTTGTCGAATACTGTTGCTGTGGACAATCAGGTAGGGATACTTGTGGGCAATTAGCAGGCTTAGCCATGAGAACAATGTTCTATATCGAGACGGTTTGGTTGAAGTGTCCGCGATGCGAGGTCGAGCACGCGTGAGACCTGAAACCTTACGAACAAATATTACGAAGGGAATGACGTTCCAGGTCAATTGCGGGCGCGCAAGATGTTGAACGGTGGGCCATGGCAAATATCAACCACTTAGAAATATCTCCCATGTACTAGTAATGTTTAATGACAGAGATCAACAGACTGTGGGTTGACACCCTTAGCTGCCGAACCATGCGAAAGAAACACCGACGACCATTTGATTGGCGAACCAGAGTTAGAGATGGGAGTGCTCGATCCAAGACGTCAGCACTTCAGGATCGATGTCACGCGAAGCTCAGTAGAGCTCAGAGGAGGTATCAAAACCCCCGGAACTGCACCCCATTTCCGTGCCAGATTGTTCGCTCGTTTGCTTCACAAAATCGCATTTCCTATTTCTGATTCTTCAATCCTCCGCTTCCCGGGTTGACTTATACCCAAGGATACTCCTTTCCAGTTTCTATCCATATTCATCTGGACCCGAACCTCGTCAAGGTCCTAGCATATATGTCTAGGGAACCCACATCCTCATTCATATCAACATGTCGGACTCCTTTCCCGAGCGCGTGCCCACTGTCTCGAGGGTTGCACTAAGCCGGCATCGGGTCTCACGCATCCTCTTCTTCCGCCCCTTCTCTCACAGACGCTCCACATCAGAGCCAACTGACGCCTCGAATGTTCGTCCTAGAATCATTTCTATGCCCTCAAACGGAGAAGTAACAATCATTGATCCTCCCCCATCGTCTGAGGAGAGAGTGTATCCGGGAGATCGGCCGATTATCATTGTCAGGACTTATGAAGTTCCCGCTGAGAACGTTGATAGTCTTATTAGTGCCTAAGTGGGTGAGATAGGCCCTTCACTTTCTTGAGAAATTCAGAGTCCAGCTTATTCATTATGCGCAGCACACCCGGAATTCCCGCAGTGCCCTTTCTCCCAACTGCTCCCGGCTGTCCTCTTGGGGTTATTAATGAACTCTGGGACGAACAGACTCCTTGACCCGTACAGGAAGAGAAATATGATGTGATTCGAAAGGGTTGTGCTGAGAGGGCGAGCACAATGGACAGCGGGAATATTGCTGCACATAGAGAAAGGCAGATGGAAACTAATCAGCCCCCCAAAGAAGGAACAGAATGTGGAGAGAGGAGAAGGGGATAAAAGGAAAATCAGGACACCAACACGTACAGAAAGAGAGGAAGAGAAAAGGGTCGGGTTAGAAGGAGAGAGAACGCACGTGGCAGTATGTAGCCAATTTGTAAAGGATTTTGACTAAACCAACTTTTGTCACATGGAAGGGATTTGAAAGACAATAATTGACTTGATTGAGTGAAAGATGGTATAATCGATATAGAGACATATAGAGGATCCTAGAGTGGATGAATAGATCGGCGTTCAGATCAAATATCGAGGTAGGCACTAGTATGTGCCACGTGACAAACTCGCGTACAATCAATCGGTTAAATTTAGCGCGCAACGCACAGCTCCCCACACTGTATTTATCAACTCAAGAACCGCTCTCTCTCCTCCTTTCCTCCAACAACACAAGAAGAATCAACTTTATTCCGTGTTTATTCTTAACCCGATAGATGGGCAATACCTTCAATTACCAAGACTCCGATTATCTTCAGTCCGGTAACAGATTGCACCTCATCATCTACCAACAGGTCGACCTGTTACAAACTTACAGTAGTTCATCGGTTCGTCTCCACAGTCCCTCTTAACCCCACCACCCCGCAGCTTCGCGATTCGCGATCCGGTCCGTGCCAATCACGTAGCTAACCCCGCGTGTCAGTCTTTCGAATCCTGGAACTTCGACAGGTATCAAAAGGTTCATAGTACGGCAGTTAGAACGTACGAACGCCTCCCTACAAAGCCTAGTGCCCCCGAGCAGGAGGAAGAACAACCAAAACCAAAACCCTAGACCCGTCGGACATTTCCGCATTATACCATCTCTTGTCGCTCTCAAGTCTCTTGTCGCTGTCAATTCTCTTGTCGCTGTCGATTCTCTTGTCGCTGTCGATTCTCTTGTCGCTGTCGATTCTCTTGTCGCTGTCGATTCTCTTGTCGCTGTCAATTCTCTTGTCGCTGTCAATTCTACTGTCGTTGTCGTCGCTATTTGTCAAGTTTTCGTCTTTGCAAGACGTACCGGGAATTCTGTGAAGTTCACGCCGACAATAAGCAACTCAGTGGCATTCTGAGCAAGTACTGGAGGTCTCTTAGATTCCTTCCGAAGGTATGCAAAGAGCTTTATGTTATTTATCGCCTACTTACCACAGTATAGTTCATCAAAAATAGGATTGAAATATTCAAGCCCTAGACGCCAACCGAGAGCAACTTGTATAGGCATCGAAGAATCTGACGTCGAATTTTGGTCTCCTTCGTATGGTCAAGGGCGGGCTTGGTACAAACGATATTTCCACACAAAAAAGATGCACATGATGCCGGACACTTTCCCAGAAGGAAACGCCGGCCCCTCAACAAATGAACAACCCCGTATACGACCCACGAACCTGAGGTAGAATTCGCGAGGCTTTTACTCTTCGAAGATGACAAAAGTGAATACGACTCCTGGAAGGGAGCCTTCCCCCTCTTGTACAATGGAAGTGAGATTTGTATGTTGTCTGGGTCCGTCTCGTCGCGAATAAACCAACGATCTATCATTCCTTCTCTCAGCTTTGACACGAGTCGTTACTGAAGACTATCGATCACTGGGACGATTCGGGGTGTGTCACAGTAATCGTCGTTGCGCTGTCGCCCGAGGTCGTGAAATCTCCCTTGACGAATGAGAATAGCCGGATTACTATGCACGATTTCATTGCGTTGCGCGTACAGCTTTATGTTCACGTCACGCATCTCGAAGCCGATGGAGTGGCAGACTCCTGAGATGGCCAGGTGTGTCAGGCAATTGTCTCCATATCTCGTCTCACTAGGGTCTCCAGTATATCAGGGCCGCCTCAAGAGAGCGGGCTCTTGCTGCTCGCCGCGCTACTTCTCGACGTCTCGTCCTGGTCTACCCGGGCAGTATTCCTCTTCTACTTGTGGAAGCAAACGGAGGGACTCACGGCCCGCTACAAGGAGCTTCGAGATGCGGGAGATGGAGGCGTCATCTACAAGAAGATGATGCAGGAAATCAACATGACCATGGTCGAGAGTTTGAAAGCTGAACAAGCGGCAATTCTGGCGAAGCAAGTAGAAAGGAACTTTGAGTTGGCGTCAGGCAGCCCAAGGGTCAAGCGTGTCGCTCGTCACACTTAATGGTGGAAACAAAGAATTGAGAGTGATGAGTGAGTCGGAAGTTGGTTGAGCTTGATGGACATGTCAGACGAGGCTACTGCCGCATACAACGAGGACTATGGATCCCTGGAACAGCCTCAGATTATCATTTACGATCCAAACTTGAATTAGGAAGCAAAGAAGAAATGTTGAGATTTGGCTTGGGGCGTGAAAATGGACAGTATCATAGGTAGGCATGGCCTTGCGCGTCAGCTTTCAATGGGAAAGACGTCTCACGTGACCACCTCACGCAGCTAGCTCCCCCACAGGTACCTGTATCTATATCTGCTGCAGAGAATAAGGTAGCTCTTTTTTGCTCATCTGTCGGATATAGCCAGCCGAGCACTAAACAGGGATCGATATTCTGACGTCAATAGTTCCTGTTACAGGGGATATTCAGGCTCTCAGACATCCTATATCAATATTCAGCAGACATCGCGCTCTCCCCTGTATATAGCACCCCCTTTTTATATATATATATATATATATAGTATAGAGAGCTACCCTTCCTTCTCATTTTCATCAAGTCAATCGTCTTCCTTCATCCTCTGTTCGATCCTTCCGTGTGGCATGATCAGACGCATAAGTCAGAATTAAATCCTGTCCTTACCACATATTGACAAAGGCCTCTAGTATCAGTCTGAGACGCCCACGTGCATAGCTGGTTTTTATCTGAAAAACGGAGAAATACCTAAAATGTGCACTGCACTCCCAACACCCCCGCGGGAAGTAAATTCGCTTGGTCAAAATGGGCATCAGTCCCATAAGCCTCGAGTTATATAAATTTCAGCGATGGTGGTTGAAGATGAATATCAGCAATTAGTCGTAGTGGATATTCCGCGGTTTGATTAATCCAATTGCATTTGCCAAGCTGATGATTACACCTGTCGTATCTCTTTCCCCTTCATCTCAGGCCTCTCCACCTCCCACTCGTCCCTCAACACCGCAAATAATGCGTCAGCCAACAACAAGCTCCAACCCAAGCTCCATACCAATGTTATGGCATAGAAAAAATTAGCATTCCCACTCCCAGCATAAATCCATAGGTAGTAGAAGGCCGGACCCAGCAACGTCGCGTATAACACGATCGAAGATTCCACGAATGTGTACCGCATCAACGGAAATACGTGCTGGTACAATGGTAGCATTGCTAAAAACAGTGAGGTGTCTGATATCGAGGGATATGGCTTGAAGATTGCGAATATCCCGAGAAGCATTGTGAGAACGAAGAGGGGCTGACGGCGCAATCGAATGGTCAAGCCGCCTACGTAGGAGGAGAGATGGAGCCAGAAGACGCCAAGGAAGAAATTTCGGAAAGAATCAAACATTTCAATAAAGAAGTACCACCACAAACCAACGTTGGGTGTGAGGTCGGGGAGCAGGAGCTGGACGCCATACGTAGAAGACAGAAATTCCCACGATCCAGTGATCAAGAACGACATATGCAGTAGAGACAATATGGAACCACCAACAGCAGCTGCATTTCCGAGAATGAAACTTATAAGCGACTCGGTACGCTTTGCCGGTCGTCGATCGTAGCAGAGGAGAATGAGGGGCGGGAAAAGGAGTAATGGGTACATGGAGAGGTAAGCTGCGAAGGACAAGGCGAGCATCGACGTAAAAGAGGCCCCCACCACAGCTTTCGAAATAGCATAGAGTATAGCACAGGTAGTAAAGACACTCGTTGGTCGCCCGATACAGGTCGCAATGGTAAAAGGATTGAATAGAAATCTACAACGATCAGCAATGGCTAGTAGTTGGGGAGTTCGAGGCTTACGCAGCAGCAATTGAAAAGCTACTCCACTTCTTATCCTTTCTTGGTGATGTGAAGAGTTTTGAAGACCCAGCTTCTCCTGACTCTGCGATCTTCATGAGCGCATGCGCGCTCAGAAGATCCACCAAGATGTACAATGTATATGTGAAAATCGGATATGTCGCGGAGTCTGGAAGGAGGGTGAAGAGAGTGAGCAACAATGGGGCTTGGTGGTACACGCCGCCATCGTAAGGAGAGACATTGTGGTTATAGAGGAAGAGGCCCTCTTGTACTATTGAAAGTCAGCTTCAAGCCAATCGCGTCGAGCATGATCAAACGTACATCTTTTGAAGCTGGTCACCGGGGTCGAGATCTCGACGCGTGCAGTCAACAAATCCGGAAGGCCTGGGAAGCCAGTAAAAAGAAGGAGGCGAACAGCTGCTGCTGCGCCAAACAGAGCAGCTTTCCTCCTATCAATGCTCATTGTGCTGATATGTCAGTCATGAGCAAAAGAATGAGGCTCAATGATCTCCAAGCTTCAGCCTCTCGCAAGTTCACAAAGTCGTGTCCTTCAGGAACCGAGCTTTGACGCTAATGTGACGCTAGCGGCCGCTCTCTGAAAAAGTTCCTCGAAACTTTTCTGTCTCTGATGCGACCCCACGTTTTTCAACCACACATTCATTGATCACCAACTCCTCCGAACACAATGGCAAGAATCAAGAAGAAGGGAGAATCTGGCCAAGCCAAAAACTTCATTACCAGAACTCAGGCCGTGCGGAAATTGCAGGTTAGCCTCCCAGATTTTCGAAAACTCTGCATCTGGAAGGGGATCTATCCTCGAGAACCGCGAAACAAGAAGAAGGCCTCCAAAACCTCAAATGCTGCTACCACATTCTACTATACGAAAGATATCCAGTACCTTCTTCACGAACCACTCTTGAAGAAGTTCCGCGAGCAAAAGGCTCTGGAGAAGAAGATCTCAAAGGCTCTTGGTAGAGGAGACGCACACGATGCTCAGAGATTGGAGCGCAATGCCTCGAGACCGGAGAAGACGGGCAAGACAAAATACACATTGGACCATGTTATTCGCGAACGGTATCCTACATTTATCGACGCGCTGAGGGACCTGGACGACTGCCTATCTATGCTCTTCCTCTTCGCTAACCTTCCCTCTACACCGACTGTTCCCGCGAAGATGATCGCAAGATGCGAAAGATTATGCCTCGAATTTCAGCACTACCTTATCGTCTCTAATAGTCTGCGGAAATCCTTCCTTTCCATCAAAGGCATTTACTACCAGGCGACAATCCAAGGGCAGGATATTTTGTGGTTGGTTCCGTACAGATTCAATCAACGAGTCACTGGGGATGTCGACTTCAGGATTATGGGTACCTTCGTGGAATTCTATCAGACCCTCCTTGGATTCGTCAACTTCCGACTCTACACATCCATTGGACTGGTATATCCTCCAAAGTTTGACAAGAATAGAGATGATCAAGGAGCAGAACTTGGAGCTTTCTCATTAGAGGCGAACGGCGTCGGGATAATCGAACAACCGAAACAGATTACGAATGGACCCTCCAAACCAGACCCCAAGCTCCAAGCCGAGATTGACAAGCTCATGCTTCAACTTAATGAGCCCGAAAAGGAGCCTGCTGCGGAACAAACAGTGGCAAATGACGAAGAAGAGGAGCAACCAACAGACACGATTGATAAATTCGAACCCGTAGCGCCAGGAGGAGACATCCTACCGCAACCTTCATACTCAGCTACCGATCCGTCAACTCTCTTCTCAAACTTCACATTTTTCCTCTCCCGTGAAACGCCCAGACAGCCAATCGAGTTCATCCTCCGAGCCTTTGGCTGCAAACGTATTGGCTGGGATGCTGTTCTCGGCGATGGTGCCTACACACACAATGAGCTAGATCCCTCCATCACGCACCAGATTGTTGATCGTCCACCCATACAAGTCGATGCTGAATCAGAAAAAGAAGTCGAAGACAACCAAACCGCTCAACGTCTCAAACCGGGCTCCCGTGTTCCAGGCAGAATATATGTGCAGCCACAATGGATCTGGGACTCTGTTAATGATGAGGAATTAAAACGTCCGGACCTGTACGCTCCCGGCGCTCAATTACCTCCTCATCTCAGTCCGTTCGTGAAGAAGGTCAGAGGACAATATGACCCTAGCGCGCCGCTTAATGAGCAGGAGCGAGAAGGGGAAGAATTGGAAGCTGATAGTGATGAGGATGATGAGCCTGATGAGGAGGAGCGAGAAGGGGAAGAATTGGAAGCTGATAGTGATGAGGATGATGAGCCTGATGAGGAGGATGAGGATGACAATCTCGCAGTACAGGAACCAAAGCTTCTAACCGAGATGGAGGTGGATGCTACTGCTGAGGGTATGGATGTGGCTGGTTCTGAGGACGAGTCTGGCGCTTCTGATGAAGAAGCGGACAATTTTGCCGGATTCTCCGATGCTGAAGAGGAGGAGGAGGAGGAGGATGAGGCTACCGCTGCTGCCAAACAGCGACAGAGAGAGCTTGAAGCTGAGCTCTCTGGTGTGGCGCTTAAAGAAAACGATGTGGACCCGAGAGCCAAGGCCAAGGCGGACGCCCGGAAGAAAGCAGCGAAGAAAGCTAAGGAAGAAGAGGAGGAGTTAGAGAGAGCGAAAATGATGATGAGCAGGAAGAAGAGAAAGATCTTGGAGAAGATGGTTTACAGCAACAAGAAGAAGGATGCAGAGGCTGAGACTCTGAGAGCAAAGAGGCGAAAAATTGAGAAGAGTGGGAAGGCAGCCCCACGGGCTTAGACGCGGACTGAAGTATATTACAGGGACACGGATTTGAAAAAGTATGGCGTTGAGCGTAGTGTGTTGCTGCGGAGTTTAGGCTTATATTTGAAGAGTGCGAGACAACCCGTACTTACATTGAATTGAAGACTGCAACCCGTGCCCCTTTTCACATTGCTGAAATATGGCCTGAGGAGACTATTATGTCTTTGAATCTCTGAACGGACAATCTCAGATGCGCACTAATCAAATTACAAAGGCAGAGAATTGAAATGAATCAGGTTCGAGGATAAAACAGAACGATGTTATCAAGAGACGCTAGAGGACAGTGGTTTGGGAACACTGTAGATATTCTTGCTCTTGGCCGTAGATAGCTCATTAGCGAAAACATTGGCTTAATGTATAAATCCGTCAGAACAAAAGAAATAAGATGCTTAAGTAGATTAGAACAGTCTATCGCCATGTTTATATATCCTTGAACACTTTGAGTTAACTTCAAGAGGTCCCTTTCAGCAAAAGATTTAGAGTTGTGAAAACAAACTTGGACTAGCCTGTCTCGCTTCGGTAATGCCATATAGTAAAATCCCTCTTCCTCAACTCCGTTCTGGAAGGTATTGCGAAGACGAACATGAAGAACAAAAATCAGTAGAGATGAGAGACAGCGCATCGGAAAGTAGCTATGAGCCCTCTGATAGCGAAGAAATCGAGCGCCCCAATCGCTGGACTGGTCCCCCCTCAACATGGCAATCCCTTACAGCCCAAGAACGCGGTCTTGCTGCGTCTTTGATTGAGCTACGGAACAGGGATCTGAGTCTTCACCTATATAATGCATTTGCTCTCAAAAGGCGAGCTCGTAAGTACCGTGAACTCAAAAGAGCAGATGCCGCCTTGTCACGATCAGGCGAAAATCCTGAAGACAGAGAAGGGAGTGAAGGAGCTGATGACGTGGAGGACGTTGAAGGGAATGGATGGTCCCCACCGAAGGTTTGGACGGCCTGGCCTCTGCCTCCGGATTTGGTGCCTAGGACAGATGAGCACGTGGGCCCGGAAGATGAAGACGAGGCATTCACTTTCAAGCGAAGAGAAAGGGAACGGCCGAGTAGGGAGTTGGAAGATGTGTTGGTGGGATCTGCGTTGAAAATTGCAAAAGAGAAATGGGAGGCAAGGGATTGGGCAGAGAGTTGGGAGGGTGTTGACGATGTCGATAATAATGATGAGGGGCTAGAATCTGGAATGAAAGCGAGAACAGAAGAAGCTCACGATTCGCCCCATGAAGAGGAACCGAATGGCCCCATCGTTGGAGGCGCAAATGAAGATTCTATCATCAAGGAACCTTCTCAGCCTCCTCCAGAAACAACAATCATGAGAGCAGTTCTTTCAGCAGATGACCAGCGCTCCAGAGATCTTCTCCGACCTTCAATCCGCCACACCCTCACAAAACTTGATGCCGTCCTCATGGCTCTCCATCACGCGCGCAAGATCTGTCATCATTATGGTTCGGGCTCCGAAGCCAATACCGATGATGATGATCGCACACCCAGCGTTGCTCCAGACTCATTGACGCCAACGAAGAGATCCAGAGGTAGGCCCCGAAAATTCGAAAACTTGGCCTCACGCCCAAAGTCAAGCGCCGTTCAAACCTCTGAAGATGTCGATGTTGAGCTTTGGCGACCCAAGACCTCGAATCGTGGACGGCCACGGAAGAAGTACGAACGTCTGGATGGGGAGACGCAAGAGGAGTACTTGATACGCGTTGCTAGAATTCAGAAGAAGCCTCTCCCAGTTTTCGCACCACCTCGCGTTACGGAAACTCCAGAATTACCTCCGGAGAGACAGAGAAGAGTGCCATCCAGGGGAAGGAGACTTGGTGTCAGGGATTGGAGTGAGGTATTAGGTTCTGCTGCTCTAGTTGGATTTCCGCCGGACGTCATAGCTCGAGCAACTCAGAGATGCGCAGATATGTTTGGTGAGGGGATGACGATGCTGAAGTTGTTGGAGACTCCGCCCGAGTCAACGGAAGCTGATCTCTTGACAATATATCAACCAGAGGAGATATCTGATCTTCGTGACGAGTCTGAGGAAACTTCAGATAGCGGTGACGGCGAGGAGAGATTTAACAGGAGGCATGCTATTCGGAAGCCCAAGAAATACCGCCCAGGGCTATACGCTTGCCTCTGCCCAATCGAAGGTTGTCCGAGACAGGCTCGAGGATTCAACCATATTTCTAACCTCATGGGGCATCTTAGGAAGGCTCATGACTTAAAGGAAGGCGACATTGATGATTTGTTGGATAATGACGAGGAGATGCATGGAGCTGTACATGTCGATGGGTTCTTGAAGCCAATGAGGAATCCGAGAGGTGTAAGGGGGGTGGACAAAGGCTCCAGAAAGAAGGGAAGATGGATTAAGAATAACGCTGAGGAGGATGAAAAGACTGAGATCGTGGAATCCGAAGAGGGCGGGAGAGATCAAGACATATCATCGGAGTCTACTTGAATGTAGGAACTTGATTACCCTGACAAGCATGATGAATGAACCCTGACTAGTGTGCTGATTGGGCGACTTGTGTGCTTTCTCTATTCGGTTCTTTACTCATCCACACATGTGACAGATATCATATCTAAGGATACTTTCTTAAACTCAGCGCCCATCTTGCATTTGATAACTGCTATATTTGCCGACCTACCTACCTACCTTGCTCAGCAAACCGGTATACATTATATATTAGAAGGAAAGCTGTCACATACGACCACAGACTGAGGAGAATTGGGCATCCCGTCCGCTCTGCCATACACAAGCCTCAGATCGGTAGATTAGTAGTTGGGTGGGTGACCACCAGCGAATACCTACTGTTGTATGTTTTTTTCTTTTTTTTTCCCGTGTCCTGTAAAAGTATGTGTAGGCACGAATCTAATTGTTTTCCTATTACATTTCGGTATCGCAATCCTTCAAAAGTGTGAAGGCAAGAGAGGTAGTGCCCGCGTACGCATCTCACTTATTCTCTGCACTGTTTCTGGTCCCAAATGTTGATGCTCTTTTGCCGCCGTGGTGAGGTAAACCTGTCTTCCTTTTCCCTCCCAGTATAGGTACCCAGTTATTCACGAGGTCAAAATACAAATGAGGGCAGGACTTTACAGGGCGCACTGTACCCTACAAAAAATGATGGAAATGAATTAGAATTGTTTTTTTTGGTCGAACAAACGTCAGGCTAGCTATAACATGCAATTCTTTCTAAGTCTCAGAAGAACATCATTGCATCTTCTGCTTTATCCTCGTCTAAGTCGGAACCACATGGTCCCCAGGACTCGTTCATATTACCAGAAATGGAGTCCCCTGTACCGTAGAATTTGCTGCAGCTCTCAGATTCGCTCTTACATACTTTGCTATTACACTTTTGGATATTGATTGAGCGGTTCTGACATCCACACTATTCGTCTGTCAGTTAAGATTCTACCAGGTGGCTCTATACTTACCCCTCCCGGGTATATCTTTCCAGGGGTCTTCCAACGCTCAAGTTCTGTCTTCACTCTCGTCCTCATTTTGGCAGCCTCGTAGGCAGCAAGCGTATCGATTCGTACATTGTCGATAAAATGGTGACATGACTGTAGGTTGACTACCATAGCCTCGTGCTGGGCGGCAGTATCTGGAACCCAGCGCTGGCAGGTTTGAAGCATCGCTACCAAAAGACATCGGAGCGTCTACCGGCTTCCACTTGAATTTCCAAGGCACATTGCCTTCAGATACCACCTGCTCAATGATATCTCCTGCTTCAGTCGACGAAGCAGGACCATGAGAAGGACTGCTAGTCGTTCTTTGGACATCTTCATTAGCCTTGATCCCGGTCGCTTTTGCCAGTTTTGATTTGAGGGATATGCGAAAGACTCTATCAGATGAAGTTCGAGCCTGTTTGGGTGATCGACTTCTTTCTTCTTCGGCATCAGAGGCAGACAGCGTGAACGATCTTCTTTGCCGACCACCACCACCTCGAATGCGAACATCGTCTTTCTCGCCAACGGCATCTCTATCAGTTCGCCCCTTTTCGTCCTCTGTCTCTGAATCGGATTTCGGTCCAGGCCATTCAGTTCCCGACCCAACTTCCGGAGTTGGGGGTGTGATGATGATAGTTGGTGGAGTGGATACAAGTATCTCCAGATCCTCGTCTTTCTCAATAATGACCTCTAGAGGTCGTGAAAGGCAAACCACGGCATTCCTCCTCCAATTGCGATGGTTCCTATTGGTTCCAGACATGCTGACTGGTTACTGAAGAAATCGAATTGAGTGGAAGTACTGGTTTTCGGTGAGGTTTTGGCCGATTTTTGTTGAAGGATGCTCAGCCTTATACGTAGAGGGATGAATGAGTGGGGAGAAACTCAGTGAATCTGGCTATCGGAAACAGCAGACGATGATACATTTTCCTCTTGTCTTTCGAGAATGACATCTCTTTACAGACTTGACTCTAGTTTCGAGGGGACTTGTCATACCAAGTTTGTTGAAAGTTATAGCAGGCTTGCTTAACACTTGTTATTCATATGAGGTTTTGAATCACCCTGCTCCTATGTGAGAGAAATAGTCACTCATTCTGATCTGCTCTGGTTTCATGAAAGTGTTTTGGGTATTCAAAGGCCATGTTACCACGGCAAGATACTACGTCTCATTTCGCAACAGTAGTCACGCCACGCAATCGCCATGATCTTATTTTATTTCAGCCTACAATACCTTAGTTTTGAAACCATCATTTGATTTGCTATTGGCAAGAAACTGAGTCAAGCATCGAGTCCGAAACAATCAGATCCTCCAGATCTCAAGCAACCTCGCTTTTCACCTGTGAGCTGCTCACCCAATCACCCACCACGTCCATCCCGCTATCTTTCCTCCTATACAGGCCGTGGTTATCTGAACCCCGTACTAGATGGCCCAAGAATGCTCAGAGACATCGTCTTCGGTATGTGCATCTTCTCGCACGGTGCAATTAGCCTCATTATTCGCTCGAGATTCTTTCACCTCAGAGTTCAGAACCAGCTTCTCAGCAGGCACAGATGAATCAGATTTCTCGTTATCAGGACCGATGGTCTGTCTCTTCTTCTTCGATAGGTTCTTGCTTGGTACCTAGTCCTGACTCGTCTGAAGATGAAGGGGGCGAGCGAGAGCGATATATTAATCTCATGATGTTGGATCCTGTCGAGGATGAGCAGGGGTGGGGGGATGGTTTTCGGCTTAAGTGCAGTCAGCTCTTTAACCTTAGGGAAAGGGAGTACGTACCTTAACTAAGGACCTACTTGTATGCGTTTCCTGTGTAGTTGTGGCGCTCACAGAGTGCAAGTATCGAATTCAGAAACGCGTCAGGCCCGTTCGACTCATGGATGTATAACACGGCTGCGTTTCTTCATCGACAGATTCTCATTCAATGCACAATTTATCGCGATCAAAGATATATTTGTCCGGGAAGACAGCGTTAGACTGCGATTGCTTTGAGTGATTGTTCGTCGAGTCCGATGAAGTAAGTATGCAAGTAAGTGAGTGTCCTGAGTATTCGGCTGGCGCCCTATCTATATGATTCCTCCGCCCACTCCTCTCAAAATCGTAGAAGAGCAGCACAATTAGGGGCTCGATATCTCTCTTGGGTGTCTTTGAGTAATATTTATAAAAAAAAGAAATCTCAGGTGCGCACACCTCACTGATGGAAGTGCAGAGAAGGGCAGAAGTGGTGACTACCTCACCTACCTACCTAGGTAGGTACCTGGGCATATTCCGGAGTCGTAGTCTTCACATCGCATCGCAAACCTCCCAGCACAGATCGCAGACCAGGAGCAGCCATCGCGAATCTCTCATCTCGCATACCAGATCGACCATCTCATGCATGTCCGTCGTCGGAATCCCGGGTACAGACAGAATCTATCCAATCTAACCAATCTATCTTGCATTCCTGTACTCAACCGCTTTAATCAATCGATGATATCGGTCTTCGCTCAGGGACGGAACCAACCATGCCCGTGGTCCGGTCAAACGTGCTACAGGTCAGCGGGTAAGTGCGCCAGAGAATAGATAGTGTCAGACAAATGATCTTGAAGGGAGGGAGTGCTTCAATGATGATGATGTTGATAGTCGAGAAGAGGAAAAAGAGAAGCGGGACCTGGGATTCGCTTCTCTTTGCTTCTTGGTAGGGCTGCCAAGGCGAGAAATGGGGGTGGGAATCTGCAGCAACCAGATCGTCAGTCGACGACGCGCGCTTGATCACTAGGCAAGGCAATGCCGGTACCAGTAGGCTCAAGTGCCTGCATAGGAAGAAGCTTCGATGGAGTGCCGATTGGAGGCGTCTGAGAAGATTGGACGCAGTTGCTTGGTTGGATGGGCGGGCGCATCTTCAAAGTAGATGCGTTCGTGCGGCTTGGCGTATAGGACGGGCGAGGAGCAGTTCACGTTTGTCCCAACGAATAGGAGGGAACCGTGGCGGTCTCTCATTCTGTCATATTCAGGGACTGCGGCAATGACAATCAGCAGCCGCGCTTCTCTATCATCGTGCCTCGTCCCGATCCGAAAACCGCCGATAAGATCGATATTCCTGTCCCCCGGTCGAGCCGCAACGTCGGGTGCATGCATGCCTGTCAAGTGAGATCCCAAGCGCTGTTAGCCGCCATGTACATCATCATCCCTGGCCGCCGATTGCTCGAGTGCTTCTGTGCAGCGCAGATGCTGTTTCCGCCCGACGGCCTCGATGGATGACGGTCGTGCCACCGCAGCAGGCTCAACGGCAGCTTGCCCCAATGAATGTATTGAGGGAAATAAGAAGCGAAATGTGACAATGGGATGAGGCTACGACTTTGCGTTCGTGACAACCCCCCAAGTGCTCACCGCTGGCTGTCTCGGATAGGGCCGCTCAACAGTATCGCTCGCCAGCAACAGGGCAGATGATCATCTGAGAACGTGTATTTGAAGCGCTTCGAACCACTGAGCAATATATCTTGAACACAAATGACAGAGCAGGAGCGCGGAGATGCTTCACAGGGGACAGCTTGAAGGCCAGTGCCTAAGACGAGTCCAGCCACCAGCGTGGTCGGCTCTCACTGTCGCCGCGGCAGTCAGAAAAGGACAAGGGCAGAGAAGTCACCAAGAACGACATGACAGCTGACAAGGAGAAACTATACGGCTCATGAGAAATATGAGAGGGTGCGCGGACAGTAGAAGCCTCCGAGGTTGTGTGCTACCGTGGTACGTGCGTGTCAACTCACGAAGGCATTCTCATGTTTCTAGCTTGAACAACAAATTGTCGCCGTACAGTACAAGAGCGCAATTCCGAGCCTACTCAGACCCATCATCAAAATGGTTCGGAAAAAGTCAAGAGATCAGGACGGCCACCGGGAGGATGAGGCATCCAACCTTTTCTCCGAGATTGCCATTGTCCTCGAAATTGATGAGACTTTTTTTTCAGCCCGCTCAGAGATCCCTTCTCCGTCGTCTCACCTGAACGAACCTAGGTGCGAACACCCGACTTCTTCGAGCGCTCCCTCTCTTCCCATCCCATTGCTCATCGGCCCATCCCATCGCTCATCGGCTTATTCCCATCCAAAAAGCTTCAGCGATCCTACTTACAATAGTATAGCCATTCAACCGCGCATGCCAGACCCCACCGGCACCACGCCGCAAGCCCCAAGGCCCGGAAGTAGTCAGAAAAAAAAAAAAGGATAAGGGGAGACGCAGAAATTTCCCTCCTGAATCAATCATTGGGCGGTCAGGAACCACGCAAGCCCACATGCTTCTACTCACCGCCAAGAAAATTTCCATGGTTTTCGAGAGCCCCCTTTCCTGGCAATCGCGCTTCCATTCGACCGGCGCGCACTAATGAATGGCCGAGCGCCGCTCCGCTGGCCCGCGGGAAAGGATAGCCGTTCTGCAGGGAACGGAGGACTGACTTGCTTCGTCCGCTCTGGGAGGGGGAGGGGGGGGGGGTTGGTTTGGATGGGTTTTATTTATACTGGATGGATATACGGTATAATATAGGTGTAAATACCCGAGGTAAAATGCGGTAAAATACCCAAGGTAGGCAGGTACACTCCGTAGGCGCGGATGGATGGATGGATGAATGGATGGGTGGATGGGTGGATAGTTCACTCACTGGTAGGTAGCAAAGCAAGCAAAGTAGAGGTGAGAGAGACAGATGTCTTCTCCTCGTCAGACCTTCCTACACCTCCCCCACGCACAAAAAGACAGACAGGAAAGGAAAAGGAAAAGAAATCGTTATTACTGATGATTATTATTGAGTGATAATGCAGCTAAGGCATCCTACCTAGCCAACACATTCGCAACCGTCCCTGTTCAGAAGAAGCAGCGCGTTCAGCCATATCCTCCTCAATCCTATCTCGGATATCCTGCCCTACCTACCCACCGTACCTTTCATACCTATTCGACAAGAACGGCCATCCGGAACTGACTACTGCTCTTTCTGCAGTGCTATCTACCTTGCGTGCTTGAGATCTTGCAGTGCCGGCGTCTCAGGGATTCGAAATGTGGACTTATGGGCTTATGATGGTTGGCGGATGGATAGAACCAGTTGGTTTTGTTTGTTGGAACGGTTCTGGATAATAGATACATACACACGGTAGGGAATGAATGAATTTGGAATCTGAAATTGGGTATTTGATTGATGTGTGTGGTATATATGATTAATTGAAATGAAGGTAGGTCAGGAGCAATAGTAAAGGCGGCATGGATATCACTTCTCAGAAGGATCCCGTTTTGTATTGCATTGAATGAAGGTTTCAAAAGGGACTTCATCATTCATCGTCAGTGAGTTATTGTTGTTACTAAGAGGAAAAGCTCAACCACGAATGATTTGATTCGATTTCCATCCAACTCGGATATCTCAGATCAGGTCAGGTCAGGGAGGCAGACTGGCCATGTCCTACCATCCTCGTAATTCTCGGCGGAGAGGAGATTGGAATTTCAGGGGAAATACGCGCTTGCCAGGCATGCATGTTGGAGAGGAGAGATGGAAGAGCTGGGGAAGACAGGGAATAGTAATCAGAACAGTACGGTATAGGTAAGGTAGGTAAGACAACAAACAGGAGATGAGCGTTGGTTGTTGGTAAGTGAGCGCGCGCTAAATCAGATGGCGTTGAATCGAGTCTCTCAATTATATGCGTGGATGGATGGAAGCCAAGAAGATCAACACTACTCCTCCAGACAACCACGCACGCGTGAGAACGACAAGATCAGGAGGGCGTCTGTCCCCGGCTTCTGCGTGCGCCTCTTTTTCCCCGCAAGAGCTTCCCCACACATGATGAAGCTGTGCCTCGGCGATGATCCGCTCAGACTACTGAGAGAGGCATCGCATTTGCCAATAATAGCGACGCCCGGCAGCCTCGGCTTGCATTGATCCCTCCGTATTGGTTGGTTTCTCATACGAAGAGTCGGGGTAAGATCCATATTTGTAAGGGATTCGAGACGCCCGCAAAGGACCCCTTCGAAGCTCAGGAGTAGAGGGAGTAGGATGATCGCAATCCAGGCCTTGGTGGTGGATTATTTGTAACAATAATAAGAAGCACGAGGAGATGGAGAACGGCATGTCCGGGGATGATTATGTAATTAGACGTGAGGCTTGGGGAAGACGAAAAAACTGGAGCTTTGCCAGAGAGGCGGGATCGTCTGGTGTTTTCCCGGTTTTTCCTGGGGTACTCCGTATCCGTACAGCCAAGGAACCAAGCAAATAGCATTATTCTTCTGGACCTGCCGGTTCCTTCATACGGCAGCATAACTGACCTGTGTGCGATGATGTGGGTTGCCCTCCCGATGATGCGCCTGGACTAATCAGCCGTGCACCGCAGGGTGACCAGCACGGGCGGAGATGCAGAGAGCCGGATGTGGTGTGCACAAGTACAGTCTTCACAGAATTGTGAGAGGGCGAGGGAGGATGGGGAGGGGGGATAGAGAGAACCTGGCAGTTAGAGAGATCAAGACACTGTGCATACATACATACATACATAGGTAGTAGGTACATATGCCATATACTGTATTGTGCCTAATCACACCCTGCACAAAGTACACGATCGAGAGCGTGGATTGGTAATTGGCAGATTGATATTGATAATTGAGGAGACTTATCAACGTGCATCTGTACCACTTCCCGCTCGAGTCTAGCCCCGGCGCGAGGCTCTGGGGACGGAGCAAGATAGAGCTGCAATAGCAGGAAGTGCCGGGCGGACCCCCTTGCAAGTTTGCCAATCGTGTTGGTGCCCACTGCCAGGGTACGTACTGTACGGAGCGGAGTGGCCAAGTTCACCGGTGCCATACGTTATCCCTCCCACCCCCCGGCTTCTTCGCACGGTTATTAATCCGCGTGTTATTGTTGAATCATGATGATGTTTGGCTGGGGCGTATTCTTGCGTATTCCTGTATTCCTGCTATTCTTGCGTATTCTTGCTTGGAGGACGTATATCTCTGGATATCTCTGTATATCTCTGCCTTATCCGATGGGTTTTCTCCACTCCTACCTCACGTCTCTCCTCTCCCGTACGGAGTAAGAAGATCCCAAGGTCCCCATCCGCGACGGCTTCTGCCGTGGAAGGGCAGTTGATTGACAGACATGGCGCATGGGTCTTGGGCGTACCAGTGGATGTACTACCGTTGCTTGGCTTGAGGGCGTGCACCTGGTCTCTGGTATCCTCGAAGCTCGTCGGTCGCCGGCAGGCCAAGAGGAAGAGACAGGGATAACTCCAGGAAGAAATCTGGCTCTGATTAATATTCTGTGGTTCTGTGGGAGGGGTTCACTTGGAGATTCTACCTTGCTTCTCTAGTACTGTACATGAACATTGATCGGGGTCTGTTGGGCCCTGGTAAGCCCAAGCCACGATGATCTGACATTTATTCCCAGAAGCACGCCTGGATGCGTCGAATTACCCCCAATTACCCCGTATTGCCCCCCCTCCTGGTCAATTTTAACCGCTCTTAACCGCCGTCCGCTGGTAAATCCGTATTAATAATATAAAATCAGCGACGGTAAAACTTCACTGCTCCGCGCCCCACCAGGCCCAGTAGTGCAGCTGCCGGGGCCCCATATTATTCCCCATTGCCCATGGCGCGCTATTCCCCGCTAATCCCGGATCGTCGATTGTCCTCCTCGAGTCCGTCCCGTCTGTCCAGTCGAAACCCCGTTGACCCCGTCCATTCAGGTTCAGTCCCCATTCAGTCTCCATCCAACTGATTCTGATTATTCCAATCCAATCCAGCCCAGCATCTCCACTTACAGCAGCCCGGAGACGCACAAGTCGCCCAGCGTCGCAGTCCCCAGCTTAGCTCTCTCTGCCAGCTCCGCCTGCTTTGCCCCAGGATCCATTATAGCCTATTTGACGGAGCTGGCAGAGTATACCTTACTACTGTATATAAATCCTACATCCCCTCCCTTCTCTCCCTCCTTGAGTCGTGCTAATTAATCTCTCTTCTTTTAATAGCTTTCTCCTGTCTCTCCCTCCCTCCTCTCCTCCCCTCCCCTCCCAGGAACAACAACAACAACAAAAACAACAAATACAAAAACACTATCCGCCCACACCATGGCTACCTCCAGTGGTTCCGACTCCAAGGAGTACGAGAACGGCACCTCCGCAACCTTCGACCACGCCGCCGGCCTCAACTCCTCGCAGACCGCTGCCCAGCGCGAGCGCGCTCGTTTTGACTATGGCGGAAATCCCTTGGCCCACACCAACACGGGCGATTCGGCGCGGTTCCCGGCTTTCGGTGGTGAGTTCCAACCAGGTCTCTACAAACCCACCACTGGCCGCAAGTTTGGTAATCCGGCCCCGCTGGGCTTGAGCGCCTTCGCCCTGACCACCTTCGTCCTCTCCCTCATCAACATTGGCGTGAAGAATGTGCACGAACCTAACATCGTGGTGGCATTGGCTTTCGGGTACGGCGGGCTCGTCCAGCTGCTCGCTGGCATGTGGTACGTCTGCTCACCGTAATGAGACTTCTGTAGCAAGCGCTGATCAATTGCGTAGGGAGATGGCAGTAGGGAACACTTTTGGTGCCACGGCGCTCTCCTCCTATGGCGGCTTCTGGCTCTCCTTCGCGATCCTGCTCACTCCGGGCGGCTTCCAGATCGAGGCGGCATACACCGGGGCGACGGCCGGCTCGAACGACTTCACCAATGCCTTCGGCTTCTTCCTCGCCGGCTGGTTTGTCTTCACGAGTATCCTGCTGCTCTGTACGCTGCGTTCCACCGTCGCCTTCTTCCTGCTCTTCTTCTTCCTCGATCTCACCTTCCTGCTGCTCTCCATCGGCTACCTGTACGGCCAGGATGGCGCTCCCAAGGCCGTGGTCATCAAGGCTGGGGGCTACTTTGGCATCTTCGCTGCCTTCATGTCGTGGTACAATGCGCTGGCCGGTATCGCGGATGACAGGTATGTATTCGCCGCAACAATGTATCGATTCCAGTGGCTGACCGCTCACCCCGCAGCAACTCCTTCTTCGTCATTCCCGTCGCACACTTCCCATGGTCCGTCAAGGGCCGCGAGCGGCGCGCCGTCACCAAGAGCGAGCGCGAGACGGCATAATGCATTTCCTCGAACCTCTATCATCATATTCGTTTATTTGGGATGGCGTTCACGACCTACGACTGAGATACCAGGATTGGATGCTCTGATGGGATGGCATAGGATATAATTGTGTGCGGGGAGATGTTTAATGGTTGTTGGTCCCTGGGCTGGGTTCCGACGGACTGAAATGTGGGCTAGCTGGGCATCGGAAGTGGGGTGCCAAGTCTGGGTATTAAATGCGGTTTATTTTCGTCGAGAGACGTGTAGATGGGCTGCGCATGCCTGTGAGGGTAATTGATTTATTTCGGGTGATCTGCTGCGTGTGTTTGATTTTGTTTCGAATTGCTTGTGTATGTCGGGTCGTGAATTACCTTTTCCCTACCCCGATATTTGCTCCCCTCTCTCCTCTCTCTACTCCGCATCTCCAAGATATATTATACAATCCCATCCCTCTTCCTACCTTTCCCCACAAACTTTAACCCCATAAACAATGTCTCTGATGTTCAAATGCACAACCCATCTATATATACCTCCTCTAAATCCCAACCCCAATCGTCCCAACCCCTAAATCCCAAACCCGATCTTCTTAACTCCTAAAATACCATCCCCCAAAGATTCTAAACTCAATTCATTTGAATCCAAGTTATCCTTCTCTCATTTTTTTCCCCTACTTCTTTCCTTAGTTACTTATTTATTTATTTAAACTGACTTACCTACATTGCTTATCCTCGGTATACTAGGTATAGTGTCAAGAAGGTAAGGTAAGACAGAGAGAGACGCACGCAGTAGATAGATTTCTGTGGCTTTGAAATTACTTTATTCATTCAGCATTTTCCTTCCTTTCTCCTAGCCTTCCCCTCCCCCCCCCCCCCGCCCTCTTCACTCACCCACAAAAGAAGAAACAAATCCCAAAATCCCAAAATCCCAAAATCCCAAAATCACTAAATCACCAAATCCCACCCTCCCTTACCTTACCTACCTAAGTCAAGTAATTCTCAAATTCCAGCTCTAGAACAGGTTTGGTGGGGTTCAAGAGAGTTTCGTGGTAAGTAAGGTAAGGTAAGGTAAGGTAAGGTAGGGCTTTTTCTTGATTTCACACCCCTCTTATAGTGAAGAGAGATAAAGTATGAGATTAGTTTATTCATGATTTTATAGTCTGGGGTTATAAGGTAGTTGTTTTGTTTTTGTGCTAAGGTATGTATGTCATGAAGAGAAAAGGAAGAGAGAAGGGAGGGAGGGAGAATAAGGAAAGGGCCTACCTAAATCGACGCAGGACTTACCTATAAGGAAATGAGAAGAGATGAGAAGAGATGAAAAGAGATAGATGAGAAGAGGTGAAAAGAGGTAAGAAGAGGTGAAAAGAGGTGAAAAGCATAGTAGAAGAGATAACTAATCTAAATCAAAACACATCTTTCTTTCTTTCTCTCTCTCTCTCCCCCACAAAAACTCTTACCTGCTCTTAATTGAATCTGATTCTACAGAGGAGCGGGGATAGGTAGAAAGCCAAGGTATAGTATGTATGTATATTCAAAAATAAGAAAATAAATCCCTTTCCCTCTCTCTTCCCTTCTTAGAAAGATGAAGAGAGAAATTCAAAATAAAAGATGAATAGATGAAGAGAAAAGAGAAAATGGAGAATAGAGAATAGAGAATAAACCAGGAACACCCCCCTCCCTTACTTCCCATATCACTCCTCCTATCCATCACCACCCCACCCTGACACCATTCAAACCCCCCTTTCCCCCTCCCCCCCCCCCCCCCCTTCCTCAACCCCTCCACCCCAGAAACAAACAAATCCAAGTCTGGTACCCACGACCAAAAGAAAGGAATCTATCTATCTGTGGCTGCGGGACGATGATGCTGTACAGTATGTGTGATATCTCTCCCTTGCATGAACTATACCAGGGGTCTCGATAAGCGTTGTATAGGAAGACAGGCAGGGACGGCGAATATTGCGGGGAAATAGGAGCTAGCTAATCAAAGGACCAGGAAACAGGCAGGGCTCGCTGAAAGCCAACATGATGCGCGCGCGGTTGGGAAGTGAATGAATCCCTTGCAGTTCGAGGAGACAAGAGATAACTGCGCTGTTTGTTATAAACATGTCATCGCGCTCGCGAGTCTGTTGTACGTGATATAAACCTTCTACAGAGTACATACATATCGCACGGTGCTTTTTATCCACCAGAAGCTATTTTGAGTTTGCGGGCCCTGCCGTCCCGTCTTGCTCTATCAGATCAGCCACCCCGCACTACCCCGCATTCCGCGATGACGAAGACGCAACCGAGAAAGGGAAATTCGCTGCAGGAGGCGTGTGCTCTGGAGCCGGTGCCGGGGAGCGGGGATAATAGCTTCACGGCGAGAATTGCTTGGGATTGGTGTGGACCGCAGTAAGACCCTCCGGAGAGAAGAGGAGATTGATGAGCACGAAAGAAGACGAGAAATTCAAAAGGAGAAAGAAAATGAAACATGAAAGAAAAGCAACACCGGCTAACACCACCAGAGCCGCACTTGGTGGATACCTCACCACGCTTATCTTCACTGCCGCCCGCAGATACATGCTTGCCAAGCATCCCGCGCTCCCACAACCCGATCCCATCGCCTCGCACGTCCAATTCGTGCATGGCGTCACTAAACAGACCCTAACTGTCCGTCTCACTATCATGGAGATCAGTCTCGGCGCCCGCGTCTCCATTCTCCAGATCTCGCTCGCGACCACTCTTCAGCTTTGCGTCCTGGCCGTGCTGACCATGGGTAATCTGGCTACCGAACAAGGCGTCAGTCTGCCCGCGCGCCCGACAATCCCGAAGCACCAGATCCCAGACCGAGAGCGCGACTGCATGCCGGATGTCCCGCCGGAGTGGATGCGTCCTTTCGTGCCGATGGCGTTCCAGGGCGACAACCGCATACTGAAGGGGGCTCGGGGCGCGGCATGGGACGCACGCTTCGGGAGGAATGTCAGGGAGAAGTGGTGTGCTCGGACGGATGCTGATGGTTTCGATGTCCTCTCTCTTGGCTGCTTGCTTGATTCCGTATGTCTCGGTTCCCGAGTCTAGCCCGCAAGCTGATGGTGTCTAGTTCATGGCAGCGCCGGGCAATTACTTCCCAGACCGGCATGACAATAAGGTTGGGATTGGGTACCCGACGTTGTGCATGTCGAGTGAGATCAAGAAGGATCCAAAAGGGACCAAGTGGTTGTTCATGAAGATCGCCGCCCACGAGATCAAGAACGGCAGGTTTGATACGGATGTCTATGTTGTAGATGAGGAGGGAGAGTTAGTAGCGTTGAGCAAGCATGTCTCGCTCATCACGGAGGTAAAGGGGAAGTCGTTAGATATGAGTAAGGCTGTGAAGCTGTGAAGCTGTGATTTAGGAGTATACTAGAATTCAACTAAAAGCCATCCTTAGTGTATGATGTCACTCATGAGACTTCTCGTGATGCCCGGGGATTGCCATATAAGAAGATTAGAAATCACACCAAGAACAACCAAGAAACACACAGAATAGACTGAGAAGCAGACTGGGAAACAGACTCGAAAACCAGGAGATAAATATCCCTCAAGTAAAACGTGAGTAGGAGAGCGAGAGATCACTTCAGCCCCCCTTCATAACTCAAGCATGGACATCATCGTCTTGTTCGACGAGTCGTAACTTCTGCTACAGAGCCTCTCGAATCATAATATGAGAAGAAGACCCCATGAAAACAACATCACAGCATCCCGACAAGCCTCAACAGCAGTCACTCCCCAATCCAGCGCATCCTGCTAGTTCCCGACCTCAGGTTGGTCGATCCGATAGAGGACGCTGGCCGTGTTGAGATAGGCCTCGTATTCAACGTCGTCGGGCGTCGTATCGTGATGATAATGCCCGCCCTCGCCATGATCCGAGAAGCAATGCGTGTGTTCCATGCGCAGGGCCAGACCCGGATCATAGGAGTGGAAGACGGTCAAGCAGACCATTGGGGCCTCCATCTCATAGAAGCGCAGCCACTTGTGCGAGTCCTTCATGTCCAGCGGCGTCTTGCTGAAATCCGGCATGACGTGCATGGACGCCTTGCCCCTCTTGATGAGGAAGACGCCGCCCATGCTGACCTGACGCTCCCCATACCTGGCTCGGAGCGTCTGTTGGATGGCGGCGAGGAAGTTGGCCTCCCCTATGCGCCGCTTGGCGACGATCTTGATGACATCGCCCGGGCTGCCGTCGCTGCCGAACAGATTGGCCATGAGGGCGCAGTCGGTGGAGTTGGAGGGGATCTTGTCGCAGACGCACTTCCCAGTGGTCTCGTCGACCTTGGCGAAATGGGTCAGGTTGACCAGCTCGCCGGCCTCGTAGCCCAGGTTCGGCATCAGCTCGGTATTGACGCCCAGGACGTGGAAGGGGCCGGCGCCAGCGCCGAGCACGAAGCCTTTCGCGGGCGACATCTCCATCAGCGACATCAGGTCGAGCAGCGAATACTTCCGGTCGAACTTGGGCGTCGGATGGAGGTTGGGAGGGCCGCCCACGTCGGCGATGCGCTGGTTGCCGCTGAGGCCTCTGGACGCGAGGTGGAAGGGCGGCGCGCGCAGGTCGGGACACGGGGCGACGACGGCGGTTACATCTTGGAAGTGGGTTTTGAGGCCGGCGTCGAGGACGGTGGCTAGATCATGGAGATCGGGAGCGGCGAGAAAGTGTTTCTTGACCCTCCAGGGACCCATGATGATATATAGAAGCGGTGTCGCCGCGGCACTTCTCAAAAGCTACCTCCTTAAACCCGAGTCCTTCGCACAGTTGAAGGTGTCCCTGTCGTGTCCAGTCTTCGTGGGATTAGTTCGGGATTGAATTGACATGTGTCCTGATACACACCGTCCTCTTCGACCGTCTCACCGGTGCATCGCATCTCGAGTGTTAAGGTATCGGTACTCCGTGGAGAAGACGGGTTTCGGAGAAACAGGCGATATCACGTGCCATAGATCCCGTGCCGCGGTGGAAAATGCGGGGGGAAGCGTGAAGGAGGCATGACGCTGGACCGGATGCGGATCTTCAAGTTCGCAGTTTGATAGTAGAATAGTTCGAAAAAAGGACAAGAAGAACACATGTCCCCACGGTTCATGCCACTCCTACCCTAGGGATTAGACTCGGGCGCTTGGCTCAACGACTCAACATTGTTGGTCGCCTCAACACCTTGGCACGGCCGTCAGGGCCCGGACGCTGGATCCAGGAACTCCTCCGGGGCGCACGAGTCACGCTGTTCTCTCCTGAATGCTGTGCGCACTGCGATGTTCTGCATACAAAGTATTCATTGCAGTACATATATGTATGTATGTACATGTACGTATGTATGTAGCATGTATAAGAGAGACCAGCCATGCGGTACGATAAGGCAGGAGAAAGGAGAGAGAACAGATCACTTCCTGGCATCGACAACCCCCTTACCTGCACATATGCACGGCATCCATGATCCGCCCGATATCAATCAATCAATCAATATTATTACAGGACTGCAGCAAAGACAATACTAATCTATCTATAAGCGACACCGACTGATAGTCTGATATTGACACTACTGACTACTCCGTCCCACCGAATCATAAAAAAAGCCTTCCAACTTGTTTCTAAGAAACTTCTGAAAGTTCTGTGGTGCCTTCTAATCTCCTTCCAGAAGCCCCGTCGGACCCGCTCGCGCCCGGAATGCAGGGGCAAGGGGTCGGCGCTCGGGATGTGCTATTTCCAGGACATTGCCGGACGGGTTTATTGGATCTTACTGTCGTATTATGATCATTTATATTGCACTCTATTGGAGGCATTATTGATATTATCATCTGTATTGTAATATATTGTAATCTATTGTATTGCATTGTATTGTGATTCTAGTAGTGGTCACTCTAGTCTGGCGTACACAATCCTATAGCGACAGTAGTCTGCCAAGCACCAAGACCTCGTCTTTCCCAGTTTGCTCGCTCGTACAGGGCAGCGATTCGCAGATAGCAGCATCACACGAGCATCAGTGGCAGCCCTCGGTACGAAGAACAAAAAAGGGAAAGAAAAAACGTGGGAAAATGCCCGACGGCGACGATCATGACGGGGCACTACTCCATAACGGTCAGTCAGTCCCTGATGACGGCAAGCCTTATCCGACGCCTTGCTCTAGCCTCGGGGGGCCCTCAGCTGGACCAGCGTTGTTTGCGCGACGAACAAACGGAGGAGTACTGAGGACCGAGAGCTGAGGACCAAGTAAGTGCTCGAGAGTCTCAGCTCTGGCTCGGTCGTCCCGATCATCCCAGGACGCGTCGTGCTCGCTCGCTCGCTCGCTCGCGCCTGGACCCTGAATCCAGAACAGAAGAAGTTTGAGGATTCTAGAAGGAGTGGAGAAAGAGGGAGAAAGCGGACGGTGGAGCATGGGAGGAAAAAGGTAAAATTTATCCAACGGAAATAGAATTTTTCCTCCCTCCTCCCCCTGTCTCCTGCCCAGCAAGCCAGGACAAACGGGTAACAAAGTACGGGGTACAACGGTACAACGGTGTCGCTCGGATGCGCCAGACGGTTTGGGCATAGCAGGAGTGGCCGCCGGGGTTTGGAATCGTGGATAGACTGATAGACTCTAGAGCATCATGTCAGACACGGGCCTCTCTTGCCGGGTACCTGGACACTGGAAGAGACGAGACGACAGATGCGGCGGTGGTGATCATGCGGTGTCCGTCTCTCTTCCAATCCTTTCCGAGGCTTGACGTTTGCGGGACCCTGCATGTTCCGACGATATGTACTCTTAACGTGCATGCAGTAGTTCGAGGGAAAAGCAGGAAATAAGTAGAGGTCGGTGTAGATTCTCAAGAGCATATCTATTGATTCTGTACATCTATACAGTGTACCTGGTAGATTCTAAAGCGTATTCAAAATAGATGCTCAATAGTCTTCAAATGTAGCTAGCTGCCTATCGACCGAGAGAATCGACTGGAATGAATGCCCTATCATGATCATGTGACCCCCACCCTTCTAGCCCCGACGCCGGCGCCTGAGGCTGCGGCACCAACAGGCCTCGAGCCACGTGTGACAGACGTGGCACGGCCCCCTCTTCGCGCGTGACTCCCTCCACTTAGGCTGACGTAAGGGGCCAGCAGAGGGGGGAGGACCATGAAACGCCGATGGTGCCTGGAGTCCCAGAAGATGGGCGGTATCAGATGACTCTTGTGTTCAGAGCTGAGGGGTATTTATTAGAAATAGGTGTGTTGAGGGTAATAAAATAGAGTTTAATAACAACAATAATAATATGACCATAAATACCGATATTAGCAATACTGTCAATAAATGTCAAATGATTTGGAAACGGAGAAAAAAAAAAGAAAAAAAAATGAAAGAAAGGGAAAAAGAAAAAAAAGGACGATCGCCTCGCCCTGATTGCCGTGCTCCGCCTGACGTCGGGTGCTCGCCCCAGCTGACTCTGCCCCTGTCGTGCCGGAGATCAGCCGACGGGACCGCCAGGGGTCGCAGCCAATCATGATGCGCGCGAAGGGGCTTTCCAACCCTTTCGCCTAGCCCTGTTTCGCTCTTCCGTCATGCCAAGACGTCGCTCATCTCCCACATCTCTGATCGGTCGGTGTCGCTGTCGCTGACCGCTGTCCAGGCCCCCGTCACTGATAATTTCCCCACGTTACATAAAGCCTCTGGCTTCCCCCGACCCGGGCGAGAGGGCAAAAGGTTCACTACTACTCACTCAGCCTCACAGTCTCAAATACTCCATCCGATCCGCTTGCGTCAACCAGTCTCACTATCGTCGGCCCTTGAGTTCCGAAGATCCAGCTCCGTCATCCAACTCTTATATACCTTACCTACACATATAAATCAGCTCGCCCGCCTCCCGAGACTTGAACTCGACAGCCACACACACAAGTCTTCTACAACAAGAACCATCTCCTCGGAATCAACATCAACACCAACACCAACATCAATCCAACTCACATCAACATGCCTGCACTCCACCGCCCCTCGCAGCTCCCGCCCTGCCCGGGCCCGCCCCCGTCGCGCCCTCTGCCTCCTCTCCCCAAGTAGAGACGCCGGCCTCCTTCCATCTTCAAACACTCGATCATGATCATTTGATCATCCGAACATCTTGGGCACATAAATTCACTCTCCGGGCAAAACAAAACCACTCTTGTTTCCATGCATCCGCGCATTCCTCGACCGTGTGATTCTACCCACACGGGGGCACCTCGTCATTCCGCTTGATGCCCCCAAGACCAGAGCAGCCGTGGGCTGACGGCAGACTTTCAACCACCATGAATCAAAGGTTCTGAACAGCAACCCGGCGCAGGTGGTCTGCAATCCTCCCTCCGCCCCCTGCATGGTCTACCCGCCCTCATGGCGGGAACTTCTTTTCCTCTGCGCTGCAGCTGCGGGGTCTGCCCCCGCGATGCAGCAGTCTGTCTTCCACAGCTCTTCACCGCGAACAGCCTCGCGCTCGCCTCTCCGGGCAACACATCCTGCACCGAGCCGGCTCGCTGCACGCTCTTCCTTCGACCTTCTGTACCATTTCTCCCAATACCATCACCTGTAATCGACTTTCGTTCGACCTGTCTGTACAATATCGGCGTTCATATTTTGCGGTGGGCACATTGGGGGGGTTCGGATATGTGGATCTGCAGGCTTGTTGGGATTGGATTTGACGGGATACCCAGGCTATCTGGGACTATATTTCAGGGATTAATTGCATATGCAGTCTGGGCCTAGCCTCGCTTTAGCAGATGCATCAGAATTTAACCTATTTGATGGAAATATCATGCTGCCTCCTGTGACTACTGTACATGAATGCGCGCCTCACTCTTCTCCCTTTTTTACCTCCCATTCTGATCTTCCATTCTGATCTTCAATTCTGAATTCTATGTTGTCTCATCCATCATCCATCACCCCTCGCAACCCCCTCCCCCCTCCCCCTCAGCCCGGCCCAGCCCAGGCCAGCTCAGCTCGACAGACCAATAACCATTACACAATAAACCTCCGCACCCCTCACGTAGCCCAACCTCCCCTCCCCCCGCGCCTCTTACCTCGCTGTAGCAGGCAAAGTGTAGTGTAGACTGTGTAGCAGAACACCCAATATATTACGCGACGTCAGCGCCCGTCAATCGCTGCCGCATAGGGAGCGCTGATACGCTGGCGCGTGGCCCTGATCTACATTCCTGGGGCGGGATGATGGGGACGTGGAATTTGGAATGAAATGGGGATTTGAAATTGCATTATTTATTGGAGGGGGACCGCATGGATGGGCGGTGGATGGACGGTGTAGATGTATAATTACCTAGGTATGCGGTGAGGGATATGCGTTGAGTGAGTGATGTGTGAGGAAGGCTGCGGTGAGAACGGTGACCCGAGTCGCTGGGTGGCCTGGCGTGGCCTGAGGTGTCCCTGCATCACGCGCGGGACGGGAAAACGGGGAAACTGCGGATCCCCTCGACATCACGTGAACACGTGCGCGCAAAACCCGGTCAATCAACCTACCTATTGCAGAACCTCAGGTCCCATCAACCGCATCACCCCCATCACTTACCCATCCGCCCGCCATGGTCTTCGAACTGCACGTCTGGGGTCCCGCCTTCTCCCTCCCCTCCATCGATCCCCATTGTCTGGCCGCCATCGCCTACCTCCAACAAGCCGTGCCGCGCGGCGAATGGCAGCTCGTCGCGAGCAGCAATCCTACGTTGAGCCCGACCAGTACGTTCGACCGCCCCCATTGCGAGCGTCACTAACACGCGCAGATGAGTTGCCTGCGTTGAGGGATGGCGAGAGATGGATTGGCGGGTTCCGAAACATCATCCACTACATCGCGCAGGTTTCCCAAGGGCAGTGGGTGCTTGATGCGGGATTGTCAGAGCAGGAGGCTGCGGATTGCATAGCGTAGGATGAGCATGAGCTTGAACACCTCTCTGCGTGGAACACGGCGCTGACTCTTTCACGGCAGCTTCTCCTCGTTCGTGGAATCGCAGGGCCAGCCTCTGCTCGACCTCTCCCTCTACGTCTCCTCGGAGAACTACGCCGGCGTGACTCGCCCTCTTTATAATACCATCCAACCCTTCCCGCTCCCATACCTCACCCCGCCTTCCATCCGCGCTGCGGCCAAGCTGCGAACGGAGCATTTGGGCCTCTCGGGCCTGGATATCGACTCGGAGGAGGGCTCACCCAAGGATAACTCCATCATCCCCGCCAGTCTCCGCACGCCTCGAACGACCGTCTCCAGCCTGCTCGCCACGACCCCCGAGATCAACGCGCGTATTCGCCTCGATGCTCTGGCGCAGAGTTTCCTGGGCCCGCTGCAGGATCTACTAGGCGAGAAGAGATATCTGGTATCTGAGCGGCAGTTCTCCAGCCTGGACTGCCTCGCTCTGGGTTATCTCTCGCTCATGCTCCTTCCGGAGCTGCCTCAGCCCTGGCTCGCGAAGTCGGTGCGCGCCCACTCGCCCCAACTCTGCGCCTGGATCCAAGATCTCAGCAGCCGCATCTTCGGCCCCTCCGTTACTCCCGCCGCCGCCCTCCTCACCTCCTCCTCCTCCTCCACCTCTCCCGACCCGTCCGCCCTCCCCTGGAAAATCCCAGACACCGGCGGCCTCCTCGGCATCACCACCACCTACCTCACGACCCTCGCCGACTCCCTCCCCGTCCTCGGCCAACACCGTCTCGATTCCAAAATGCGACGCCAGAACGCCAACACCAAGACCCCGACCCGCGACCTCTCCCCCGCGTCCTCCTGGCCCACCGTAACCCTTCTTGGCGGCCTCCTCGCGGGCGTCGCGTCCCTAGCTGTGCTTTTCCTCAAACGCGGCTTGTTCGAGGAAGAGGAGACGAGGGGGGGGCAAGGCTTGGATGCGTTTGGTGAGGCGGGCGCGGCGTTGTCGTTCTTGGCTGATCAGATGGATGAGCAGGTTAGGAGGGATCGCGCGCAGGCTGTGGGGGGAGAAGTGGATGTGGTGGTTGGGGTGGAGGGGGGGTTATAGGGGGGGTTATAACGAGAGGTGGTTTATGTTATGTACCTATGTATGTATGATAGGGTTAGATGGCTAGTTTAGCTAATCGTGTAAGAATAGCGAGTTTCACATGTTATTTATTATTATCTTTCTCTCTAGATAGGTATGTCTTTTATTGTGTGATTAATGAGTTGATAAGTGTTTAGGTCCGGCCCCTAACATAATTAACCCGCACCCCCCCCCCCCCTTTTCTTCCCAAATCCAATAATCCCCTCTAGCAGACAGACAGACGACACCATGCATACAATCCAAAAAATCTAAATCTAAATATGAAAAGGAAGTAGTATATGGTTCTTCTTATTATTTTTAGAGGTAAAGAAGATAGAGAGAGGGGGGAGGGCGTAATGTATCGTAATGTATCGTAACGTAGAATACCTAAAGATAAAAGATAAGGAAGCCTAACTATCCTATCCTGTCCTATACTTTTTCCTAGGTACTTTTTCCTATCTACCTATCTCTAAGCTTCCCCTTTTAATCTAAGATTCTTGTACTTTCGCACATTAGGTAGATAAAGAGATAAAGATATTTAATAAAAATATTCTTAACGTCTAGTTTTCGCTTTCTGCTACTTACATTAGCTACGGTACAGTACGGTATCTACGTGTTACAGACAGACAAGAAGGCGATTGATTAATTTCTAGACTTAATAAAGGACGCGAATCTATGCTGTATCATTATTATCATCATCATTAGCAGCAGTAGTAGGAGTAGTAGTAGCAGCAGTAGAAAAAAAAAAGGGTTGGGGGGGGGCGGTCTAAAGCGCAACTCGTAATGCTACAGTACTTGGATAAAAAGAGAGGATCTAGGAAAAAAATATTAAATGGCTCCTCGATAGTAATTTAAGACGGGTGGACTAACGATGTTCTACTGTCTCTAAACTACATATAAGGTCTGGTATTCTCGAGCTGTATTGTAGAGGGACGGTAATGAGTGAGTAAGGTAGGTAAGATACGCGATACTCAGGACCTTTTACTTTTATTTCTTTTTTCTACTATACATAGATAGGGAGGTAGGTATACATATATACACATACACAAGAACAAACAAACTATTATCCTACACGCTTAGTGACCCCACGACTTCCTCGCATCGATTACAAAGTTCCTCGCCTTCCGGCGCAACGTATCTCCAGCATCTTCCGCACTTGTCGCCGTGTGGCGGGAGCACCCAGGCAATGCCCTCTTCCCCCTCTGTATCGGGGATTGCGAAGCTTGATGAGTAGCTCCATTTCTGTGCTGCCACATCCATCTCGCCCGGCCCGGAAACGACATCCACGCCCGACACGACGAAGATGCTCGCGAGCTCGTCCGCGTAGCGCGTGAAGAGAGCGTGGCTTGAGGGCGACACCTGCAAGACCACGGCGGCTTCGAGGGACGAGCCAATGTGTTTACTCTTGCGTGCCTCCTCCAGCGCCGTCTTGACGCCGGCGTGAGCTGCCAGGAGGGCCGGGATGTCATCCTTGATGCGAGGTTCTGCTTTCGGGTTGCGAGCCGTTAGCGGCTCGTCCAGAGTCGCGTGTAAGGGATCGGGGAGATCGCGCATCCATTCGGGACGGTGGGACCACGCCTCGACGACGAGAAGCGGCGTAACAGGAGCCAGCATGCGGAGCAGACCTTGGAACAGCTCTTCGAGAACGCCGCCGCCGTCCGCACAATACAGGCGATCCTTCATAGCCTCGAGGTAGAAAGCCGAGAGGTCGATGGTGAGCCAGCGATTCAGGGAAGTGATCCCCTTGTGGAATTCGAAGTTGGCATACGAAGCCGCGACGTCGGACATGGTGGATTCGAGTTGGGCGAGGGCGATGTGGTCGAGTTTCGAGAGCGGGGCGGTGCGCGAAGAGAGATGGAGGGAGCCGAGGAGCATCTTGAGGATCATACGGTACTTGAGGAGTGTGGCCTGCGTGGCTTTGAGGACGGGTTGCCCGATGACCACGTCGTGCGTGTAGTCGCTACTGGCGACCCAGAGGCGGAGGGCATCTGCGCCGAGTGGAGCGTCGGGACCTTTGCGCTTGGAAGTTGGGGCGGGGAGGAGGGATCCGTCCATGATCTGGGAGGGGGCGATCACGTTCCCGATTGATTTGGACATCTTCCGCCCGTCTTGGTCGAGGGTGAAGCCGTGGGTGATGAGGGTTTTGAAGGGCGGTGTATCCCTCCCTGAGGCGCAGGTGTGCGTGAGCAGACTGGATTGGAACCAGCCGCGATGCTGATCCGTGCCTTCGAGGTAGACGTCTGCTTGCTGCTCGGTCTGCGTCCAGCTGGTGCCGCTATCAAACCAGACATCCATAGTATCCTTTCCTCGCCGGTAGACGCCCTCAAGTCCTGGAACGATCCATGCTGGATCATCAGGCGCGTCCGTCCACCAAGCGTCAATACCTCGCTCGTTAATTACTGACAGGATATGGGCGACACTCGCATCTGTGAGGACAGCGTTCCCACTCTCGTCGTAGAGGGCTGGAATCGGGACACCCCATGCACGCTGTCTCGATATACACCATTCGCTGCGTCCCTTGACAAAGCTCTCCAATCTCGCTTGACCAGCCTCGGGAACAAAACGAACGGCCTTCAAGTGGCGCAGGGCTTCATCCTTGACACTCCCAACGTCGGCGAACCATTGCTCGGTGGCCCTGACAATCACTGGCAGCTTCGTCCTCCAGTCGTACGGATACTTGTGTTTGTACTTGTGGGTAGCGAGGACCTGGTGAGTGTTGCTAAGAATCCTCAAAACTTCCTGGCCACCTTCCCCTAGTACAGACTTGCCCTCTAACACTGAAGGATCGCTAGGAAGAGCAGCGTCAGTGAAGCGGCCTTCATCATTGACTGGGGCGACAGCTGGGATACCAAGCCGAGTACAGGCTTCGTAGTCTTCCATCCCGTGACCTGGCGCACAGTGAACCAGACCCGATCCCGATTCCGCGGAGACAAAATCCGCAAATATTATGGGCTGAGGGGCAGATTCCTTGCCACGAAGCGGATTGGTGTACTCAACGCTGTTGAGATCTTTCCCAAGTATAGAATCCACAACTATATCCACGGGGTTGTCGCCGAAACATACTTTTGTGATATGTGGCAGTCTTGATTTCGCAATAATCATCTGATCGTGGTGAACCTTAACGATAGAGTATTCCAAATCAGAGCTGATAGCAATCGCTCTGTTCGCTGGAAGGGTCCACGGGGTAGTTGTCCATATGACCGCGGAAAGATTGGTGACATCGGGTAGCCGTTCCCTCAAAGACTCCGGGACCTTGGTGATAGGAAACTTGACGTAGGCCGCTGTAGATTCGTGATCATCCTTATATTCGAGTTCCGCCTCGGCGAGGGCCGTCCTGGAAGATGGCGACCAGTATACTGGCTTGAACCGTCGGAAGATGAGCCCCTTCTTGACCATCCCCTGGAAGACCTCGAGTTGCTTTATTTCGAACGTCTTGTCCATCGTCCTCCACGCATTCTCCCAATCCGCCATGACTCCCCACTCGCGAAAGCCCTTCATCTGGTTCTTCACCGTCTTCGTAGCCAGTGCCCGAGCCGCCCTCCGTATGCCCACCGCATCGAGTTTTTCTCCCTCCTTGTGCTTTTCCCTATAGTTCTCCAATGCCTTGATCTCAATCGGAAGACCATGGCAATCCCAACCTGGCACATAAACAACTCTGCGACCTGAAAATCAACATCAGCATCTCCCCCTCCATTCCCGCAGACCAAGCCTCCTCCTACCTTGCTGCACCTTAACCCTACAAATCATATCCTTCAAGATCTTATTCAGCGCATGCCCAACATGTAAACTCCCATTCGCATACGGCGGGCCATCATGCAGCACGAATGGCTGCTGGGCAGCGCGCTCCCGGCTCTGCCACTCGTAGAGGTCATCGGCGCATTTTTTGATGTGCTTCGGCTGGTCTGCGAGCAACGGCCGAGGACTGTTAGATGGTTAACAATTGGCAAGGGGAGGTGAGGGGAGCTCTGCTTACGGGAATGAGGACTTGGGTAGCCTCAATGTCGATGACCAGGACTTGGCTGGGCGGACCGGCATGATCTCGAATCCATAGTGACTTTTCCGGAAGCACGTTCGCGATCGGGAACGCGTTTGGTGATCCGTAAGGCTATTTTGAGGTTTCAGGCATCAACATTGACACAAAGATCACTTGACGTACATCAACACCACTCGACACATATCACTGGCAGGTAAATCATTGTTTATGAGGGGTATATATTCTTGGTCTCATCAATTAGACAACTCCCATATACTATCCGTATATTCCAAGTCTTGATAACTCCTCTGCCGGTCCCTACCCAAGAAACACCCAAATTGTCTAATAAGTTTCAGTAGTTCAAAAAATTGTAACCCCGCTCACGGCGCCGTTCTTCAATACCTCAAACACCAGACCCGGAAACCCAAATAGGGTGGTGTTGCCCAGCCCATTGGGTCTCTCCCCAGTGTCAGCCCTCGTTCCACCGACACTGTCTTCCCACCCTCCAAGTAATTCACAGCTGCTACCCGGATTATCTCCCCAGTCGCGATTCAATACCATTCCCCGTTGGTACTGTTTCGCTTCCTCGGCATTCCTGTAGATACTCTTCCATTCATCCTGCAGCCGGCGTTCAATATCCTTAAATGGTGATTCGGAGTTGACAATATCTTCTCCCTTCTCATTCAAATATTCAATCTCCCATCTACATCTTCGGTGTCGATTGAACGGATATGAACCAGGAACGTTGCCATGAAGGATAAGTTTAGAAGCAACGAGGCGCGGGGATGCATCCGTTGGAACGGCGTCGCCAGAATCGCTGGAACCAATACTTTCCTTGGAGGGAGGTCGTTGTGAGGGTGTGGTAGGAGTAGAGAGCAGAATGTCGAAGCCACGGTAGAAGTAATTATAGAAACATTCTCCTGAGAGGTTTCCAACAACCTCTTCATCTTCATCGTCATTCTCCGAATCGTCCGTTGCTGTATGCGCTGACGACTGATCCGTATCCGTGGAATCATCTTGTCTGTGTTCGCTGCCATCTCGTCGTCCGGTGCTCCCGCCAGACCGATTCTTGTGAATAGACATCCTCTGATCATTCTTCCGATATATTGCATCAGGAGGACCCAACTCTGCTACGAGTTGTTGTTGAGTTGTCTCGCCAAGCTGCATCCAGAATGGACCATTGCTCGACGGACGGACCAACTCTAGACGGCCTCCCCCATAAATACGTACGAGACTCACTTCGTCAGGGACTGGTTCGCGACTCTTCGCAAATGGAGGAAAGCTTTTGAGGGGATCTAAGGTCTGAGTGTAGAGATTCTCTCTGGCATCGGCCCAAGAATCACCACTGAAAATCGCCATGGATGCAGCAGGGTGGCCAGCGGACGACGAGAGGAGCGAAACGACGTCTTTTCCAGGCGACCACGACGAGCTGTGCATTGGGAAAGAGAACGCGATCCCAGGATATGATAGAACATACAGTCCCATTCCAGACTCGCTGCCTGTCTCCGGCTGAATGTATTCGCCAGGAAACGTAGGACCTATGAGGTTCTTGTAGATGTGCTTAAACGTAGGACCCGAGGGGTTCTCTGAGGGCCCTCCGGGGGCTGTTGTTGCTGGGCGCAGGACATCCCTATCTTTGTATGTGAGCTTGTTCTTTGTGAAATCTAACACTTCGATGAGTCGTAGACGTTGATCAGGACCATCAAATCGTAAGCGGATGCCATTTGTTGGAAGGTTGAGAATGACAGGCTCTCGAACTGGCGCGGTAGGTTCGTAGATCACGTCGAGCTTCGGAAATCGCTGGGGTTCGGCCTTGAGACGTGTGAGGATATCGTGAAGTGAGGCTCCCAGGACTGATGCCCGTCAGCAGGTCCATCAAACTGAAGACGAAGCTTACCCAGGAACCCTAAAGCCTGTCCTGGATGGACCTGAGCAGTGAACATCGACATGGTAGCTACATCTGTAGAGGGGTTCGTCCGCTGCGCCAGCTGGAGTCCATGGTCATTGAATTCTCGCTTATGGAGCGAGAGGGGTCATCCCGTCGGAAGCGTTGCCATGGTTACGTCTTCACGTGGCCTTCATCCTCGTCCGCCGTCTTTCCTCCATTATGTATCAACCATCAACCATTCGACAACGACATTGCAATCATTCAAGTGGACTGATTTCGGAAAAATTCGATAACAACGAAGACATACTTAGCTCTCTCTACATCCTCCGTCTTGTTGGAATTTTTGAGGCGCCAATCCAAAAACTCTTACCTACCCTCGCCCATCGACATCGCGCAGGTATAAACAACCTTATTTACTTGCCCTCGAGCAAGCACATTCCCCAATCGCATGGCAAGACTTCCCAGGCCGGTAGCGCAAGTAAGGACCGACAGTATGCGACCACCACAAAGACCATCAGTTGCGAGAGCAATGCCGCCGCGAGACAGATCAGGCGCAGTATCGCCGGTAGAATCTGTGGCATCAGTAGCAACGCACACTGGGACGAAGCGGAAGGAACGTGATTTTGAGCACGGCGAAGAAGAGACCAACATAAATGTTGTTGTCCGATGTAGAGGTCGGAATGAGCGCGAAGTTCGAGAAAATAGTGGTGTGGTATTGTCAACAGAAGGTGTGAAGGGAAAGAGTCTTGAGCTCTCGATGGGGCCCAGCGCGTTGAGCAACAAGACATATCACTTCGACAAGGTTTTCTCTTCAGCGGCAGATCAAGCAATGATCTATGATGATGTTGTAACGCCAATCCTAGACGAGGTGAGTGGTTCCCAGCGATTAAACGATGTTTATTGACGCTCTTTAGATGCTTGCCGGATACAACTGCACAATATTTGCCTATGGACAAACCGGCACTGGCAAGACATATACAATGTCTGGTGACATGAGTGAAACATATGGAATGCTCTCAGATGCGGCAGGAATTATCCCTCGTGCGCTGTATGCTCTATTCAACAAACTGGAATTGGACGATGCGGAATCTTCCGTCAAATGTTCTTTCATTGAGCTCTACAACGAGGAGCTCCGAGATCTGATATCCCCGGATGAGAATGCGAAGCTGAAAATCTTCGACGACAACAGCAGGAAAGGACACTCCAGCACGCTCGTTCAGGGTATGGAGGAATCACATATCAAGAGCGCAGTCGAAGGTGTTAAATTGCTTCAAGCTGGCAGTCACAAACGTCAAGTTGCGGCTACCAAGTGCAATGATCTTAGTAGTCGAAGCCACACTGTCTTTACCGTCACTGCATACATCAAGAGGCAGGGAGACAATGGGGAGGACTATGTCAGTGCCGGAAAGCTCAATCTGGTGGATTTGGCAGGTAGCGAAAACATCCAACGCTCCGGAGCAGAGAATAAACGTGCTGCTGAGGCCGGATTGATCAACAAGAGTTTGTTGACTCTTGGTCGTGTGATAAATGCTCTTGTTGATCGAAGTATGCATATTCCATACCGTGAATCAAAACTCACTCGACTTCTTCAAGATTCGCTTGGAGGAAGAACAAAGACATGCATCATTGCAACAGTTTCCCCCGCCAAGAGCAATTTGGAGGAAACCATTTCGACATTGGACTATGCCTTCCGCGCGAAGAATATTCGGAACAAGCCTCAGGTCAACCAGATGGTGAATAAGAAAACTCTGCTCAAGGAATTTACGAGCGAGATCGAGAGATTGAAGAGCGAGCTCATTGCAACTCGCCAGCGCAACGGCGTTTACCTCTCGAATGAGAATTACGAGGAGATTACGACGCAGAGCGAATCTCGAAGAATCCTTAGCGAGGAGCAGGCAGCCAAGATCGAAACGATGGAGGCAAACCTTCGAAACAAGGTGCAAGAGCTGTTTTCCTTGACTTCGAATTTCATGACGCTGAAGAAGGACAATGAGGCAACAAAGGTAGTCCTGGACGAGACGAAGAGCGTTCTTGACCAAACCGAGTTCGTGCTGGCCAACACTCGACAAAGCCTGGCCGAGGAGTCGCTGCTTCGAAAAGCTCACGAGCAAACGGAGGAAAAGCTAAGCCAGGTTGGCAGCGAGCTGCTCTCTACTCTGGGCCGGACTGTTCTTGATGTCAATGGTCTTCATGACAAGAACAGGAGAAAGTCAGACCTGCAGTCCTTGAATCGGAATACCTGGGGACTCTCCCAAGCCCAGGTATCTGAAGTCACTAGTCTTGTCGAAGATCGAGTTGAAGGGTTCCGCCTACAACAGCAGGAGCTCATGGCGGCCTTATCAAGTCGTATGCAATCTTTCGTGGAAGGCGAATTGGAAAAACTTTCCACTACGCAGACTTTTCTCCAATCCAATGTGTCCGCATTCGAGGAGGTGGAGAAAGAAGTATCTGAACAGACCAAATCATCGAAGGAAGAGATGGATACAGTCTTGGAGGAGATCAAGACACTCCGCGAAGACGTGAAGACTAAGGTGGGGCAGGGACTTCAAGGACTTTCGGTGGCTGCTGAACGCATTTCTGCGGAGGTCCTCAGTGAGCTCGGTGCATTCCATACTCAGGTATTATACTTTTCAAAATTGGTAAGAACATTACTGACATCTCTTAGCTACATGGATCTTACAGCTCTCTCGGTCGTGATTTCAAGTCTTTGTTCGAAGATCTCCTCAAGCATATCAATGCTCAGCGGGCTGAGGCAGATGAGCTACGGCAGCAATTGCATACCGCAAGCGAGCTTGCCATGCAAACGAATGCGGAAGCCTCGATAAGACTGGATAATATTCTCCAGGAAGAACGCGAGCAAGCTGCTCTGGATCGTCAAAACTTACTCTCCCAAATCAGTAATCTCCTTACTGCACAAGGGGAGGTGCAAGACCAACGTATCACGGCGAAAATTGGAGAAGTCCAGAAGAGTGTTCTGTCTTCTCGAGAGGTCTTTGAAGAATCACGCACCAAATACAACCAGGGTATGGATTCTTGGAATGAGAAGGAAGGTAAATTAGTTGAGGAAGTTCTTCGGTCCCGGGAGACATTGAAGAGCAAGCTGAAAGAGGATTGGGTGGTAAGTAACTCTTCGAATAAGACCAGGATCCCCGCTAACTATCAACAGGCTGCTAACAAGCACAACATGTCGCTTCAAGCCACCACTCGATCTGTCCATGAAGAGACTGTTCGGATTGTGGACATGCAGATGAAGGAGATCGCGACACAAATGGAAGCACTGGACGACTTTGTTACTCGTGCAAGGTCGCACAATGCTCAACATCATGACAGCCATGTTCAATCCCTCCAAGGATTGTCAACCACTGTCAAATCTTCCTATTCTAACATAGGCTCGCATTTCACATCTACTTACGAGCGAGTCCGGGACCTGGGAGACGAGATGTCAACGAAGACTGGCACGATACAAGAGTCTCTTGCACCGCTTGACACCATCCTCCGTCAGCCGCTGGCCGAGCTCCGTTCCAATATATCGAGCACGGCTTTGTATGAATACGAACCAACTGGTGAGACCCCTCAGAAAGTGCAATACCACTACCCAATGGAATTGCCGCGAACAGATGCGCATGAAACTCTTCTGGCCGCTCTTCGTCGCCCGGTGAGTGCCTCACCAAGCAAGACTATGATCCCGGCCATTTTCAATGACGCACCCGATGAGCGGGACGAGGTGACCCCTTGCGAAGAAGGAGATCGTAAACCAAGTGGCCCTTGCGAAGAAGGAGATCGTAAACCAAGTGGGGGACTTAGAGAGATCGATATCAACATCAGCGCCGGCTCTCTTAACTCGGAGCAAAATGGCCAAAGCGCGGTACCTGGTCTAGCAGGGCTACCCTCTAGTGGCGATGGTCCCCTTTCTCAAATCCCCAGCCTCAAGAGGAGTACGTCAGGGACTGGCAAGCTACCGATGCCCAAGGGCGCCAAGAAGGCAGTTATTGCGCTGGAAGGGAGAGAGAACGTGCCATTTGCTCAGAGCACAGGGAGGAGGAGGAGCCCGCGAACCGGGTAAGGGGGATGCATTGGGCGACATGAGGTCGGTGTTTTGATAGCGTGGGGATCCTCAGGAGTTTTTTTTTTAGGAGTTGGGACCGAAGTTCCCCGGTGATGGCGTTGGAGGACGTTGATTACTACAGTTACAAGTTAATCCATGCTGTTTTCCTGACTATCGATGAGCCGCTCGCTGCTGGCAGTGATAATAGGTTGACGGGAACACATCCGTGAGGCTGCCAATGGGCCGGGGCTAACGGGGAGAGACAAGGAGGAAGGCTGAGACGGCAGTATTACACAGCGGGCTGAAAAGCGCTTTGGACCTAACCCTTCTCTGATCTGTTCTGCAGCAGCTGCGCGTAAAGCGTCAGTACGAGGCCCGCCCTGGCGCCGTGATTGGACAATGCGGCGCCGGCCTAGACCTGGGGGCTAAAGGTATATCATATATATCATATATCCCAAAAGGAGGAGCTGCTGCTGCACCCTACTGTACCGCGTACAGTAGTCGACAGTAGATCTAGTAGACCGATCAACGGGCGTACCGCGTGCGTCCACCGGAATCTAGCTGGGACCTTGGACCATGGCGCTCTGGGACAAGGGCCAGCACCGCCGCAACAACGGTGCTGGAGGCTCTCGAAGGGCACTCTGCCGCTATTAGCAATTTAGCTGGTAGCAGACGAAACAGGCCGCTGTCGAAGAAGGGGAGCCGGGTTAAGCTGCGCGACATGCGCGGGAGTGTCCAGCGGGAGGGTCGAGCCATTCGCAGTCGATCCAGACGATCCAGGACGATCCAGGACGATCCAGACAAGGCAGTTCGCAAGCCCAAAGTCAAAAGTCCAAAAGGGCGGGCAGCGCTGCGGGTCGCTGACATGATGGTTTTTTCGTTTCGTATGCTAACTTGGAAGGGCGCGGCACTTGGCTTTGCTCACTTTTGCTCCCCTCTGCTGGAGAATCCACGGTCGCTGGGGCTGCGGCGCCATTGAACTCTATCCCAGCGGGGGTGTCGTCGTGGCCGCCAATGAGACGACATGGAGATAGCGAGGCGGGCTATTGGGAATAGACGCGCAATAATATGCGACGGAGGAGGCTGTGAGGATTTGAGAAAGTGATACAGCGATGTGATAAGAAGGCCGGCTGTAAGAATGTGACCATAATAAGCGGGCAAGATGACAATTAGACGTCTGAGATTAAAGGTCATCATATTAGAGATATTAGAGAGCGTGCTTCTAAAGCGTTGAGCACGACTGCGGGGGTGCCAGGAGAGGGCCGGGGGGTGGCGGGAGAAGCGGGACGGTGGGAGCCTCCGGTGGTTGATTCGGGGGGCCTCAGGCATGGAGTGTGTGTAGAAAGCACAGGACATACGGAGAGGGATGTACCGTGTACCTCCGCCCCCAGCATCTCCAGCTACCATACCGAGGTACACGGTACGTACCTCTCCGTATGCGTGATGATTGCGCAGCAATTGCTGGGAACCGGGTGCTGGAGACTGGGAAGCGGGAGCCGGGACCAGCTGGGCGCGGGAAAAGCACCGGTTACCCGAGTTACCCCGGGAATGGAAAGGCGTGTGCCGGTCCGGTAGCCGGGAGGCCTGTAGGCTGTCACAGCCGCGATATATCATCTCTGGGTACTATCTATAATCTACGTAGAAACGAGAAGAAACCATGTCCACATCATCTGTCCCATCGTCCATGTGTGATGGGATCTCCCATGCAACCCCTGTTCCCATATGGAAACATGGCCCTCCACGGCCTCCACCCATGCGCATTGCAGATATCACCGTACCCTCCTCCATACAGAATCGTCAGATTGAACAGACAGACTCCTTCGAGACGCCGGTCTGCGATCCGCTCTTCGATCCGCGCTACGGGCCTACCGCACGCCTGGTCGTATAGCTGCAACGGGCCAAGATAGTTGCAAACTCTACCTCAGGGACTACGCCCGAAGCTGCTAAACCACTTCACCGGAGTCTGAGCCCAAGACATTAGACAAGACGCTCCTCGCCCCAAGCCACTGGCACTGGCCGCTCCAGCTGTTCCTCAGAAAGGGAAATTCAAATACTTGCCACTAGAGAGCCCATACTATCCCCGTGCTATCCCAGCTCTCCCAGCTATCCCAGCCTATCTTCCACTACGACCTAGGTACTGTCGACTACACCCGCAGCTAGACTGCTCTCGACAGAGTCGACACACAGACGGTACCGTACTACTGCCATCTTTTCCCCTTTCTTTCCTCATGCTTTTGCCTCGCAGCCCCGCACCCGCCGCCCACCACAGCAGCGCTGAACTCCAGGAGCATTATCGAAGCTTATCCTCCGAATGTCTTGTTGACCCATTAGGCCCGCCCCTCTCCCATCCCCCTCCGCCAGGAGACGTATATGTATCCGCACGGTCCAGCCGCCGCTGCTCACCACCACGCCCTTCCTCGATCCTCCTCGACCAGCCACGTGCCTCGCAATGCCATTGACCCTGAACAGCCCTATCCCTTCTCAACTCTGATCCGACGGAATAGGAGAGCATCATGTCGACGACCCAGGCGCCCAACAGCCCCGTGGCCACCGAGGCCGAAGAGCCCAGGAAGAAAGGTAGAGTGTCCGCTGCCCCCGTGTGTTCCGCCGTGCCTGGCTAACATGGCGCTGTCTAGGAGCCCGAGGAGGCAAACGATCAGTGACGCACCTGAGTAAGGCGCAGCTGGCCCGGAAGCGGGCAAACGATCGAGAGGCACAGCGGAATATCAGACAGCGCACGAAAGAGCATATCGAGAACCTGGAGAGGAAAGTGAAGGAGTTGGAGGCGGAAAAGCGTTCAGACAGCATGGAGCGCCTCATCCAGAGAAACCGGGAGCTGGAGCTGGAGGTGGAGAGGCTCCGAGCTCAGTTGACCCAACGGACATCCTCCGTGGATCACACATCCCCTATCCAAGAGGAATTATTGATTCCGCAGAAGCTGGCCCTGGACTGGATACCGGACACCTATAAGCAGGAGAACGTCCTTCCCGTGTCCATCTACCCCACGGCGGATCAAGTATATCCTACCGCCCAGGCGTACACCGATGCCGAGCCCCCGGAACATCTCTACACCCCCACGGCTGCGACCCCGATGTGGGACGATCCTACTGCCTTTGTGCGGACAACACAGAGCCTGACGAAACCCGCTACAGCGTGGGCGCCCTTCAATCCTGCCCTATCCCAACCACCTCGATTTACAGAGTTTCACCCATCCGACTTCTCCAACGTCATGAACCCTCCTCCCCCCTACACCAATACCACCTGCTGGCAATCCCAACCTTCAGTCTATGATTGGCAGGTCTTCCCCAAGTTGAAGACCCCCGTCACACCCATTGATCATTTGATCATGAGAGCGATCCATTCGCACCGGAATCTTCAGTTCTCTGACCCCGGCGCGGAAGAGCTCCTGGGGTTGGACCTACCTCCCGTCCAAGTTCTCTTCAATCCACATAGCCCTGCGAAGATGCATCCTGCGCTCAACGACGTGATGGTACAGTACTCGAACGTATTATCAGCTCGCGGCTTCACCTTCTTCCCAGAGAGACTGGCAAGTTTCATTTGCATGTATCGACTTGTGCAGTGGCAGATCTCGCCGTCCCCCCAGACCTACAAAGCTCTCTATGAGTGGCAGCGGCCCCGGAAATCCCAACTTGTCATCACACACCCTGCGTGGATGGATCTTCCGCCATGGCCGAAGTTCCGCGAAAAGATTGTCGAGAACCAAGCTCGCTACGACACGCCAGAGTTCCAGCACGACTATGTGACGAACCTGTCAGCGAATTTCCCGTATGAGTGGATGCAGTCCTTCCTGTTCGAGAGCAACCAAATGCTCAGGGTTACCAAGGTGCTGGAGAGCCATCTGCGGGACCCCTCCAATTTCAGTATGAAGAAGGCGTTTGGGGATAAATATCCGGAGTTTAGGGAAGTTTGTCGTATTGACGAGATTTAGGCGGGACTTGGGCTGGATGTACAACATATATCTAGGATGGCGTTTTGGGAGAGCACTAGCACACATCGGTGGGAGGCAATAAGTCAAGCATTTGGATCATTCGGGCCTGAGGTCCAGAGATCCCGGGTTTAAAACTGGGCGGCAACGGAATATGATACATGGAAATACAAGAGTTATGAAGAATATATTATATCAGAACATATGTCTCTGGCCATGCGAGTGGCAGTCTTCGTGGCATGGAGTTCGACGTAATAAGCTAATTTCAACGCAAAATTGCCTGTAGAAATTGCCCGTCTCTGCCATGCAGAGCGTTAAAGAACGCACGGCTGGCGTTCTTGGCCGTCTTGTTTGATACCTGAGGCAGTTGCATCGAAAAGGGGCTGCTGCTGCAATAAGCGAAAACCTCGCGTAAGATATAAATAAAGCTGGCCTTTTCGTAGCCTCGTTGCCTTGTTCTACCGAGGACGTACTGGGGTAACAGGACAGCTTGGAGCTTCCCCCACAGTCTACATATATATCACGGCATCATCTGCCACAACACCACAATCATGAGGAGAATTGAAACAATCCTGCTCCTCAGCACCATCTCCAGCTCCATCCTCGCTGCTGAGACTCCCCGTCCCCGCGGCGTGGGGCCAGAATGTTCGTCCCCAGACCACCTTATACCGAGCAATTAAAGCCCAGCTAACCTCTCTTCCTAGTCGCGAAATTCTATAAATCCACCTCAAGCTTCACCTGCATCTCGAACCCCGCGATCACGCTCGACCCTTCGCGCATCAATGATGACTACTGCGACTGCCCGGACGGCTCTGACGAGCCTGGCACCGCCGCCTGCACACATCTATCACCACTCTCACCACCGCAGCCGGGCGCGGGCGAGAACGTGACCCTCGCGCTGCCAGGGTTTTACTGCAAGAACAAAGGACACATCCCCGGGTACGTGCCGCATCTGTATGTGAACGACGGGGTATGCGACTACGAGGGGTGTTGCGACGGGAGTGATGAGTGGGCGGGGGTTGGTGGGGTCAAGTGCCCGGATCGATGTCAAGAGCTGGGGCAGGAGTGGAGGCGACTAGATGAGTTGCGACAGAAGGCCGCGCGGGCGGCGTTGAAGAAGAAGGCGGAGTTGGTTCAGGAGGCGGCACGGTTGAGAGCTGGTGTGGAGACCAACATTAAGGGGTTGGAAGATGAGATTAGAGCCCTGGAGGCTCAGGAGGCGGAGTTGGAGAGGAAGTATCAGGAGCTGGAGAGGAAGGAAAGGGGAAAGGTCGTTACGAGTAAAGGGAAGGGGTCTAAGGTCACGGTTTTAGCTGGATTGGCTAAGCAGAGAGTGGAGGAGTTGAGGAACGCCTTGATCAGTGTCACAGGAAAGAGGGATGCGTTGAAAGAGAGGGTCAAGGAGCTCGAGGCTATTCTTTCAGCATTCAAGGAGGAATACAACCCTAATTTCAACGATGAGGGAGTCAAGAGGGCGGTCAAGTCTTGGGAGGATTATGCCGCGAACAAAGTCGAAACGGATGACTCAGCTGAGGAGCGTGACATTCAGGAGATCGCGAAACCGGATAGCGAGAGTGAGGGTATCAACTGGGCGGAGTGGGAGACTGAGGCGGAGGAGAGTGATACAGATGCCAGTGAGTACTCCTTGCTCTATGCTACTTCTATTACTTACATCTTGCAGTCTACAAGCTCGAGGAGTACCTCCCAAGTGCTGTGCGCGAATGGGTCCACCAAAAGCTCACCGACTTCCGTATCATGCTTGTCGAGAATGGCATCCTTGCAGACAACGCAAATTCAGGCAGCGAGTCCAAAGTTGTCTCAGATGCCCGCAACGCCCACCAGACCGTCTCTGACAATCTCGAGAAAAAGAGGTCTTCTCTAGAGGATCTCAGAGCCGACCTTGGCAAGGACTACGGCGAAGAGGACGTCTTCCGGGCGCTAAAGGACACTTGCATCGAAAAGGATTCAGGCGAGTATACCTACGAGCTGTGCTGGCTGTCGAGGACAAGTCAGAAGTCTAAGAAAGGAGGTGGGAGCACGGGGATGGGGAACTTTGTCCGCTTCGATACGATCGAGGTTGACGAGGAGATTGGCGCGGATGGGAAGGGTCTCGGGCAAGGCGAGAGGTTGACGCTGATGTATGAGAATGGCCAGCACTGCTGGAATGGGCCGAATAGGCAGACGACCGTTGTTCTAGCCTGTGCGGAGAAGGACGAGATCTGGAAGGTGCAGGAGCAAGAGAAGTGCAAGTACCGCATGGATGTGGGAACTCCCGCTGTCTGTGAGAAGACTGCATCGAAGCCGGCGCCGAAGGAGAAGGATGAGCTGTAGATTAAACCAGATCTAAACTTTTGAATCCTTTTTTTATTTATTTTTATTCATCCTTGTTTTTTTCGATTTTCCATGAAGAATTAAAAAAAAATATCCCCCTGCCCCTCGAAGAATTTCCCCATCTGTATTCACTAACGCCCTTTGATTTGATATCAGCTCCGAGGGAGGTTAGGTCCGCCCAGAATAGAGCAACTAGCTGGACATGTCCTGCGGTTTCACTTGCCACTGTCTTTCCCCCTCCCTCTCCCTCTGCCTCTTACTACTGTGACATCTTCAATAATTGAGCATCAGCATACTTATCCTACTAGCCCCTCTCCCAGCTCCTCGCCGATCAGCCACATCCCATCCGCATTGGCCCGTCCACGAGGCGGCGACGCCTGACTCGTACACCAATTTTACGCTTGACGATAGCGCCGCTGCGGCTGAGCCACCACCCATCGACCGATTACATAGGCCGTCTCCTCTCTCTGACAATGGGCACGCCCGGACCACGTCGGGGCCCTCGCCATCAAGGCAGGCCTTGCGAGAGCCGTGCGTCGAAACGTCGCCAATCGTGTGCTTTCCTTCCCCCAAGACGACGCTGGAGACCATTGGAGCGGGCGTCTCAGATGATGCTGCGTGCCTGGAATATGCCGAATATGAAATTAACGATACTGCTGAATTGGATGCCGGCGTCTGTCTCACTCGGCTCCATCTCGGTCATCGAGGACCAGTATCCCCCTCCCATGCGGTGAGGGGTTGAGGATCTTCAACTTGGACGTCGGGTTTGATATGGCAAGGTGTATCAAAGGCTGGAACTTGGAAGAGATGTGTCGGTGATGCCCAGGCTCCAGCCCAATTTCAGAGTTCAGACTTCAAACCACTTAGGAAGTTGCCTCCTTTTACGAGGTATGTCCGTGGTACAGGATCTCGGTCGCTGTCCTCACAACCCCTGTGTTGTACCTTAGCCATATCCTGGCATCAGGTTTTCAGGTGGTTGTTTCTTGATTCCGAGATGCAAGTCTTCATTCTGTTCGGACCGAGAACTTTGCAAACATGGTTTCATGGGGCTACTGATCATGTCCTCTCGCAGATCACAACGAAGCAATCGACGTTCCGCAATTGATGCCAGACGTGCAGGTCTGTCTTTCATTCAACGGTCGAACAGGGAAGCTTCTCAGCTGCAGATCCCCCATGGGCTCAGAGTAAGAAACCGCCACATTGTCTCGGCCGGTATCTCGAATATCCTCGGGTCATCATCATCCATCGTCTTCTGGGGGAGGCATCTGTGTTGAAGTAATCCAATCTTCCATCATTGCCTGACCGGCGTTCACTGGCCCTTTGCCCTTCTTGTCCTTGCGTTTGATGACCAAACATAACACGCGGCCATAGATCGCGAATCCATCGTAAGTCGTCTCCATGGCCATTTTCTTCTTGTCGTCAGATTCCTCCTCCACTGGTGTAGCATCCTTCCTGCGCTTCGGCAGTGATTCCAAGCCTGGCGAAGATGCGGAGGCCGATTCGTTGGTTGCTGCTCTGGGTCGTTTAGATCCTCGAGGTTCTTCGTCTTCATCTACAAAGAGAGAGTCGGCTTCCGATATACCCTCCACAGCAGGGAAATCCTGTAGGGCTGGCAGATCCTGTAGGTTCAGTGTATCTTCATCACTCTCCTCCCTTCTTATGGCCGGCGTATCCTCAACGTCGATAGCAGTATCATTTGTATCTCCCGTAAGCTTATGAGAATTCGATTGCAAGCCCTTCTTGTTCAGATCGCGGAAGTGCTTCTGCTTCGTAAGCAGGGAGTGTCGTGTACTCGTCTCGGTCAAGAAGATCGAGACCTCGAAGTCCTCTACTAAAATTAGATAGGCCCAAGCCGAAGGGTGTGCAAATACCTTCCACGACGACATCCTTCACGCTCTTCTTCTTGCCCCTAGCCTTGCTGCGCTCATTCTCCTCGCGGAGTTTCGGCAGGACCAACGGACGCACGCTCTCGATGACCCGAGGAAGAATCGGATTTCTGGAATTCAACAACCAGCTCTCCGCCAGAGCCGGGTTGTCGAGATAGATGCGGCATTCGAGGACCGAGTACTTGGTGATGCGCAGATATCTCCGTATGGGCGCCATTCCCTAGATATTCATGAGGCTCGTTTGGTATTTGGTAATTGCTGTCCAGCGGTTGGCAGTTGTCGGTTAAGCCTTATCGACGATTCCGGTAAGGTAAGGTAGCCTTGCATTCGGCTGCCGGGGGGGGGAAGGCTCAAAACTTCTCACACCACCAGGCTGACAATCCTTTCCTCCATCAATATATCCTCATAACGCGGACATCAATCATGTTCTTCGTTGTATCCGCACGTCTGAGGTTTGCTCGGATGCATCCCTCTCCAGAGTCCAGCCTTCGCGCTGCATCTCTTATCGATACGCAAATCGTGACGACAAGTGACAAGTGTGAGGTCATCACTACCAGGTTCCGCGGCCCAGCGGCTCCGGACGTCCCAAGGCTCTGAACTTCCACGGCAACTAGGGGAAAGCGGTCCACCGTGCAGCCAAGTCATCAGTCTCAGTGAGAATGGCTTGAAGTTACTCATATCATAATGCTTGTTTCCTCCTTTCTGCCTTTTCCTTCCAGACCATGAGTTCCATCCTGTATACTGCTGGCAAGGCGTCTCGCCTTGCCAGAGCGAGCCCGATCCGCAACAACCTCCTCCGCAGAGGCTTGCACACGCTGGAGCTCGATGAGACTAAAGGAGGCAAGTGTCCGTGTCCTGAGAGCAAGATCTGAATCTGATGTTGCTAGACCGCGAACGCGTAGTCATTCTTGGATCTGGGTAGGTTTATCTGTCTGACGTATATCACTGCCGGCACTGACGTCTCCCAGCTGGGCCGGCTTCGTCCTTTCGAGAGAGCTGGACAAGACGAAATTCCAAACCGTGGTAGTTTCGCCCAGGACCTACTTCGTCTTCACTCCGCTGCTCGCCTCGACAGCTGTTGGTACCCTCGAGTTCCGAACAACCCTCGAATCTGTCCGGGCCCGTCGATCCGGGGTTGATTTCATCCATGGATGGGGAGCAGGTGTCGATTTCAACGAGAAGACCCTACGCATCGAGGAGCCAGCTATCCGAGAAATTCCAACTTCGGCAACGCCCGGCGATGTCGGGAGGAAACCTGGGGAAGAGGCTTCCTCGTTCCTTATGAAATATGACAAGTTGGTGATCGCAGTTGGATGCTATAGTCAGACCTTCAATACTCCAGGTGTTAGAGAGAATGCCCTGTTCTTGAAGGATGTTGTCGATGCTGTAAAGATCCGAAAGAGGATTCTTGAATGTTAGACAGGTCACCCTTCTCACTGGCACATGCTAACTATGAAGGCTTCGAATATGCTTCTCTACCAACCACTTCTGATGCTATGAGGAAAACCCTTTTGAATTTCGCCATTGTCGGAGGAGGCCGTAGGTATCTGCCCTACTCGAAGATATGCCGCTGACAGAGCCCAGCAACCGGTGTGGAATTCGCAGCTGAGCTTTTCGATTTATGCCACGAGGATCTCAAGAAGCTATACCCAAACTTAGTCCCCCTTGTCAAAATCAGCCTTTACGATGTGGCACCCAAGATCCTCCCCATGTTCGATACCAAGCTTTCCAATTATGCAATCGAGCTGTTCAAACGAGATGGAATCGACGTCAAGACACAACATAACATTCTGGAATTGCGCCGCGGACTTCCTGGTGCAGATCCCACAGATAGGGATGCTGGATGCTTCACTCTGAGGACAAAGCAGAACGGTGAGATGGGCATTGGAATGTGCGTTTGGTCAACAGGTTTGTCTCTACCCGACCCCTATCCCCTGTTTCCCGCTAACACCATCAGGTCTCATGATGAACCCTTTCGTCAAGGAGGCACTGAGCGACGTGAAAACCTACCCAACCGCCTCCGCCGAGCTTGAAAACGCAGGTTCAATCAACCCAAGCGCCGAAGAGTGGGCGATCAAACGTCATCGCAAAACTGGTGGTCTCCTAGTTGATGACCATTTCCGTGTCCAACTCGTTCCCAAGGCCCTGTCCCAAGAAAAGGACGCCTCGGTTCCGCAAGCCACGATCAAAGACGTTTTCGCGCTGGGCGATGTATCAACCATGGAGAAGGACCCATTGCCGGCTACGGCCCAGGTTGCGAACCAGGAGGCGAAGTGGCTAGGGAGGAATATGAATAGTGGGTTTACGGAGCCAGGATTCGACTTTAGGAGTTTAGGGGTTATGACTTACCTTGGAGACATGAAAGCTATCATGCAGACAGGTCGGAGGAAGGAGATCAAGGGGTATGTTCTTCCCTCTTCCTAGTCAATTGATCAACATGATACTGATGGTAAATAGGAGAACTGCATGGTTGATCTGGAGGGGTGCGTATCTTACGCAGACGATGAGTTGGAGGAACAGAATACTTATTCCTATCTACTGGTACGTGTTTCCTCATGGTTGCTACTGTTGCTAACTTCTATAGGTTGATCAATTGGCTTTTCGGGCGGGATATCTCTCGATTTTAGGCCGAAGTCTCACGAAATTGGAAGACATTAGAATGGACATCTAAAATGTAAATAACGACACGGTGTGATTCCCTCTGCAATCAAATTTCCTAGTTCTTCATAGACAGCATATAGACAAAAAGCGAAATCATTCGACCAAAGATAATAGTTGCTTACCCTTTCACTTGGATATTGATGGACTGTAGAAGCAATTTCACGAGCTCAGGTTACTTATCAACCTTTATTCGAACGCCACCCTCTTCAGATAGGCTTTCCGGGAATTGTAATCACAACCACCAAACTCCTCTCGGCCATTATTCACCCCTATTTCTTTATCTTTCCCTAGCAGCCATGCAATTCAGCCAACCCAGGAATTTGCCAGATCACTCATCCCTGGCAACGCACAGTTATTTACCACATTAATTAAGGCATCCCATTCAGTAATGGCAGGACGATTGATAGAAATATTAGCACCCCACTGATAGGCATTTTGACGTGCTTGGCTATGTTATCTCCTCCTGCTCCGAAGACCTCATACAGTCGCAGCTGCTCTATCCCTGGCGGCAGTTTCAAGGATAGGTACCTGTCTGGTCTTTGTTGATCTAACTGATAAAATGCCATAAGACACAGAGAAGTGTTTACTCTTGATATCTACTCCAGCACAGTAGCATGGGCCACCCCAGGTTCGATAATCCTGGAAACGGTCGTGAAAATGCTGCAGACAAAACACCTTTTCGTCCGCGGCTGTAGTTATGATCGCGGTTCTGTGAGTGTCTGATCAGCATCTTCAGACTTTCTAAGGCCAATGGCAATAACTGACTCCCAAGGCAATGTCACGGTGAGTACCATCCCATTCCTCCTCTCTAACATTACCGCATCGTCTCTTACCCCGACTATCTTCAGTCCTTCCCTTAGAGATATGACTATAATGAGCGGCATGGCAATGAGGATTGCGATAGTGCCCAGGTGTGGGCCAGAACGGCGCGGAAAATGTATCCTGCAAAAAGGTGGAAAAGGAGACGGAAACGAGAGCGAATGTGTCAAAAGGAAAAGGAGAACAAAGTCGAAGATCAAATTTTGGTGTAGAGATCAACCTTCCAACTGCAATGGGATGACATATTTACCTCGAGCCCGCCATTAAAATGCGCCTTTCTCTGCCGGTAGCTATTGAAACCCACAGGTTGGAAAGCGCGAGTCTGCACTAAGAAAATCGAAACCGCACACATCAGAGAATGCTCAATTCAAATAGACATAGCTACTGAGCCTAGCTCCTCCATGAAAACCCATGTGCAATGAAACAACCATAACGCATTCCACCATCTAGTATCGCTTTCCGGCACGCAGAACATCACCAAATTCCTCCAGAGGACTTCTGACGAGCTTGGTCTCCTTCCACAAGTTGGGGGTCAGGTATCCGTATGTGTTGCCGACAGCGACGAAGGTAGCCTTGAGAGTGTTCTCGAGGGTCTTGGTTGAGCCGGAAGATGATGTGTAGACATCGTCAACACCAGCAAGTTGGAGAAGACGCTTGACAGCTGGGGAGGCAACGAGACCAGTACCACGGGGAGCAGGGATAAGCTGTGGCGAGGTTAGAAGAAGTCCGAGAATTGAGGATTGGGATGATGCTTACTCTGACAGAGACGGAACCACACTTGCCGCTCTCCTTGGTTGGCAGGGAGTGAGGAAGACCCAAGTTGGTACCCCAGTAACCTCTTCGGATTGGCAGAACGCTCAACTTGGCGATGATGATAGCAGCACGGATGGCAGTTGCAACTTCCTTGGAGGTCTTGATACCAAGTCCGACGTGTCCCTCAGAGTCACCAATGACAACGATGGCCTTGAATCGGGTACGTTGACCGGCACGAGTTTGCTTCTGGACAGGCTTGATCTGTGTGGGTGAAAAAATATCAGCTTTCCATCCTGCCAGTCTGCCGCAATCACGAATCGCGTACCTTCATAACCTCGTCCTTCAACTTGGGCAAGAAGAAATCAACGATTTGGTACTCCTTGATTGGCAGGGAATGTAAGTAGATCTCCTCCATTGACTTGATCTTGCCATCCTTCACGAGACGACCAAGCTTGGTGACAGGCTGCCACTCCTTCTCCTCGTTCTTGTTTGCTCCGCGACGAGGTCCACGTCTTCCACGTCCACGGCCTCGGTCTCCTCCACGGTCACCACGGGATCCGAATCCACCGCCACGAGCCGCAGCTCCGCCTCTTGGTGCGTCAGCCATATTGTTCGAATTGATCGGATGTGTGAAGGACTCGGGGTGTAAGGCGTTGGGCGTTTGGCGACTGAGACTTTTCGGATTCGACGTTGCGAAAAGTTAAGAAATTCTGTGTGGGTTTTAGAAATTTGGCGAGCTTTAGCGTTGCGGCCTGAACATGGTGGAGGGTTGTGAGGCATCAAGCGAGGGGTAGCTTGATCACGTGGATCCAGGAGAACGACCGGCATGGAGGGACGAAAACTCAACTCGATCAAGCAGAAACCAGATATATAAATTAGTTGTGTTTATCTTCAAATTTCTGCGTCTCGAGTGGGATGTATTGTCGAGGTCTTTTGATTCTGATGAAATGAAGCTTTACGCATTGCATTTTGCTGTTTAAAGAGGGAGCAAATCGCTTGCTTCGTGAGTGCGACTACATGTTTCGTTGCTGGTGTTCTTGTTAGTAACATCTTCTGTGCTTGGATTTGAATCTATACTTTGGAATACCTATTCTAAACCTTTTGGATTCATCCCTCTCCCCCTTTACTTCCCGTGCAATTATTCCGCGAGTAATAGTTCAATAAAGATTTCTTTTTCATTTTTTTCTAAAAAAAAGCGTGGAAGCATCTTTCAACAAGTCAGTAGTTTCTGGTAATGAATATACACTGTGAATATAAAAAGCCATCCATTTGGTGATTCAGTGTCGGCGTGCACTGCTGAATCAACCTAAAAGGCTAACAGTATGCAGGCTACTATTTGTAGCCCAAGACCATTCGTGAGACAGCTTCCTTTCAAATCCAAAGCGTTGAAAAATCCCCTCAACATGCAGTCCTAGAGAGATCATGCACTCTGTCTTCACAATCAAGGCAGGTCTCCTAACATCCTCCAACTCCCAAAACTAGGAGAAAATATCTTCTGGTGTGGGGGCCCCGCAACTCTCGCCGAAGCAAGCCAAGCTAAGATCAATCGATTAAAAAGTATGGCCCCGGATCTCAGCTCGGACGACGATGACGGTTTCCTGCACGAGGTGCTCGCTGAGGGTCAGTTGGTTGTCATCTTGGTTGAAAGAGCTGTTGGGTCTGCTTTGGATTGAGGGGCTACATGTGGGCTGACGGGGGCGCTTTTTGGTTTTTTTTGGGGGGAGAAAAGGGGGGGGGGTGGGTACAAGCGAGGCCTTTCAAATATCACTGTAAATTTTCAGCTGTCGAGACTCTATCTTTGTGCTCAGAAGTGAGTACAGATGGAACCGCGGTGAATTGTCTCGTGGGTCACCCTGAACTCTTTTGTTTAGTAATTTGGCTGCTCAAGATCTTGAAACCAATTACGAAAAGTTCCATGGGGAGTGTCCTTCAGTCAGGATCAAGAGGGAGAAATACACAGACACCGTGCAAATTTTGAGTCTCCTGAAAGTACCTAAGTAGGTATAACTATATGTAGGTAAAATTGCTGGCTGATAGCTACCGTACTTTCAAACTCTTGAAATTCAAATTGGTTGTATACGGAGCTGGCTTAAAAAATTTACCCAGAGGCTGACGTCCTGCTTGTTGATCTCCTGGAGTCTTGGTGTCGTCACAGTTGATGACAGCACAGAATTTCTTTGTCCAGGTTGGATTGCTAGGGAAGATGCAGAAGAAAGAAAATAGGTAACCGAAAGAAGAATTTGGAAATATATGAATCTTCTAGCGCCTCTCATTCGTTATCTCGCGCAAAGTCAACGGATCTGGTGATCGATGGATCAAATTAAGGAAAACAAAATTCTAAAGGAGGGAAGAATCAATGATGGCGCTGGTGAGACGCCACTAGGAATTCTGGGGCCACGGTCTTCGGAAGACAAATTCTCTCTCAACCAGTATATGCTGGAGACTACTGAAGCTCAGGCGAACGTGATGAGAGAAATTGCCAAGGCAGCAACCAGGCAGGTTGAAATCAAGATCGGTGCTCACATGCCAATCTGTCAATATCATCGCAAAACAGGAAGGATTCGAACTCCTCGGGAGCACTCAGATTCGGGTTCGTGCTGCCTCCTGATATTTGCACATATTTGCTAACTGGTTGCGGAGAGTCCAGCTCATCAGGTGATGATACGGGATCAAATGCGGAGACAGATGGAGATAAGTCTATTATGACTTCGGAAGCCCGATACTCTCCATCATCTTCTGGATATCGACAGCATTGTGAGGCCAAGGTCACTTCCTCGTCCTCTTTTACTCTATCCGCCGGGAGTAATGGGCGCTGGATCAGGACTTCGACCGGCAAATATAGTATCAATCCAGTGAAGTGCCCACCCTGTGCTAGACGCAAGAAGGGGACAAAATGCCGTGGCGGGCCACCTTGTCGAGAATGCTGGAGTAAAGGTCGAAGGAGTGCTGTGTTGTGCCAGGAGTGGAGCGAAGACTGTGATATTGAGATGGAGCAGGAGATAAGGGATGGAGAGAACGAGACTCCTCGACTATGAAACATACTCGAAGAATAAAACCATAGAGATGGATAGACGAGGTGTCTTGCAATAGATAGAGCGTCTCGAAGCAGGCAGACTAAGAAGTAAATACTAGGGGTTCCCCAATTTTTGAGTCACCTCCTGTCCCTCGTCCTCTTCCTCGCTACCTTGCGCATCTCAACCATATGAGCTAATTACAAGCACAGCCCTTCTCGGGCTTAATAAAATGAAGCTAAGCATGATTGTACTCTATGGTACAATGTGTGCAGTAAGGATACTGCACACATGCTCTTGAGAAGTTTATTCCAGAAACGTGACTAACAACCACAAATTTCAGTGGAAGAGATATTGCAGGTGTAGGGACTAGAGCTGGGCAATTGGAACCCGGAATAATGACTTAGACCCTAAAAAGACACGCAACGTCTTTGCAGAGTGGACACTTGTACATGAGAAGCTTCACTCTATAGAGCATTAATCCAGCATCATAAACTGTCTTATTGCTCATGAGGCGTCTCGTTTATGATGAATACCTACTTTGGGGTTGGGATACTCAGCAATCTCCCTGCCTACTATAATTCATGAGTGGCCGCCCCTTTTAGATCCCCGTTTATAATTCGTTGTGTTCCTGTCCGTCACCATCCGTATCAGCCAATGCAGTCTTGACGGCCTCGTAAGCCTCGGCAATCTTGCCCTTCACGCCTTCAGTAGCCTTGTCAGTGACGCTACTTGCGGATTCTTGCACCTTTGGTGCTTCAACACCGTCGATACCCATCAATTCGGTCTCGAAGACTGTTCTATATTAGTGAAATCAGGGCCAGAGAGGTAGGACGACCTACTCAATGTGCTACCAGCAGGAATCGGTCCCACGTTCCTGTTTCCGTAGCCGAACTCAGGAGGAATGGTAAGGGTCCTCTTCTCGCCAATACACATGTCCAGAAGGTTCTCATCCCATCTGCCATCGCCATTAGCAACAATTGAATATCCCAAGCTCCCAAAGCGCAACCGACCCTTTGATCACGCTACCCCGTCCAACAACGAAGCTCAGAGGCTGTCCCCGGTCGTAGCTAGCATCAAACTGCTTCCCTCCATCTTGCAGTGTGCCGCGATAATGAACGAAGATCTTGTCACCCTTCTGGGTCTTCCGATCGCATTCGATGGCGCGGGTAACAACGACATCGACTTTGTCGGCTGCGAGAACAAGGGTAGCAGCGCTTGCCAGAGCAGCAATTGAGACGGCGAGGAAACGCATGGTGTTGAATCACTTGTCCGAAAAGTGAGGCAAGAAAGTGTGGAGAAGCTGATTACAAAAATGTTCGTTCTGGACACGTTTGGATAGATACGGCGTGTTCATGCCAGGAGACCGTTGGAGTTGCGGAGGGGAGCTGCCGGATCGGGTTAGCGCACGCGGGAACACCGATTTCACCGATTTCAGCCTCAAATTGCGCGCTTACGTCTATGCCGCCCGCCGTAGCCCGGCCTCAAAGCACACAGCGGCTGAGCCTCTCCATCGAGCTCCAACAACGACTGCGATGCGATGTACAGTGTAATCCAGTCTCTACCTCCTGGTCTGCCTTGGAATCACCGATTGAACGGGCTCAAAGGCTGTGCTGTACGGGCTTCGCCCGAGGCTTCCAACGGGTGATTATCTTTTCAGCTTGCCCGGCATCTCCTGAAGGATCCATCACTCCCAGGATAGCATTGCTCTTCGACATTGGTCTGCCAAGGGGGGCTTTCTTTTGCTTGGGAATTACGTTGATGCCTGAATGTTGTGTTGCACATCTACCTAAGGTAATGACTTATTATGTCTTCGGCGGCGTACCTGCGCCAGAGTCGGCCCAGGAGAAAGCCTCGAGGAACGTCGATGGCTTGGGTGTGCTTAGCCACGGGCCACGCAGTCCAGTCTGGTGCCAAGTATTGGATATTTGAATTGGGCGCTTGTGTTGATTGGTTGAAGTTGCTCGCTGTCCATCTTGGGGGCCAAGTGCAAGGTGCACGTCAGTCTTACCGACCGGTCTTCAAATACAATGTGATCTCCTCGAGTCACCTATGTCGCGACCTGTTTTCTCAATAGCCAGACCCAGAGCCATGAAGTATCATTGCAAGAAGCCTGGCTATGACTTTTCGTGTGGAAATCCCTCATTATAAGCCTCGTCTCCCAAGCACTGAGGCTCAGTCGCCGGTTCGGGGTCGCCGATTCGTCAATTAGTACAATTACTATAAGTATACTGCTCGTTTCCTTCAATTGTTGCTTCTAAGGATCATTGCTCACCAACGGTCCTCTACCTCGCACATATCACACCTCATACCACACCTTGCTCTTCCTCGCGCTGCAGAAGGATTAACCAATACCATACGTCCCGGACAGAACAGGAGCCTGGCCTCGTCATCAAACCATGTCTTCGTATCACTACCCTTCTGAGTCTTCTCAACGGCATCACCTACCTCCACACTATATCGGTAGAGACCCCCACCGGGATTCCCGCGAGATGCGAGCGAAGTGGCCTCGCGACTTATCCAGCATCAGTTCGCGCGCATCCTTGGATAGTAATTCATCGACGGATGGCGCATCCAGCAGAGCAAGTAGAGATTACTTTGATCGTCTGGAAAGCAAGGGCACCTGTGAATGGGCACGCAGATATCACGTCTCTGAGAATGGTACGTCCACCAACCAGACCCCTCATCAGTCAATTCACAGATCCTTGACAGACGATCACCACACTACATCCACCATATCCCGAGACGGCAAAGTCCAAGTAATAAACCATCACAAACGAGGTTTTGATTGCATGGAACCTCGAGCATCTGAGGCGACACCCAGACACTACAAGGAAACACAAGCTCGTTCAAGCAAACACACCGAGTCTCGGAGATAGTTACGGATCACAATAGCTCCCCCGACATTCCACGAGGCGATGTAGCGATGTTGAACCGTTGGTCGTCACGGCGAGGCGAAGGTCGCTAAGCTTTGCCACTGCAGGGCCCAATGCGAGACCAAATGCAAGGCACATAGCCGCCTGACTGCGGGGTTTAATCTTCTACTTGAGATTTTATGTCATCACGGAGTTTTACGGGATAGAAGGATATTCATTGGCGTTTAGAATGGCGTATACTAGATCGGCAACCGCGAGGCAGGTTTCTATTTGCCGGCCGAAAGTTGCGAATAATTGTCAAGATGACACTGTACTTTTATTACACTGTATCACCAAAAATATACTTATACATAGAATCCCCCGAGTTTCTCATCGTCGCGCTAGTTATGCCTGATATTCCTTGTTTTGGGGGTTTCCTACTTGCTACTCCCTTTCCCGTACGTCTCTGCACATTTGCGACCATCCGCGCCCCAGTGATGCATTCTGAGCAAAGAATATCTAGGTCCTTACGGCCCAATTTCGGGCTCTCGTCGTCTCCGCCGATGTCTGTCATTCCACTCTATAATCCGCCTCAGCCTCGTCTCAGGAACAGTCATTTGCTCTACATTTCAACCCAAACCATCTGATATGCAACTCCCTTCCAGAAAACCCAATCCCGGAAACAAACAACATTGTTTCAGCATGCCATCAGAGTTTTACGTACGGAGCCGCGAGATAGCAGAGATGGGATGGATCAGGAATAGCCGTGATGGCTGTGTGAGAGAGAGATATCGAGAGTTTGGCCTTCACGTGCAAAGAGTCGTGTCGATCGTCGTGGACTGGAATGAGGAGGGAGTTGTGATTTTGTCCTTTTCTCTTCCATTTCTGGACTTCTAGCTCACGAGTTGCCTCTGAGGAGACGCACAGAGCCCAAGCTTGGGGTTTGAGTCCGCATCAGATGGAGATAAATTATGTTGTTTGGAAAGAGAATCCGGCTCTTGGATGTAAGTCTAACATCTTGTTTGTGACATGACGCAGATGTATTGAGAATATAGTCTCAGATAACCAATGGAGATATATTCCTGTGTCTATGATAAATCGCTCTCCCAGCGCCAAAGGAAGCCCGGCCCGTCCACCCCTGAGCCCTAGACATCGCCCTCGACGCCCTCTTGTTGGTTCCCAATCTCTCTAGGTGTAAATCAAACCTCAAAAGGATTGGGAGCGAGACCCATCCCTTCACTCTTCCCAGTCCCACTACAAGCCCCCCTCTTCCCCCCCGCGGCCCAATCCTCCTTCAACCCCACTTCCTCACCCGCTCCGGGTAGCCTAACCGCCCTGTCCAGCGCCACCGGCAGGCCTCTATGCCTGCCGCGCAACATGACCGCGCAGAGGATCAATTTAGAACACACGTGCCAGCCGCCCGAGAACGAATACGCCGCACTCGGGAGGCCTGGCGAAAGGCCGACGCAGCCATAGGCCGACACAACCTCGAAGGCGATGTTGAAGACGGAGTAAGTGATGGGGTCGCGGTCGAAGTTTGATACTTCGATGCAGGTGATAAGAAGGATGGCCAGGACAAGCCACCATAGGTCGTGGGCGAGCTGGCCGTGGATCTGTTGGTGGATGAAGGACTGTGCGAGGGTGCGGTTGGGGAAGGGGAGGAGCGTGCTGGTTAGTGTGTGTTGGACGTGGGAGGCGAGGCTGTGAAGGTGAGAATCTTGGGATTGGGGTGGGGAGGAGGTGTAGATCCCCAGACTGCGTTCTTCGTAGACGTTGGAGTGGCGCATGGTGATGACAACGGGGTACACGGAGATATACATCATGATAACATACAAGACCTGCAAGCCGATGCGAAGGCTAGGGATGCTGATGATGTAGAAGCCGCCGGAGCGGACGGCGACGGCTTGGAAGAGGCCGTCCAGGACCCGGAAGTGCGGTGGTATGGCGGCTGTGGAAGGGTTTCCGATGTTGAGGAGCTCGAAGGCTACCCAATCGATGCCGTTGAGGGTGATTACCATGAAAAGTAGCCACCAAGTTGGGACGCTGGGGAAGAGGTTTGTGTAGACGCGGCGCGGATAGTTGAGGATGAAGCAGAGGGTTGCTTTATAGTCTGCGTATTGCTCTTCGGAGGGACAAATTCGGGTGAGTAGTTTGAGCATGCTCCACAGGATGAGGCGGAGGAAGAGAGGATACCTGGCTTCAGTGAGCAGGTGGGAAAAGGGGGAAGGTTGAGGTACGCACGCTGTGTTTCCGGCAAGGATCATCAGACCCATTGTTATGAGTGTGTAGACTGAAGTTTGGAACGGGATCTGTATTTGATCAGCACTTGCCTTTGAACACCAGACGTGGGATATACCATATTCGCATCGAGCAACGACATCCCTGAGTTGTTGAATGCAGACACACCATTGAAAGCACCCAGCCACCTATCCTTCCAGTTAGCTGTGCCTTTGCCCGAACCAAAAAATATACCAAGGATTGATCCCATTCTCTCTCGCCGTACTAGCTTTATGATATGCCATATAAGCTGCCAGCCCGAGACACCCTAATAGCTGCCACGCCACAAAATAAATCGGCACGATCCAGGCCAGCAACTGAAGAGCGCGGTATTCCACACCGCCAAGATGTTCCCTTTCTGCTCTCGAAAGGCCAAAGACCTGCCCATTGCGACCCGTAGTGTTAGAGGTGAGATATGTCGGATACGGGTTGAGATCCAGCGCCTCCGCCACGCCATCCACCTCTTCTCTCATCTCCTTCGGTCCCCGATGGTAAATCCCATCCATGTGCAGCGATTTGGAAGATGTGGAATTTGCGTGCCCGCCCACTCCCACAAAGCTGAGGACACGACGATGCTCGCTCGTTGGCGACGAGGCAAAGGTAATATGATCCGCGTCCGGACTCCTGGCTCTTCCATTCTCACCCACTGACCCTTTCGCCTGAGTTCTCATATTCACACCCGAGGCCTCAACACTTCCCTCCTTCTCCGTCCCCCCTTCAGGATCCGATGGCATTTCCACCATCGGCCCAGTCCGCGAAGCACAGGTTGTCGGGTCACGTGGCAAACTGTGCCTCGATTCAAACGCGCTGTGGTCAACTGGCTCTGCCGGTTTCCTCGACTCGCCCAGCCGCTCATCCACCGGCATGTCTCTAACTCCCAACGAGGACACGCTCCTCCGATGGAGCCTCCTATGTTCCTTCTGCAATGCCACCACGTGTTTGAAGCGCGCTTCAAAGGCTCTCTTGCGCGTAAGGATTGTGCCGATACTTACAAAAATGCTGCTACCAATGATAGTCAGGATCCAGAGGAGGACTTGCTGGAAGGTCGTCATCTGGCTGAGGTTGACTGTGTTCAGACCAGTCTCGGACATGGCTGAGACGACCAGGAAGAGGGAGTCGGTGTAGGAAATGCTCCTGGCAGGGTGGGAAGAACCCCAGAACATGAGGGAGAAGACCATGCATGTCACGATGAAGTAGGTATAATGAACAGTTATGAAATTCAGGGGTGGTAAGTGTGATTGCAATTGCTTGACCCCTTTGTTCTTCAGGATAGCCGCGTGGAGGTAGCCGATGAGAGACTTGGGTGCGGGTGACATGATGGCGCTTCTGGTAATATTGTGTAGGTAGGTGATGATGAGACTCTGATTCGTGTCTTTGGTTAATAAGAAGAAATATCTAGAAGTATGTGCCGAATGTGCAGCGGTACTGAGGTAGACTCAGATCAATAACCTTGACTGCCAATGGATTTTTTTTTGTTCAACGCGCCATGTCGACGGACGGGAGGAGCGTGTCGGTTCGGCCCGCCTCTACTGCATGATACCCGAGGGTGACCCGACAAGTGGTAGCAAGTAGCGCAACCCCGGGAAAAGGGATTGCAGTCTGAGTTCGGGCGGAACGAGACATGTTGGTGACCTTGAGACTACTACTGCCTTCTCAGGTCTGAAGGATAAGCTCAGCGTTAGGACGACTCAAACAAGCGGTGCTGTTTTCGAACTAGGCCCTTTCACACGTGCCAAAGCTCGCTCTGGGGGCTTACTTTCACCGTCACTTCATCAAACGTTGTCCAGGAAGATAAATTTCAACAGCCAGCGTACTATCATTCGCCTCGTCCTAGCTACCAAACCAGGCTTAATTACACCCCCCCCTCTATTCATCAAACCATGTTCACACGTCACATCTCATACATCTCAGCTCGGATATTCAACACCGCCAATGCATGCATCCTTCCAGGAGTAGACAAAGTAAACTAAAGATAACAAGGGCTTATGGTATAAGCCCCCAGCCCAAACGCCAGCTGTACCAGCCTCCAAGGCGGCAGCAACATCCTTCTCATCGATGAGTGAATTATGATATCCACCGAAACGCCGTCTGTTGACAAAGTAAATCCCCATGCAGCCGCATAATGCATATAACGTACAGGCCCGTAGATCTGGACGTATTGATCTTTCTCGTAACTGAAGGCAATGATCTATGTGTATTGAAGTCTGGGTTGGTATCAAGGTATATCGTATGCCGTCGAATGAAGCAAGGCTCCGTATAATGGGAAAGCGGACTCGCGGCCCGGCAATTCTCTCGCTTGTCAATAGGAGCGAGTCCAGCTGGTCGCTGCGTTCAACTCGGCCCGGCCTGCCTCCTTGACCTCGTCGTGGTGTTGGTGGTCAAGAAATCGCCCCTACCCCTCAATGTCCGCGATGGTTTGGGTCCCGTGGTGGTAGACGAGGACCATTCTCTCCTCGAGCGTTGATCCACTCCTGAGCACCACTTTGTCTACCGGCCGGTTGCTCAGGAGGCCGTTTCTGGTCGTCGTCCGGGCTAGGAGGACGACAGCCCGAAGTTATTGACATCCCAGGTCTCAAATTCGATACCACGGATTGAGCAATTGATGCCACGACATAGCCTCGGAGCTCCTTATCTTCCCGGCTATCTTCCTTCTCCAGACGAAAGCGCTCGTCCTTTGGCATGTTGGCTCGTCGAAGACTGCGAATCTCGTTCATGATATAGAGCATTACTTCCTCGGGGCATCTGTTACGCTCGAGAGCGTACTCGGTCTTGCGCACATACCGACGAGTGACGTCCGTGGCGCCGTCCATCGAGAACGCAACGCAGTAGGACATTTTCTTCCCCCATCCCTCAGTATACAGCCGTGGATTATCCCAAGCCTCCTCACACGCATCGACATGGATCCATCGTTTTTGCATCTCGGAATAGACTTCGGTCCATACGTGGTCCTCGGCATTCCATACCCATCTCACCCGTCCACCAACAGCTCGACACAACATGCTGAACACGTTGGCCCACTCGCCGCATCGCCCTTTGCGTGTTTGGAGTAACCGCCATACATCACCGTATCGTGGAAACCGCTCATAAGCTCCGCAATCTCCCGCTGAACACCTGTACAACTCGACTCGGAGAGCTCCGTACGCTGATTCTTCGGGGGTTGGGGGTGTCATGCCTTGCGCAATCGTTGGAGACAGGCAGACTTGACATGGTGGATTATTTATCCATGAAAAGAACGACCGCTTGAACCACCTGATTGACGTCAGATTAATTCGTTATTATATCAAGGAGGACATACCTCAATAATGCGCGAATGACACAATCCTGATAACCCCATTCCGGTTGTCGCCCATCCCCCATACTTTCCGCCTGTGCCTGCAGCACCTGACTCTCCTCTTCTGCCTCGCCGTATATGCGATCCAAGGGAATGACCTGTAAGGCCTCGTCCAGCAAGCCCGGGTTCTCGTATTTCGTCGGGGTTAAGGACAAAGAGATTAATAAGTTTCGAAACTTCTGCGATTGCGCATCCGTCGGTGGTGATGGGACCTTTGGTAAGTGCCGCAGCGACGCGTAGGAGGGAGGAGTTGCAGCAGAGCCAGTCGAGGTTGACGGTCGGTAGCCAGGGGATTGTGGATTGTGCGAAGCCGAGGCTCTCAGATTCGAGGACGAGGCGCGCTCTCGCGGTGGAGGAGTAGTATTCCGTGATCGCGATCGATCCAGCTCATTCAGGCGTTTAGTTCGCAACAACCCTTCGAATTGTACCCGTAAATCCTTCGCCCATTGTTCGTCGTACTTGGGGTCCGGCGACGTGGGGAGGCCGTTCGGGTCGGCCATGGCGTCGTACTCGAGTCGACCGAGTCGATCGGGAGGAGGGCGTCCGTAAGGGTCCCACGAATGAGGTTCGCACGGAGTCTCCGGACTCGACTCGATTCACCGCTCTCTTTTCCTGATTGTATGGGAGATGAAGATGAAGATGGGAGATGGGAGATGGAGATGGGAGGATAAGCAGAGGAGGGGGGGTTCAGCGAATGCGATGTTCTCCCCGAAATGCACAGCCCAAGTATCGTCGGCAATCCGCCACCTTTCGCTTAGTAGTCGTCGTAGGTAAGAATAGATCGAAGACGTCGATCAGAGCGCGGCACGGCGATCAGCGATTGCGCTCGACTGCTTGGCGATGGGTGATGGGGATTGTCGTGGATAAAGGGGTTGTTGAGATGTGAGGAGGAGGTAGGTGAGTAGTGGTGAGGACGAGAGAGCGAAGTGTTTGCGCGGCGTGGCGTGGATGTGCGAAGAGCAGGCAACGGCTCTGGTGCAGGGAGGGGAGCTGGACGGGGGGACGCGTGTGCCGTCTTGGCTCTCTCTCGCCTTGGGACTGTGGAGTCTGTGGTCTGCTCTCTGCTCTCTGCTCTGGTCTGCTCTGCTCTGGTCTGCTCGGTGCGCGTCGTCTCTCTCTGGCCGAGAGGGATTGTCGAGATGGTGGCCGACTCCCAAGTTTCTCATTCTTGCCGTGCACATGAATGTCTGGACGCTGTAGTTGTGATGCCGTGGGATTGGATGGAGCGCAGGTCCGGGCCTGAGGCGTCGCGCGCGATTGGCCGAGGCACGCCCTCCCCTCCAGGAGTCGTCGTCAGCTCCACGCACACACCTTCGTCGGCGTTGGCGCAATGGATTACGGCGTATACTACTGTAACCGGTTATAATGATGGATATGGCATCGAAGGCATGGATGACGGGGGAGGTGGAGCATCGAGGGGAGGAGAGAAGAGGAGAAGAAAGAGAAGAAGAGAAGAAGAGGAAAAGGATAAGGAAAAAGAAAAACGAACAAAATGAACAAAATGAAGCATTATAACCCAATGGCAGGCAAGGTAATTAATTATACGGTAATTCTACGCAATCGTCACCCATCATTACCGTATCTACGCGTGTATTTCCGTGTCACAGCCTTGCCGCTGAAGGATCGTTACAGTCACGTGAGCAACCAGAGGTGAAAGGCGAAAAGGCAGAAGGCTTAAATGCTCAATAATCGTCGGCTACCTCCTTTTTTTTCCGACTGAAAGGAATTGGAAGTAAGGAGACCGTCCACAAGCGACCCGACGTTTATACAGAGCCGCAGACGGCTTTCCCCGCGCTTCTGGAAAGGTATGCTTGATCATCCGAAGCCTGAAGCCGCGTCTTCTTATAGAGATAGGGGATTGAGACGTTGCCATACCCGGCACCCTTGAAGACAGTTGTTGATAATACTACGGTCCTTCTCGGACTGGTTTCCACATGCAGTTACGCTTCCTGTTTCCCATCGATCAACAGTGACTGATGCCCTAAGTCCAAATTTTGATGCCTCTTCATAATGAAGCTGAAGTAGTTAAATGCACCCGCGCCGTCACTCAGTTCTTCAACCGACAAGGTCCACAAGTCCTCCCTTTCGAGCAATGGCTTCATAAAGTGCGGCTGTCGGTATGTAATATAGAGCCACTGGCCTCCAGGTTTCAACACCCGCGTAATCTATCTGTAATTAGCTTTGTAATGCAGAGCTGGGGAAACTGGCCCTCTACCTCGTCAACATACTTGCCCACATTACATCGAACATCTTCGGGTGGATCCCACAGGGAGCCATGAATCATGGCATCTAGTGTCCCTTTGTCGATTGCCACATCAACCGATCCATTAGGCATTTCCAGACAGCGCACATCCATTACACACCATCGAGTATCTAAGTGTGAATACTTCGATTTCATAGCGTCGATAACCACTCGAGAAAAGTCAACGCTCGTCTGATTCGTGTATCCAAGGGTGTGAAGATCCGCTGTCAAGGTCTGTAGTTGGTGTATAGGTAATATAAGCCTTCTAGCCTCTTGCTTGTGCAACAAAATAATGGTTCGGAAAAGAGAAAGAGACTTACGCTGCTTCCGCAACCTAGATGCAATATGTGACAGCTACTAGAGGAGGCTGGAAGATGTTTCGAAAAAAAAGGACGCAGTGTCTCGAAGTTACGAAACCACTCATAGGAATCAAGTACTGTCTGTGTGCCATCTTGTCTAACCTTTTGCTCTGAAGTATAGCGCGCATCCCAGAATTCGGGGTGGGCCAGCTTAATAAGCTCCTCCTCCTTGACCATCTCGAATAGAATTTTTGAATAGGTGCGGATATAGGCGAGAGATATGAACTCAGGACTGAAATATGGTAACTAGGGCAGGTAGTGGCAAGGAGGCATGTCTGTAAGGTAAATTATATCAAAAGTCTCGTCATGACGATTCAAAGCTTTGCAGTCTCGCTAGTGGCGCTTAGTTAATCGGGGGTCTTCGTTCTCTCTGAGAGGGGTCCGAAGACCCACGATTACCTGCCGATAATCGATATTCCGATACGCGCACTACATTATATGCATGTGACCACTCAAGATACGGAGAGTACGGAAATATGCGATATGCCGTGAGCATAATTGTCACGTGATATCAGTCAGTCGGTTGGGTACATCACTATGTCGTTTATGCCACCCGGCCGCGTTGAATCTGGATCGTGGACTGCCTTAAAGGCATAAAAACCCGCCTGGGAGGCTTTTCCTTAGCCATTGACATTCATCGGCGTGTTCCATGTCCCATAGAAATGTTCAACATCACGGTCATACGCTGGATCCTTCCGTTGCCTCCGTGGAAGTCACTGCTATGTCTCCTCAGCACAATCTTCTCCAGTCGCAAATCTATTGGAGAACTGGACGGCGATACCAATACAGAGGACACTGCCGCAAATGGAGTAAGCTTCCCGAGCTCTGATATATGACCTTATTGCTAATGATATTTCCGTTGATAGAAAGTCCCAGCCGGCACACATCCCGAAACAAAACCTGGCGTGCAACCTGGGTCTACATTACCAGCAAGAATGTTAGAACGCCATCATCAGATATCAAATGGCAAAAGATCGGCCAGCAAGATATCTGGATTGGTTGAAGTATTGCGGACCTATGAAGCGATCAAAATAACAATGGCTCACTTTATCCAGCGTTGGAGTGGATGGGTTGGATTGTTATTAAAGCGATTAACCTGGGCACCTGCGTCAACCCGTGTTTCAACAGACACAACTCAGCCTAGCCAGCAAAGTATTATTTGCGTTGGAATCTTCTCCACTGTTCACCGTCTTGGCGATGTGGTCCGAAAAGTACCGTCTCCTAGCGACACCGGGGACTTTCCCAGCAATTGTAAAGCTATTCGCAACGAAGCTCAGATCTACAGTCTTCTCGGCAGCCACACTCGCATTGCTGAATGCCTCTCTGCGAACCCGACTGATAACCATATCGATCTTCATTATTATCCAAATGGAACTCTTCTTGACTATATAAAAACGCAGGGGGACAATATCTCTGGCCGAAGACGATGGAGATGGGGCCAGCAGATTATTGAAGCCGTTGTGCTATTACACAGCCATGGAATTATCCACTCCGACCTGGCTCTTCGTCAATACCTCGTTGACGACCGACTGGATGCCCGGCTTAGCGACTTTGGAGCGTCCGCATTTCCAGGTCACGATGCACTGGGGCTCGAGAACGCAAGCCATTGCTTGCCTAGAGACTTTGACCAGCCCAATACGGTTGAGTCAGACTTATTTGCACTTGGCTCTACACTCTATGAACTTGGAACTGGTGTGGCCCCTTATTGCGACCTCAACGATAATGAAATTGCGTGCCAGTACGCTCGAGAAGTCTTTCCTGATGTCTCCGGAACATTTTGCGGCGAGATTATCCTGCAGTGCTGGAAGAGGAACTTTATCTCTGCGGAACATGTCCTGTCATCGTATAACACATTACTCAAGCCGGATTTTAAGGATACTCCATTTCTTTTATGCAGGATAATAGCTAATGGGTCTTAAAGCTTGAAATCACGTATTTAGCCGCCTAAACCCAAACACTAAAGCTAGATGATATTAATCTCTGGACCAACACCACGTAATTTTGGCCACGCCTCTCTTCCTCGCAAAAGTTGTACTGGCGCCAGGGTTGTCTATTCCAACGTCGACAGGAAAGCGGAGGGATCAACACTGGACGACGGATCATTATTCGCCATTGTCATGGTCCTCCGTATGCTCTCTTAAAGTGCTTACATGGCTCTGGTCACCTCCTGGGCTATGCAGGCCCAGTCTCATGACTACAGTTCGGATTCGGACCCCTCCTCCTTGTAGATGCCCCGTGCCGGAGTTCGTACTTTGGGCATTGGCGAATTTGGCCGTTGGCTGGCTTCTCTGGACACTCAGGCCCGGGAGAGTATCCAATCTTATTGCAGGCGGGGTTGGAGCAACCTCCGCCTTGGTAGATGGTGGTGGTTTGATATTCGACACACATTTTGTTACAGTTTAGGTAGTGAGGTAAGCAATAGATTTCTGGCCAAATTAAGATTAGAAAGAGAGTAAGGGTGCATAAGCTACTATGTTTTATTTAAGTTCGCTGTCCTTCTAAATACAGTACTATGTAACGTAACTTACAGGATATCTCTTATTCTATGCTTTAAATTTCTGTTTAATATACGTCTGCTATTAGCTTGTTTAGATATAAAAGGCCGGTTCTAGTAGACTTACACTTTTTCTTTTTTAGTACCTCTTATAGTTATAAGTCTATTATTAGGCCTACTAAGAAGTAATCTAATATATAGTTAAGATTACCTTTTACTTTATAACTAAGTAGCTAAGTATAAACTCTGTAATAATCCCTTTATAGGTTTACTTATAAAGACCTTACTTATAACTATTTTCTTAAATCTAGTAGTTACTTAACAACGCTTATTTCTAGCTTATAAAAGTACTATATTTAACTAATTTCTCTTTTTAAGCTAACATCTTACTTACTTAACGCTTTTTTATATTACTTTAACTATTATAGTAGCTTTTACTCTTTAGTACTTAATTTCCTTTATTAAGAACTACCTTATAAGCTATATACGGTTATAAGAACCTATCTTTCTCTTTAATTTTATTTACTCTTTAAAGAAACAGAATCTAAGCTCTAACGTTATAGCTTTATTCTATCTTAATTTAAGTATTAAAGTACTAAATACAAACTTAGTATCTTAGGCTATTAAGAGCTAACTTAACGTAATTAAAAGAAAAGTAAAGCTTTAGTATAAGATTATATACTTCTTTACTAATATAGTTAATAAAGGCGCCTCTTTACTAGTATACTAGATATAATAATAGTCTAGAGCTATAACATTATAAAGATGTTAAGCTAAGGGGCTAGCTAAGAGTCTAGTAATCCCTTTATAACGTAAGACTTATAGATTCTAGACTTATAGTAATAAAATTAATAATAGTATACTAGAATACTATAAAAAAGAATAGCCTTACCTTAATAGTACTTTATAGTTACTATAAAGCTAATATTATAATAATCTAAGAGCTATAGTATAATACTTAGATAAAGATAGTCTATATTAAGAGCCTTATTAGAGGGGATTATATAAGGATTAAGGATTAGGCGTAAGGGCTTAGAAATTATATACAAGGGCTTAGAAATTAGAAGTAAGGTAACTATGTCGTACTTTTAAGAGAACATAAAAGGGTTATAAGAAGATAAGAAAAGAGAATAGGCTAAGGGAATTAAGAGGATTTAGAGATAAGTTTATAGTCTATATAGTAACCTACCTTTGTCTTTAAATATACTATACATCTGCCTTTACCTCTTTTACTCTATAGATATATACCTAACAGTCTATTACTTAGTATAAGTAAAGTACTAGTAAGTCTATAAGAGTAAAGGCTATATAGTTATTTATGTTTATAAACGTTACTTACTTTTTACTTAGGTTATAAAGACAGGTATAGACTAGTACTATATTATCTTATAAGGCGTTACTATCTAGTTAATATACTTACTAATTCTTAATACCCTAGGTTAGACTAGCCTTCTTTAGTGCCTTACTAAAGAAGACCTAGTAAGGCTATAAGTAGTTATAAGTAATATAAACCTTTATTACTTACTCTAAGATAAAGCTAGTAAGACTACTCTTAGATTAAAGACCTTTTTTTACCTAGCCTATAAGTAGTAGCTCTTACTATATATACCTTAGAAAGAGCTAACCTAATAGTAATATAGTAAACAAGATTTAACAATCGACTATATATAGGCTATAATAACGCTCTAGTATACTTACTAAAGCGACCTAGGCTATAAAGAATCTAACTACTATACCTAGCTAATTAAAGTTACTACTTAATTAAAGGACTACTAAAAGAAGGCTATAAAAACAATAAAATAAAGCTAGACCTTAATAAACTAAGAACTTGTTACTATTAAGGCTAAGAAGCTCTACCTCTTTTTAAGACTACTAGATATATACTATAAGGTTAATAAGATAGTTAACTTACTTACTACTTAACTTATATATATTACTAATATATTTACTTTAAGAAAGAAGGTTAGCTAAGGATTTAATAGTCTAGTCTAATAATCTAATAGTAGATCTAATACTAGTATATATATAGTAGTGTTTTAACATTAGTATTAATAATTTAATAATTGTTAAACAGGATAACAGATTTATTATAAGAACTATAAATTAAATTAACTAAGTAAAGTAATTATATAGAGTGCCTGTATAGTAATAGTAAATAAATAACTTTTAACAAAGGTTACTAACCTTAATTAGGTTAGGCTAGAGCCTTCTAGTCCTGTAACTAAACCTTACGTAATAAGGCTAGTAGTTTCTTATAATACACCCTTAAACCTACGCTTATAACGTCTTAAATCTAGCCTAATTTATACACTACTTGTTGTTCTACTAAGTAAAATACTAAAAGAACAAATAGAAATAGTAGACTAGTAAGTTTTTTACTATCTTATTACTAAAAAAAGAAATAAAAATAGTAAACTAGTAGAATTCTACTACTTTATTACTATAAAGAAAAATAAAAACAAGAAATCGTCTTAATTAAGTAATTAGAATAACTATAGTATACAGGTTTAATAGCTTTAAGAACTTAGCGTGTTTTAGCCTTTTTAAAGCCTTAGTAAGTCTGTCTATAGCTATTTTATCTATATACTTAAACTATACCTTTATTTTACTTAGTACGACTTACTCTTAAATATAGTAGTACTATACGTTAATGTACTTAGTTCTCTAGTAGATAACTAGGTTATCTATAAGGGCTAGGGATCCTTAATTATTACTATATATCTAAATTATTTTAACGTCTTTAGAGTTAATACCTAACTTATAAAACAGTTGTCTTAGCTAGGCTACCTCTCTAGTAGCGTTAAACAGTATGTAGTACTCTATCTTAGTTAATAATAGCGCTACTACTTATAGACGCTTTAATCTAAAAGATATAGTACCTTTATAAAAGTTAAACAAGTATCTAATAGTTAATCTACAAGTCTTAATATAGCTAGCGTAGTCTAAATTACTATATTTATACAGTCCTTCTAATACTCCTTTAACTACCTTATATATAATCCCTAAGTTAGGCGTTCCTTATAAGTATTATAGCACGTGTTTTATAGTGCTTATATAGTTAGCAAAAGGGTTTGTAAGATAGTGTAACAACACAGACATTAAATACCTTAAAGGCGTACAGCAGGGCTTTTTAACAGTCCTAGGATCGTCTTATAATAGGTATAGAACAGGGATTGTTACTATATAAAGAGAGGGTTTTAGATTAATCGTAAAATTATCCTTATTTATATAGTATTACTTGTATAAGATTATCTATATTAATCTAGACAGTTATATAAAAGAAGGATCTGTTTAAAAAAGGAGGGTCGTAAAAAAGGATAGTTAATATCAAAAAGGACGATCCTAGGATAGTTGATTAGTAAGCATATTAATTATCTAATTAATTATCTAATAACCTGTTATACGCGCGATCTCTCTAGAGTCTCTCTATAATGTACGACATATACCTAATACATAACACACAATACACGTACACCTACCTAGGTAGACCGCGCTCTCTACGCGCGTATAAACTTTTGCTAAATTAATTGATTTTAATGTTAATTTTATTATAGTGTTAAGTCCTATAGAGCTATAGCTATAGTAAGAGGCTGTACAACAATCAAAAAGTTTAAAAATATTTTTTTTAATATTTTTTTTAAATAATAATCTTATAATAATTATAGTTATTGTTATAAGAAACCACTAGCCTTATTACGTAGGAGTTTAGTCACGGGACTAGGAGGTACTAGAGGCTCTAGCCTAACCTAATCAGGGTTAACAACCTTTGCTAAAAGTTATTTGTTTACTATTACTATATAGGCACTCTATATAATTACTTAAATCCTTCTTTCTTTAGTTAATTTAATTTAAGTCTACTATAATAGATTGATTATCTTGTCTAATATAGTAGTAATACTATTTGATCTCTTTTAACACTAAATTTAAATTTGATCTATTATAAGATCTATTATAGTAAGGCCTGTTTTTAATTATAGCACGTTTATTAAAGATTAAACTAAGCTCTAAACTAGATTATAGAGTTAAAAGAAGATAATAGCTATATCTATAGAACCTTAGACTAATTACGATATCTAACTTAATAGCGCTCTCTAGTAGTAAGAGGCTATAAGGTAAGAGTAACTACTATACTTAGAAATCTAATGTATTTAATATATTAAAAGCTAATAGACTTAATAGATATATATCTAAGAACTACTTTATTCTAAAGGTTATTAAGTATAGTAATACTAAAGCTATAAAAGAAGAATAAGAATAATATAGTAAATAAAGAGCTAGTAATATAGTAATACACTAGGTTATTAAGGAGAATATCTTGTTAGTTCTTATACTTAATCTTATAGCTAAAGTAGACTTAGTAAAGGCTATATAAACTAAGCTAGCTAATTACTATAAGAGTAAAAGGTTTACTTAATAGTACTAAGT